TTTTACTTGTCAAGCTGAAATTACTCAAATAAAGTCAAATCTTCTTAATTTAAGTCATTTTAACCTAACCTAGATGTTACTTTTTTGCAGTGAAACCTGTACACTACACAAAACAAAATATGGTCAAGTTAAGATGACATAAATTAAGAAAGTTTAATCATGATTTGAGTAAATGAAAATACATCTTGCTACAACAACTTTCTGCACTTAAAATGAGAAAAATAAAACAAATGTTGCTTGAATTAAGAAACACACATGTAAATAATTTCATTTGGCAAGTTGAATCGACTCAAATAAAGTAAAATCTTCTTAATTTAAGTCATTTTAACTTACCTAGATATCGTTTTTTTTTCCAGTGTAACACAAAATATTAAATTTAAATCCGTTTACTTTCTTTTCCTCGCTTGGCTTTTAGTTAACAACTAGTCGTCTATAATGTCAAATCGCTCTAGCATATGTCATCGTAACGCATAGTGTTGTTAGTAAACTACAAAAATTGCGTTATTAAAATCAGTGAGAGGAAGCGCGAGTGTGGAGCTATAATTTAGTATTGATTCGTCCAAATCCGTCCATCTGCTGCTCGGTCTGTTTCTAATGGACCAAAGCCTGAGCAGATGCAACAGTGACTTCTATGAAAGAGACACACAAAAGACACGGGACCAGCGAGAGTGGGAGACGGGGGCAGAGTCAAGGTGAGAATCGCTAAATAACACGGGAAAAAGGGGCATTGTGCAGCTTTTCCGGAGCAGGGTTTGCTACCTGCTCGTCTCCATGGTGATGTTATTGCTGGGATGTTCAACGATATTCAATTACAGGTGTTTTTATTTGTCAAAACTACCACAAAAACATGAATTATTACTGCGAACGGGGCCATTTCTCCATAGATCTGACCTGTAACTTGGCCTAGCAATGTGGCCTATACTTGTCGCCATAGAGACAGTTAAATTAATGCCACACTGTAGAACATTTCGGTAAAAAACAACATGGTGGACCCTCTACCAGAAACGTTACACAATGCAGCTTTAAAGTGACAGATTTTTATGATTCTCTCTGGGATTATATATTCATTTATATTATTTATATTATTATATTATATATTATATAATTTTATAATTATATAAATTATAGTTTTACACCAATCAAGAAGCAGTTTGTGAAGAAAAAAAAAAGAAAAATATGTTGAAAATTACAGGAAATAGAGAGTTCTGTTTAAAGAGTCCCACACGGATTACAATTCTGTCCAAAAGTTCAGCACAATTTACCCAAGAATTTACACATTTTCTGATACTTTGAACATAAATTCAACAAAATTAAGGTGTTTTCTTATATTTGTAATTGTCATATAATTATTTCTGTGTACATTAGAGGAGTTTTGCTTGTACGATGTCACAATATCCAACCATAACATAAAATTTTAAACTTAAAACATGGCCAAATTGAGAAAACGAGTGTGATTTTTTCGCCAAAATCTTAAATATACTGATTTTAACTGTGTGAAATGAGTAATTTACACTGTCATAAACACTTTAAATCAAAATGAAGTGTCAGGACCTTGTGTTGATTTTATGGATTTGTGGCAATGGATTTTACTCATAGAAATATTGACCGTCAGACCCAGTTTTAACTACGGATGTCAAGATTTTCACGGTTTATTGACATTTAGGTCACAAAATCATAGACACAAAAAAAGTATGATTAAAGATGCACTGTGCAGCTTTTCTGGTGGAGGGTCCGTCACCTGCTTGTCTCCATGGAGATGTTACTGCTTTGCCTAGAATATTCATAAGAGAGACAACTATAGGCCACATTACAGGTCAGATCTGTGGAAATGCAAGCCTATTCACACAGAGATTATTGTATTTTTGAGCAACAGAAGCAACCGTAATGAATAAATGCTAGATAGATGTGTTTAATGTCACACCATGGAACATTCCAGGTAAAGAAATTGCATCTCCATGGAAACAACCACCAGAAAAGTAGCGCAATTCACCTTTAAGTGATTTCAACATACTCCAAATAGGTCAACTTAATAAATGTTTCACTTTACTTTATTCAGAAAGTTTGATAAAGCTTAGCATAGAATCATAGACTTTTAATAACAGAATTTGTATTTATTTATTTATTTATTTATTGGTAGAAATTGTGGTGACCCATATTTATTTGTGACTAATTTCTCTTTGCAAAAACTGAAGTAAAACTCAACTCAGCTTTGGTAACAATGTTCTATATCCCCCATAATGAACTTAGACTTAAAATGTAAAAGTGACTGTTGTTTTTTTTATGATTTTACTTCAACTATTATGGCATAATTTTATCTTTCAAATAAGATACAAACCCAAATACAAATATTATATCATGACGTGAGTAGATATAAACAGATTTTATTAATTAAAGCGTTTAATTCATCAATATATTAAAGAGTAAGAAGTATAATATGCCAAATAAACACAATAAAGAAGAGTTCCAAAATAGATACACTGCAAAAAACTAAATGTAGATCAAGTTAAGATGACTTGAATTAAGAAAGTTTTATCATGATTTGAGTAAATTTCACTTGACAAGTAAAATTATCTGCCAGTGGAACAAGACTTTTTGTACTTAAAATATGAAAATACATCTTGATAGACTTAAAATAAGAAAAACAACAACTTTTTGCACTTAAAATAAGATAGATCATTTTACTTGCCAAGTTGAATCTGCTCAAATAAAGTGAAATCTTCTTAATTTAAGTCATTTTAACTTACCTAGATATTGTTTTTTTTCCAGTGTACAGTAAATGGTCACGTTTTTACACAGCGCTTTTCTACTTTCAAGACACTTACAGCACTTTTTTTTCAAGAACTCCTCACCCACTCACACACACACACTCATACTTTAGCGGGGGGCGCGGTGGGTTAAGTGTCTTGCCCAAGGACACAACAACAGCATTCACCTGTGAGATCTCAAACCAACGACGAGCGGGATTCGAACCTGCAACCTTTGAATCGGTGGAGAAACGCTACAGTGATGTAAATCCTAAATCCATGTCGTTAATCAGCTGTTCTCACAATAGTTGAGAAGTTGAAAGGGCAAAGATAATACAAGAAAATACTATAAAAACAAATATAGTCTCATAATCAGACCGTTTTTGAGCTACAGTTTCATGCATAGACAAATCTCTCTCTCTGCCCTGTCCCGGTTTGTTGACATTCAAAAATATTCATTGAAATCAGAGTTCGTACGTTGAACTGAAAAGGCGGTTGAGGATGAGCTGATGATTGAATGATATGAATGCACAGAAAATCAATGCGTGGTATGGGATTTCATTATCTGTCTGAATGAACAATTGAGAGGTCACTATGGCTTCATTGAACTATATTGATTTCGGTGAAGGATGGTTAACATGTAAAAACAGGGACTTTGAGATGAAACACTGTAGACCGCGCCGTAGCTGTCACTTGCAATAAAACGTCTGTGTTCTCGATAGATACAGAAATTCTGAAAAGACAGACTTAAAATTGGACATGTATTACAGTTTGTACGCAAAGTTGTGAATCATGAGAATTGGATTTTGTGGTATAGTTGATTATATTATCTCAAAAAATATCAAATAGAATTCCAATTATTTAGTCTTAAAGGTGCAAACGTGCAATTTTTCTGGGTGAAGGTCTGCTCTCTGGTTGTCATTCCACCACAAAAGTTACCTGATATGACATTAATTAAACATATCCATATAGATCTGTTTAATTACAGGTGTTTCTATTGCTCAAAAATGCAATAATTCCTTCTGTGAATAGGAACGACTCTCCACAGATCTGAACTGTAATGTCGAATAGTGCTGTAACCAGTGTTATTAGATTCTTTTTTCAGACCAAGAGTTTGTTTTTCATACCTGACAGTTTCGACTGCTCACTCACGGTCTTCCTCAGAGTGGTCACGTGAAAAAAAGAATCTAATAACATAAAATATCGGAAGACCAAATGAACCTTATTGGCCTGATGCTGTAACCTACTTGTCTTCTTTGTGGTAGATAGGTTTAATCTGTACTGCGGAACATTCTAGACAAAGCAGTAACTCTTCAATGGAGGCAAGCAGGTGGTGGACCCTCCCCTACAAATGTTACACCTTTGAAATGTTTAATTTTGCTCCTTATCCAGCAAAACCTTCTATCCTACTATACCTCTGTCATTCTTAAATGCTACAAAAACATAAGACTCCAATGTAACCCAACCTGCTTATACTCCTTATGAGCATTGCTGTGTCACTTTTATTATTTTTTTTATGTTATTTACAGTAAAAATGCTTTGTTTGTGTTGCACTTTGTAACCAATTGCTCAAAATAAAATAAAATAAAATAAAACTCGCAAAAGTGGATCAGGACTCAAAAGTAGATGTGTAATGTTTAAAAGTTTTTATTATTTTTCACAAAATAGAGAAAAAATTTAATTGACCATCACAACAATATCTGTCCCAAAAGTTTGGTTTCATAAAGATTTCAAAAGATTTCAAAAGAAAAGAAAATTATAGCTACAGAACTGAAATAAACTTGTGTCCATTTGAAGTTTATTTGTTCAAGAATAAACAATTGTTAATCTTTTTCACTCTCTTATATAAAGTGGTCTTGTTATTTTATGTTTACATTAATTTATCTTACACCGTGGAACAAACTGTTAACAATAAAATAAAACAATTGTGGATCAGGACTCAAAAGTTGGTGCAGAACATTGGAAAGTTTTTTTTTAACAAAATATAGAAAAAAAATGTATTAATAATCACAACAAAACCTCCAGTATAATAATGTAGTCTCTCAAAATCACAAAAAATTCAAAGTTGTGGGTAGAAAGAAAAGAAAATAGAGCTATAAAACTCCAAAACACTCAAATAAACGTGTCCATTTGAGTTTTATTTGTTAAAGAATAAAGAATTGTTCATATTTTCCACTGTCTTTCATAAAGTAATAGTCTTGTTGTTTTATTTTTACATTCATCTGTTCTAACTCCTGTATTCCTCTCTCCTCATAGACTCTGCTGAAGGCCTGTGCAGAGACGACACCAGCGTAGCGGACCCCACCAGCGAAGACACCCACATCTGTGACAAATGCTGCGCCGAATTCTTCACGTGGACCGAACTCAACGAGCACCAGAAACTTTGCACCACGGACGACGCTTTGGTGCTCATCGTGAAAGACAGTGAGGACTCCCAAACCGGACCCTCGCCCATTCCCAGCATCCTCTCCTCTGACTCCTCCCCTCCAGGATCTCCAGACTACGAGATCGGAGGAGACATACTCGGGAATGACAATGAAAGCTCGGATAATTTAGACGAAGCTCAAGCCCAAGACCAAGATGAAGGCATGGAGGTTGACGCTTTGCAAGATAAATTTACGTATAATTACACGACAAGTTCCAGCCCTCAAAATTCAGAGTCAAATTTACCGTTGAAATCACTAACAACGGGTTATAGCATGCCGAGTACTAATGTAACTCTGGAAATCCTCCATAGCACCCGTGTAGCAGTGGCGCAGTTTTCCCAAAGTTTAAACAGTCATCCAGGAGCGAAGGGGGCGCCAGCTGCAGCTATCCCGGTAATTCTCGAGCATTTGCTTAATCTACAACAACAACAAGTGCACCAGCTCCATCTCATAGAGCAGATCTGCAGTCAGGTGGCCTACATGAACCGTCAACCCACACAGTCAGCGCTCAACCCAGTGTCCAGGGTGCTCCCGCTGGGCCCTATCCCGTTTTCCACTCCTCCCACTGCGATCCCGGCCTCGATCTTGCCTCTATCAGGGACAATGCCTTCCTCGGTGAACGGACAAGCTGCTGTGACTTTGCCATCGAGGCTAGAGAAACTGCAAACTTCGCAAACTTTTACCAGAGATTCTTCAGAAAACTCCAGCTCAAGTAGCACCAGCGTGTCCACATTGCTTCCTCCTTATACTAGTAGCATTAGCAGCACGGCAACGCTCAGCTCCTCCACTCCACTGTCCCTCGGGCCAAGCAACCTTCTCAGCCAATCTTCAAACCTTCCATTTCTACCTCAGAGCCCACCCGGCAGCAGCAGCGGCGTCATTTTCCCCAACCCTTTAGCCAGCATCGCAGCTACGGCGAACGCCCTTGACCCGCTCGCAGCGCTAATGAAGCAGCGGAAAGGCAAACCTCCAAACGTGTCTTTATTCGATACTAAACCGAACCCAGAGGAACCCTTTTTCAAACACAAGTGCCGTTTCTGCGCCAAAGTCTTCGGCAGTGACAGTGCTCTACAGATCCACCTGCGTTCGCACACTGGGGAGAGGCCCTTCAAATGCAACATCTGTGGAAACCGCTTCTCCACTAAAGGGAATCTTAAGGTGCACTTCCAGCGCCACAAAGATAAGTACCCACATGTCCAAATGAACCCATATCCTGTTCCGGAATACCTTGACAACGTGCCAACCAGCTCGGGAATTCCCTACGGCATGTCTATCCCCCCGGAAAAGCCAGTCTCTTCGTGGATGGAGAGTAAACCAGTTGTAGCCTCTTTGCCCGCCAGCCTTGGTCTTCCGATTGCGCCCGCTGTCTCCGGTCTGGGCGGCTCAAATGACCACATAAGTGTAACAGCATCCCTGAAATCTCCATCAGCTGGTGAATGTATTTCTTTGTCACCTAACCACACGAGCAACGAGGCGCGCTTTTCTCCTCTTTCAGAGCCTAGCCGGGAGATTGAAGCACCCAATTTACTTAAGAGCAATGGACTTCAACTTATGCAAAACTTTACTTCAAAACACAACTTCGAATCTAGTGCGATCTCCACTCCGGAAGCTAGCACCTCGCCAGGTCCTGCTTCTCCACCGAACCACGCTGAAGATACAAAACTGTCCGCCATGTTCGATTCAATCCAACCGTCTGAAACCTCCAAGCTGCAAAAACTAGTCGAAAACATTGACAAAAAAATCACAGACCCCAATGAGTGCGTGCTTTGTCATCGCGTTCTCAGTTGTCAAAGCGCTCTGAAAATGCACTACAGAATCCATACAGGTGAAAGGCCCTATAAATGTAAAGTCTGTGGTCGTGCTTTTACAACTAAAGGTAATCTAAAAACTCATATTGGGGTCCATCGAGAAAACCCGCCAGTCCAAGTCCAGCATTCGTGTCCAATTTGTCAAAAGAAATTCACAAACGCCGTGGTCCTTCAGCAGCACATTAGAATGCACATGGTGGGGCAAATTTCAGACTCAAATAACATGGAAAGTCCCCAGGAAATGGACTCCGAAATCTCTTTGAGCGATAAGAACTTTGATAGTGTAAGTAGCAACAGCAATGATATAACAGACGATATTTCAATGGACGAGGAAGAGGAGGAAAATCTGGAAGAAAGTTTTAGCAATTCACCCAGATCGTCTTTTTCAAGTTTGGCTGCGCTGGAGAATCAAATGAAGACTATGGACAATGCTTATAAATCTCTAACGAATGGGTTTAATGACAATGTTAAAAGTTCAGAGAAAAGTCCAAAAAGTCCAGACCAGACAAACTTAGAAGGAGCTACCAGGATCAGATCTCCAGTCCTGGGGAAAAGTAGAACTGTGTCTCAAGAGGATTTGGGCCCTTTGGTGAAGACAGAACTATCTCAAAGTTTGACTAACTCTGCGGAGACGATCGGCCCAGAGCAAAAAGAAACTCAATCCACCAAACTGAGCGTGAAAGAGGAGACGCCATACTGCATGTCCTTCCACTTCAGCCCAGGTAATTGCTCGTTTCCGTAGTGATGTGATGATCAAATCGCAAAAGGCTGCAATTATTTAGATAGATAAAGAATGAATGCTTTGAAAAGACCTAAATATTCTGTCTTTGTATTCATATTTTTGTTTCCTGTTATAGGCAACATGCTGAAGAATTTTTATATTTCAAAACAAATAAGACAGACTACATGTTTTACTTTAAATTGGTATTAATCGCTATGGTGACGTTCATAATTTTTCCACATTTTTCCACATTCTGAAACCACGGATGGACAACATTTTCTTAAATTCTTGAGATACTTTTATTAGTTTATCAGTTCATAATTTAGTCTTCCCTCAATAGTGTTCTTGGACTTGATTACAATGAAGTACAATGTTTTGTTTTTGTTTTTTTTAATGATTTTAAGTATAAGAAACCTATTGTATATGATCTAAACAAACACAAGGTTGGCTCTGATGTCTAAAAGTAAGACATTTTTCAGTGACATAATCTTCACTTTGACCCATTGATCCATTCTAAACATGGATTTAAAACAAAAAGAAAATTTCCAAGGTACTCACATGTAAAAATCGAAGGAGCATATGGCACATTTCCATTTTGATCAGGTCTTCATCAGATCAAACCCTTAAAAACACACAAAAAAACACAGTATACAAATATTCAAAGGTGTACAAAGTGTTCACATGTTCTACCAGCGCCTAATTTGATCATTCCCACCTTTCCAATACATTAAATTAAAATATGAGCTGCAGGATGGCCTAGGCATATGGTTGCTGCACACATCCTTGCTGCTAAACTGACCTTAGTCTTGTGATAGATTCCCTGCTCCAGCAATTTACTGATAAATATCTCTTCCACTCTTTACCCTCTTTAGTGCTAACTTCGTTTACAGGGCGAAAACTAAGTAATAATAATAAGGAAATTTTAAGTTAGATTGATGAGAAACAAGTCTGGTTTACACTGGAATAGAATCCTTTAAATATATACTATATTTTCCTGAATAATTCAAAGATGTCTCAATTAATTTTACAATTAACAGATTGTGTTGAGTTGGGTTGTAAAATTAATGGTCCTATATTACACGAAATTGATTCTTCTGAGCTTTTAGCCATGTTAGAATGTTGTTTCCTCATCATAAACATACCTGAAGTCGTGTTTTGTTTCATTCACACGTTTGAGAAATTCTGCATTATTAGTCTGTCTAACTCAAAATGCTCTGCTCCAACTTGTGATGCCATGAAGTTAAGTCAAGTTAACAACTATTTTTTACCTTTAATCCAGCTGAGATTGGCAATTCCAGGTCTGAAATTATCCAAATGATTATAGTGTATGGAGTTTAAACACAGTGGCGCACTTCTTGTATCACCACATAATATTACAATGTGGAACAGAGTGTTTTCTGTTAAAAGAACTGCCTAAATATGCAGGATTTGTGTGTTAAACATGTGTGAATGAAACAAAACAAAGTCAACCTAGATCAGAAAATGGCGTAACATGGGCCCTTTAAACTAAAATTCTTTGTCTTTTCTCTCCCCAGCTGTTGGCCAAAGCACCCCGAGCCTCGTCCCCGCTTCCACACCACTGGGCCTTTTAAAACCAGAGCTGAACGGACAACCAACCATCTCCAGTGAGCTCCATCCTCCTCCTCCTGCCCCGTTCACTGTCCACGTGCCCCCAGCCTACCCCTCCCCGGGCAGCCCAGGACCCCTCTCTCTCCTGGGGTCAGCTCCTCCACGTCGCACCCCCAAACAACACAACTGTAACGCCTGTGGCAAGAACTTCTCCTCCGCCAGTGCCCTTCAGATCCACGAGAGGACCCACACGGGAGAGAAACCCTTCGTCTGCTCAGTCTGTGGCAGGGCCTTCACCACCAAAGGGAATCTAAAGGTACAATCTCGTATTGAGTTAGTGAGAAAACTGTGTGGGGTTCATCTTGTATTGTTGTATGCACCATGAGGACTGAGGACTTTTTCTCAATTAAAAGATATAATATTTAGTTTTAACTTGTTAATCCCTATGACAAAGATCCTTTTTTTATCATTCTGAAAACTATGGACTGACTCATAATGTATTTGTGTAATAATTCCCATAGTAGTCAACACAAGTAATTGAGTCTTGGTTTAAGTGCAGTGGTTGTTTTATTTGAATTGAATTGTTCTTAAATGTTGGAATTGTCCTTAACACTTTATATCACTTATGCAATGTCCACAGTTAACTTTGTGAAGTCTGCAACAGATGATATGCTAAATACTAAGTCAAAAAAGTACATTGTTCAGACTGGAAAGCATGTAATGTGTTCTACAAACAAAACAGAGAGAAACGAATTGATGTCAGACATAAGTACACGCTGACTGACTCTTGACTAACTGACCCTCTCCTGGCTGAGTCCTTTCCCTAACTCTGATTCTTCTGTTGATCTTTAGGTCCATATGGGAACTCACATGTGGAACAACGCCCCAGCCCGTAGGGGGCGTCGTCTCTCGGTAGAGAACCCTCTGGCGCTGTTGGGGGGAGACACGCTGAAGTTTGGAGACATGTTCCAGAAGGACTCTCGGAGTGTGGACCCAGGCTTCTGGAGCAGATACGCCTCGGCCATCACCAACAGCCTGAAGAACAACGAGATCTCAGTGATCCAGAACAGAGCCCTGCCCCAAATCCACCCCCTGTCTGTGGAGCGCGTGAGCGCCCCCATCAGTCTGACCAAGAGCATGGAGCTGGGAAACAACAGGCATTTCTCTATGTTGATCGACGACACTAAGGAGATTGGAATCAACTGAACTAAACTTATGCAATTATATGGACTATAATGTATTTGTAAAAACTCTTGTTATGTATAATCTATAGACTTTATAAATGACTTTTTATTGAAGAACAAGCCCAGCACACTCATGTTTGCCCCATGCTGTCACTTGTGGGGAAAACCTCTCAATAAAATAACTTTATTTCACGGTCGTGGACGTATTGTTCAGTTGAAAACAGCGTGAATCAAAGACTCTCTCTCCTCTGGACAGCAGCCAGTGCGGCTAAAGCACAAACCTGCTCCAAAATACAAAGCTCCCATAAGTCTGACTCCTGAGGTTTTGTCACTGTAAAGGTGGAAACGGTCATAAAGAACATTTAGACTGAATAAAAGATAGAGAAAAGAAAACTAATGTTGTCTTTTTTGCACTTTACACTTTACTTTGACACCGCGACTAATAACATATTTCACAATTTAACTCTGTATTACATCATGTAGTACAAGGTTATTTACTTTACTCGTAACAAGTGGTGGTAATCTTTTTTGCTGCCACACCTACTTCTAAGAGAGACCGTCAGTCTGTGCCAATAGACACCACCGCTGCCTGACGCATTCACACCACAGTAATAATTAGTGGTTGAAGTTGAACATAAACAATAGAAGTCCACAAATTAAAGATATTGTTTTTTGATTAACACTTGAGCGAGGCAAGCATGTTGATATAAACATAGTAATACGTGATCAGATAATAGAAATTCTACAAGACTTGGACATGAATTGACCATTACATGATAAAGCCTTCCATTGAAAGTCTCTCTCTGTGTGTCTCTCTGTCTCTGTCTCTCTCTGGGTGTCTCTCTGTGTGTCACTGTCTGTGTGTGTGTGTGTGTGTGTCTGTCTGTCTCTGTGAGTCTCTCTTTCTGAGTCTCTGTCTGTCTCTCTCTCTGTCTGTCTCTCTCTGTCTCTCTCTGTGTGTCTCTCTCTCTCTCTGTCACTTTCTGTGTGTCTCTCTCTCTCTCTCTCTCTCTCTGTCACTTTCTGTGTCTCTCTCTGTGTCTCTGTCTCTCTCTCTCTGAGTCTCTATGTCTCTCTATCTCTCTCTGTGTCTCCCTCAGTCTCACTCTTTCTCTCTCTCTGTCTCTCTCTCTCTCTCTCTGCGTGTGTGTCTTTCTCTGTCTCTGTGTCTCTATAATAATAATAATAATGCATCAGTTTTATATCGCGCTTTTTAGGACACTCAAACATGCTTTACAGAGGATTATTCATATATATGTGTCTGTCTCTCTGTCTCTGTGTCTCCCTCTGTGTATCTCTTCGTCTCCGTGTCTCTCTCTGTCTGTCTCTCTCTGTCTCTCTCCGTCTCTCTGATGTCATGTCAGTGTTATTGTTTTAGAATAAAAGGCCAATCTTTTATTTCTGAGGGGGCCGGCACCCACGTCCTGGTGTGACGTCATCACGCCCAAGCCCAGCCAAGATGGCTGACAGCATCCCGTTAAATCCGGTGAGGAAGAACTCGAGGAGAATACCGTATTACAACTCCGCCAGACTTTCAAGGTACACAGGGGCTCCGTGTGGCCCTTCCTTTGGTTGTAAATAAAATATCGGCTTCTGATGACCCCCACGTGCTCTTCCGGTGCGCTGTTTGTTGTTTAGCTGTTAGCCTGTGTGTTGCTAGCTCCAGTGCCAGCCCCTCTCATCTGACAGGTTCACGCGCTACTGTCCGCTCCGCGCATCCAGGAAACACAACATTTCCTGCTCTGATCATCCATAAAACTACACATAAACCTGCTCAGGGCGGAAATTAAATCCAGCAAGACGCGTATCCACCGCCTATGACAGCTCTCGTTGACAAATAACATCACATGACAAGCCTCACCTGACTCCTGTTCTGTCAATACTAGAAAGATCTCGAGAAACAATTTCGACCACTTGAACTGACGTACACTTCCCCAGGTATGTTTACTGATCAATTAAAGCTTAAAATGCTGAAATCGTGTCTCGAGCTGGTAGAGCAATGCAAATGAACGACCAAAGCACGATAATTTGTTGTTGATTATCAGTGAATTCACATATTATTCTGTTATGCACTCGCTGCTCATACTGGTTAGAGACCTGCTAAGTAAATAAGCAACATTTTTCATTGTCTTTTGCTAAAATATTGCGTCAGTGAGGTTGCTAAGTAAAATAAATCTCCGTTTTCCATTCACCAATAAGTATGTCTGCCAGTCAAGTGAGTAATGATAAATAATAAATAAACAGGTAATGTTTTCGGGTCCAAAGCTCTATGTTTCTTCCTCAACTCACAGTGAACCTTAACCTTATTTTTGCTTTCTGAATGCCATTGCTGTGCGTCATTGTGGGCTAATATTGAAGCAACGATTGTTCTCTAAAATTACACAAACTGAAGAGAAATGATTACTAAAAATGAAACAGCATTCTCAGATTTTTTCCCTTAAAGTAGCTGAATCATCTGCAGTAGAATGAGTACGTTAAAGGAGCAGTAGAAGACCTATAGCTCACTTTTACCATATGGAAGATAAACATTTGTTGAAAGCTATGCAAATGTTTCAACATTTTATGGCTTCAAGTTTGTACTTTGGTCTCTAAGATGTATTTATATTGCGATACTCAAATGACGAAGACATTTTGAGTTTAGTTTATGTTTTACTGGAGATGGACAGGGCGTGATTTGAGTATCCCGATGATGATTGTCTGAAGAAAATGTTAAATGCATTAGTAGAGATTTAAGTATTATGTGAAAGGATTGTGAAATCACTTTATACTCCAGCTTGTTTTGAAGTTTACAATATACGCCTGTTCATTTTTATTTCAAGTGAGCTGCACTTTGAGACACTTTATTATAAACAAGATGCCTTGACTTCAAATTTTGCAGAACTTAAAAACCGCATTCATTGTATTTTTGATTATTATATTGCCCAATCTAGCCACTATGTGTTATATTTAATTACAAACATTTTTTCTCATCTTCCTAAACTGTAGACCCAGCACCTCTGTCGTAGTCCCCGCAATTCGAGGTTTTGCTGCTCTTTCAGTGAGCCCAGAGTTGGATAAATCTTAATCCGCTTTAATCCAACTGATGCTATACTTATGTCTGTTTACAAGCGTGTATCTGTGGATGGATAACATTCTTTCACATATTACATTTGCGGACTTAAACGTCGTTATTTCTCAAATGCACATGTATATTATGCCACTGTTAGGGCAGGAGGATTAATCACAATTGGATTGAAGTTACATTTTGAATGGGTGCAATCCGCAAATCACAAAGGCTGCAATTTTTCAAGTAACATGCATTCCACCACCAACAATAAAATGTCCTGTTTTTTCTGCATAAAAATGGTGAACCCTTTTTTTTAGATGTTCTAAAATGTGATCGTTGTCATAGTTTGTAAGTTCACATTTCGGTCTTTTTGTAAATTTTTTAACCCAAATTGTTTCTCAAAGCCTTTGCAGTGCTTTTACAGTCTCCATGGAGATGTTATTGCTTTATCTTGAACGTACCTTTCATTTCTCTTACTCTGAACGGGGTCTCCTCTCTACAGATCTGACCTGTAACTTAGCTTTGTGGCGCCACCTACTCCTAGATCGACAGATTCAATGCGTGGAATAGTCTGGAATATTCCAGGCAAAGCAACAACATTTCCGTGGAGACAAGCAGGCTGTCTCCACCATAAAAGTTACACAGTTCATCTTTAATCCTGACATTTATAAAAACGTTTCACATAATGGTTTACCAGAGTTTAGCGGTGATGCAGAGCTGAGGCTGGCTGACTGAAAGAGCCTAATGAATAAGACATGAAGTGCTTCTCAATGCATTTTCAGTATTTGTGTAGGATGTGAATAGGAGAGGCTTTTGAGTGGCTAGCAATCTGCTGCACGCTAGCTACTGAACGCTTTGGATTTGGATTCCCTTGTTACCTGATATTATTGCTATGGTTGCCTTTCTTTTACTGGTAACTCATCAACTAAACCCGATTCACTATTGATACTCGCAGCGACGTCATCAACATCCTCAGGGGGGTGTGAAGCTAACTGAAAGCACTGCTCTGTTAGAAGCTCTGTTACTCAAGTTAGACTTTAATCTGAGCTTTATTTTAACACAATCTGACCAAAAAAGAGCTGACTTGAGTGGAACTACAACAGGTGAGAAGATTTGTGTGTAAACAAGTCTCTCTGCCACAAACTAGAGAGCACTATTTGGACATTGTGGACCCCAGGAAGAGTAGCTGGCGTCACGGACATCAGCTAATGGGGATCTGAATAAAATCAAAAATCAAATTATGCCAGGCGTACGCTGTGCGATATTTTCATTTCACTCAGCCCCAGCACAAACTGAGCAACCATATCGCAGGGTTTAAAAGTTCACAGCTCACAATTAATGTTCTCATACTATCCAAACTACTTCAGCAGTGCGAAACCAGTTTGAAACAAGTTTGATCTTCTTGCGACGTATGATTGCCGATCAGAAGCTGGTCGTGAGATATTAATCGGTTCTCGCTACTACATGAAGCACGATGAACAATTAAGCTCGATCCCAAAAACAGTCGCACGGGTGAAAATGGGCTTAAAAAGTGCCAAAAGTTGCACATTGTATGCCCGGCATTAGCCAACAGTTTTTCAGTCAGTCACTCTCATCTTTTTTTTATTGAAAATCAAACTCCAAAACATGACCATGAACCCTCGTGTTGATCACAGGCTATTATTTAAATATATTTTTTATTATATATTTATTTGAATCCATTTTGTCATTTTTTTCTTGCTAATATTTGCATTTTGCCACCATGGTAATTCATGATAATTCCACCAATAGATACACATGTAAAACACCCCCAGCATGATGTCACTGCAAAGTATCAATATCTCTTCTTTCATCGACATTGTACCTGTCCCTTTCTCAAATACAGGCCTGTAGAATGAGGTGAGACAATCTGAAACCCAGCCACTCCAGAATCAAAATCAAAACCAGAATTTATTTGTCATTTCAATATAAAAATGCAGCAAAACAAAAGGTTCCAGGTTATCAGCCGTATAAAAAAACACTACAATAAATTTAACCCTTTTTGAAAATAATGAAATGTTTCTCTGCAGATTCTCCCTTGAAGATGACCCGTCCAACTTGGATGAGATGCCTCTGATGATGTCGGAGGAAGGCTTTGAAAACGATGAGAGCGACTACCAGACTCTGCCCCGGGCCAGAGCCAACAGCCGGCGCAAGGGCTTGGCCTGGTTCCTGTGTGGGGGCTGGAAGGTCCTCTGTGGCAGGTACTTGATTTACCATTTATTATATTAAGACTTTACTTCAACAATATTTAGTTGCCTGACCAGCCAGCCCCTTCTACATGCTGTTCAAATCCAGAAGGGTCTGGAACCGGACAATAGAGCGTGAAACCTCCGTCTATGCTTGAGACGATCCAACCAGAGGCACTACTTTGTATCAAGTGTCTCAAATGCAGAAGACGTCTCCTCTCCAAAATTCTTGTAACTTATATTGAACTTCTTTTACCTGAGATAAGAAATGGTTTGGTGATGATCAGTCACGTCCTACGAAATCAGAGAGACAGGATGTGGCTCCAGATCCATTTGTCTTTGTAAAATTTTGTCAAAGTGTGTGATTCTGACTGACCTAGTAAAATATTTGGTGTAAAATGTTTTTTTATTGGTCTGTCACAATAATTACAATAGTGACTAATTGGTTGATGAATGATGAGTGGAACAATAATTTTGGTTATTGTGGGAGCTTTTTCTTTGCACAAGTTGAGAACTTTGAGTTATTTTTCTGTTTTACAATAAGATTTGAGCTGTTGAGGGTTGAATAAATAACTTCTATTACTTGATTTTTGCTACTAGTAGTTGAAAGAATGAGAGCCTCGCACATCAGTTACTACAGATGGGTGCGTTGGAGGAGAGGGAGCAGCCCAAGAACATGGAGAAAAATCCCGCACACCGTCTTACTTGCAAATAGTGAAATTTAATAGGACAAACCATGCAACGTTTCGGCATTAGGCCTTCGTCAGGCAAGTGCCGAAGGCCTAGTGCCGAAACGTTGCACGGTTTGTCCTAATAAATTTCACTATTTGCAAGTAAGACGGTGTGCGGGATTTTTCTCCATGCTACTAGTCGTTGTCAGATGTAAAACCTGTTCCCCTCCCCTCACCAGGCCATCGTTCAGACTCACCTGTGCTCTTTGGTCTTCTTCTGTTAGACCAAAGCTGGTACACTATCAGACTGCAGTAACATAGATGGCATCTAGTGGTGACATGTGAGGGGTGGGTCGGCCAATCTAATTACAGACAGTATCTTTAAAACAGCATTTTGGGGGAAAATAACACCTACCACCATAACAAACATGAACAAACAATGTACAAAATATGTAATAGAGCAGTGGTTCCCAACCTTCTTCTCCCAGTTATCCATATTTTACCTCTGGATACAATGGCGACCCTTCCTCATTCTCCTACCTGAAAAGATATGATGACATATAGAGATATAATGAGAATATAGTTATTTTCTTGTAAATAAAGATCCCATCATTAAAATTCACATAATCTACTCGGCACTTCTTATCTCGGAAACAAAGGGGAGCCCCTTAAACTCTTTAGGGACCCGAATTTGGGTTGGGAATGACTACAATACAGCACTGTACCTCGGATCATTGAAAGTGTAAATCTACTATTCCATCTCTTTTTTTGCCTGTTGGAAAAGTGTTCTTGCTATCGTACTCTCAGTCACCCACTGCACTATTTAAAACTACCACCTACAACCCCATATTAAACTCTCACTTATTTCCTTACAGACCAGTGGCCCATTTTTCTGTAGCTCCACTTCAGCACGAAGATATTAAATAATACATGGTCAGAGTTTTACGTTTAGGTCAAAATGGGTCAAAAATGTGTGTGTTAACCAAAGCTGCAGTGCACTACATTAAAAGTGTGGTAAATATTGTTCATAGTGTTTGGATGCTTTTGAACATGGCAAAAGGTCAAGTGAGTTGAGATCAATTACAAATCAGGACTAAAGCAGAACTGAAGCAGGATGAAATCAGGATGAAATCAGGATGAAATCAGGATGAAATCAGGATGAAATCAGAATGAAACCAGGACGAAACTGTCACTAAACCATCACAAAACCCTCAATCAACTGTCACAAAACCAGGACTAAACCAGGACTAAACGAGAAGCTAAACCAGAGAGGCAGGTTTTACCTCAACAAAAGATCGTAAATCCTCATCAGTACTATGCTTTCTTACTGTCACATGATTGTTTGTAGACCTGTCGATTACAATGCGCATGCCTTATCATCGAGATCGACCAAAGTAGAGAATTATGTGAATTCGATTTTTGGCACAACCCTACATCTATGCATGTTTCAGTAATTTTGTGATATCTCCCAGGCCCTGTTCACACCCTCCTTACTGTTAGCTGTAAGATTCTGTGCAATGCTTCGCCCACAAGCCTACTTCACCCATGCTCCCACACGACATTTCTTCATAAATATACAAAAACATGACACAAAACTGTACACAGCAACTTGACAAACCTGGTGTGATGTGCAGTAGTTTCATTAGCAGGATGCTGATGCTGATTGTGTTGTGATAGCGCTCTGAAGGGGAAGTGACTTTGCATGTGGAGCGAAACTTTAAAACATGTTAATACATTGTTTTGTGGCAAATATAACATTTTCAAAGCACTAAAAGGTAACATGGTGCTCTAAATATGTTATGTTTTAGCAGTTAATACCCCATAGAAGTAAAATACCTCCTCTTTAATATATGAAAATGACCTCCAAAGTCACAGATATTATAGATACAGTTTTGTTATACATTTACTTTACTGTGTAGTCTTTGTGTTGACTTATTGCACTTCGCTCCACTTGTGTTTTGGTGGCACTGCTCTGTTCCTATGTGGATTTCCCTGTATGTTTTTGTAGTTGTCCCTGTGATGATCAGTTTGTGTTTCCAACGCTCCGGTAGCTGTGCATGAAGTGCAAAGAGAGGATAAGGCCATGTTTTTGGACGGCTTTTTTGGATGCGCACCATCAATCCAAAAAGATTTTCAGGTCAAACAGTAGAACGTGTTTTGTGCCGCTAATAATAACTCATGTGCGTTTGCCCTCTAAAGATATCTGTTTGTTTAAACCAATGGAAGGTAGCTTTCATAAACACTATAATAAATGCGTGTTTACATTTATATGACAAATTCAGATTTCGTTTGGTTGTTAGCAAGTCTGTAGCTTTAACTGCATATTGATCTCCCTCTCCCCTCCCTCTCGCTAATGAACAAATCGGATCTTTCACAGCTGACCAGTTTGATGCTTTCCAGTAATTTTCTGTGTGCTTAGTGCGGGATTATAAAAGGCAAATAATTCACTTCGAATAAGCCGGCGCTGTTCAAATGCCATATTATTTGGAGAGCATTCATTTGCTCAAATAATCACCGTTATGAATCTGCTCTGGTGGCGCTCAGAGACACAGCCAACGTAAACAAGACTTTCACCCCAAAGTTTGATTTATTTAGTGTTTTGCCAACTTGGTTAAAAAGTGTAGAGGCCAAGTCGCTCAGCATGACGGTGTACACAGGCACAGGTGCAGCCAGGTCACAGCCAACTGTCTGTAATGCACTTCCACTGTTGGTTCGCCCATTAGAAAACACCATAAACCCCAGGCCAGTCAATGCAAGCTAATGGAAGCTTTATAGACTTTCCTTTAGAGTTAGCAGTGCAATAAGAGGCACTGACTATACAAAGAATGCACTGATTGTCAAACGTATGTAAAGAACTAGGAAGTACTTTGTGAGTACTAGGAATGAACCATGACTAAACAGAAATAAACACTTATACTTATTTGAAACCTTGGAAAATTATATAGAAATAATAATGGTATAGATTTGTAATATGTGTTTTAAATGTCCTATATTATGTAAAATTGACTCTTGTGAGCTTTAAGTCATGTTAGAATATTGTTGCCCCATCGAAAACATACCTGGAATTCTGTTTTTTTCCATTCACACATGTCTGAGTAATCCTTTATTATTAGTCTTTTTTACATCTCCATCACCTTGTGATGTCATGAAGTGGTAGTTTTCAAGTGAACAGCTACCTTTTACCTTTAGTTCACTAGAGATTGGCACTTCCAGGGCTGAAAACATCCAAATGATTCTAGTGAACATCTATGGAGTTTAAAAACACAGTGGAGTAAGGCTGTGCAATTAATCGGATTTTGATCACGATTTGAATTTGTGTGTCAAACAATCTCCAAACTCTTATAATCGAGTTGAAACAATAAAGCTTAACAAAGTTTATTTTGGGATGTTTTTTTTCTATATATGAGTATATTTATTTTATTTGTTAAATATAGAGGATGTAGAATGGCTGGATATATAGTTTATTTTGGATAAATTTATGTAAATTTCATGTTCAAAGTATATTTTATTTATTTTGCTTTATGTTTTATACATCGCAAAACTGCTCTAAGGTACATATTTGTAGCCTATATTTATTTTCAATTTGAAATTTTTCCAGAAATTACTAAGTGTTTTTCTTTTTTTTTTTTTTTTTTTGTGAGCGTGTGAGAAATGCTGAATAAATGCATCATGTACCTAAAAATAGTCTTTTGAATAATCATGATTTCAGTATTTACCAGAATAATGGTGATAATGAATTTTTCCATAATTGAGCAACCCTACAGTGGAGCACGTCCTGTATTACCACATGACATCACAAGGTGGAACAGGGTGTTTTCAATTTAAGAGAAGAGCTCAGCCTAGATATGCAGGGTTTGTGTGAATGCAACAAAACGAGTTCAGGTATGTTTATGATGAGGAAATAACATTATAACAGATCTAAAAAATATGAAATAGAATGTGGGCTCCTTAAAAAGTCGAAATTTGTTCACAGATCTGACCTTGTAAAAGCCCGGGAGCATTAACATGTGAGAGAAGACTAAAATATGAACTAATAAACGAATCCAAGAATCCTAATATTGTTTTTTCCAGCTGCTGTGACTGCCTGGCACGCTGCTGTCGGAGAAAGAAGGAGCTAAAGGCACGGACGGTGTGGCTTGGCTGTCCGGAGAAATGTGAAGAGAAATACCCCAAAAATGGCATCAAGAACCAGAAGTACAACGTCATCACTTTTGTGCCTGGGGTGAGTGAACTGAACACTGAGTATGAGTATGAGTAGTAGTGTTTGTGATTCTTTAGTTTTGACTTAATTTGGTAGGATAATATGTGTTTTAAATATAAATTATAGTTTTACAGCAATCAAGAACTCATGGCCTTGTTATGTACAGTTGTTAAAGGTGCATTGTGTAACTTTTTTGATGGAGGGCCCGTCAAATGCTTTTCTGTATGGAGATGTTATTACTTTGTCTGGAATGTTTTACAGTATGGCATTAAACCTTTCTGTCCAGACCCAAGTTACAGGTCAGATTTGTGGATAGGCTCCTCCTCTCACAGTCAGAATGCCTGTTTTTCTAGTTATTTTTGAGCTACAAAAGCAACTGTAATTTAATTAATGTAAGGTAGACATGTTTAAATTCATACTGTGGACAGATCAGGGACATATCCATAGAAATAAGCACTTGATGGAGCCCCAAACAAAAAGTTATATAGTGCACATTTGACATAGCCTGATTCATCAGCCGGTTTTACTTTGTGGAAACCGTTTGACCTCACAGCATTAGGACTCGTTCGCTCGAGGGTAGGCGGGTACTTTTTTTTTTTTTTTTTTTTACCAATTGCTGCTATTTGGTCATGATGTATGTAATGCGCCGCTAACGGGGCTTTAAATCCTCGATCTTGGGAATGCCAACACATTGCCAACATAGAATGTATTGCTCTTCGCTGATTGGCTGGTGCCTGACCTCACACTTCCGGGGTTTTAGTGTATTTTGATTCCTGATCTAGTCGCTGGAGAGAAATGAAATTGAGCGGAGGCACCAGGTGGCGCCAGCCTCTCTACCTTTGACCCAGCAGTTTTATTACTATGACTGGGTATCATTAAGAAGTTGCCGATACGATACATACCTCGAGACAGTGCATTCTCGGTTTGATACTATATATTTCAACTCGATTCGATACAGATCAATAAAAAATAATGGCTAATAGTTGAGTTAATATTAAACACAAACATTTTAATCATCAAAACAGTGAAAATGTCAAATGTGTCACATAAAAGCGTTTTCTTCTACTAAGCAACCAACTAAACTGCAGCGCTGTAACAAAATATTTTAGTAAAATATACCAAAAAATACTCTTGGCGATATATCGATACAGCAGTCCCCGATATCGATACTGTAACACATTAAACAATACGATATAGTGATAGTTTTGCACACTACTTATTACAGTCTAGAGTCCAGAGACCTAGACTTTCTTATACACCATAAATAAAATGCCAGCTGTCCAGTGGAGTCTCTAATATCGTAATCAGCACTGAACCAAACCTCGCCACTTTGAATTATTAAATACACACAAATTGAGTTTAGCCCTGTGCGTTTCTCCTTAAAGGTCGGGAGGTTCATTAACTCCTCCATTGATCTCATTGTCGGTGATAATCTGTGACCAGACACCAGGCTCCCATTATTGCAAACATTATTCAAAATCTGACCTTAGATGGATGTAAGAGCAGGACTGGTGCTGATGGATGGGTCATTAACAAAGTGTCCTGTGCGGAGTCTAAACTAAAAGATTTTAACAGCAATGTCCATCCTTTCATTTGTCATCATCTAGTGTTACTATTCAAGACCACAGACTGTATAAAGAAGTGGACTATGCGAGTGTGACGTCACCTGTAGTGTTCGGCGCCACTCAAATGAAACTTGTGAGGCTAGCGGCTACACAAGTGAATTTGGAGCCTCTATACTGTGAAAAGGACAAAATAGTAAAATAAAAACACCAGGATCATATAGAGCAGGTTAATATGAACGTTTTAAGACCAAAATGACAAGGCTCACAGCAGCAGTTACAGAGAGAGGAGCCAATATTCTAATGTAAGTCAATGGGAGTCAGGGTCAGAAAGAGTCGGAAGAGCCCAGATCAAACTTTCTACTTGGAACGCGGCGGGTAGCGGGTTAGTTCATTCCACTGTCCATTTATATATACAGTCTTATGTTCAAAACTCAGGTTTGTCACATGGTTATTGTGTAAATAAACGTTACTGTATTTTCCGGACTATAAGTCACACTTTTTTTTTTTCATGGTTTGGATGGTCCTGTGACTTATACTCTGGTGCGACTTATTTATTAAAATTTTCACACTGACAGCCATGAGAGACTCTAAACTTGTGTGTCAGTATCTGCTGCTCCTATTACTTCTGTACCGCTGTTACTTCACTCTACTGCGTATGCCTCCTGCAGAAAAAGCCTCTGTCCCGTCTGTTATCATCATGTCAGTCGATCGCACCATTATGTCTGTACCACTGAAAATGTAAAATTTAAGCAACTTCAGTGACAACAGAAACCATCCTGTCGGGATCCAGAAAGGCCTATTTTCTAACTGGAACTGATGCTGAGTCTGACAACGACTATGCAGAAGAGGAAGCGGCACTCCGTTTACCTCTGGAGGTCATGGAGTTGCTTAGAAGTGACATAGAGGATGAAAAATACAATTGATTTAATGATTTGGAGTAAGATGGAGAGTTTGTCCAGTAGTCCTGTGCGACTTATATTCTGGAAAATACGGTATGTGCTGAAATACCCACAAAAGTGCAAAAAATAAAAACAAATATTGACTTTATGCAGAACAACTAAAATAATAATAAGAGGAATTCTAATAAAAATGTATAAATATATACTCATCTTGAGTAGGGCTGGGAATCACAGGGACCTTCACGATTCGATGCAATACAAGGATGTGGCGATACATGTGATAATCGATATATCGCACATGATACTGTGATATTTCGCTGTTTTTTAAGATCCAAATCCATTTTAACAACAATATTTCTTTGTTAAATCACTACTTGTGCAAAGTTAATATCAGTACTTAAATAATTAAAACTGTGAGTACGTCAAGTTTCCATACACTAAATCAGCAACAAAAACGCAGTGCGGTCACAAAAAAATTGCTTAAATACCAAAAAATACTCATGGTGATATTTCGATACAGCAGCCCATGATAACGATACTGTATCACCAGATTTTATATCACGATATATCGATATTTTGATATTTTTGCACAACAGTGATCTTAAGTGACCCACACAAAAACTAGCCATTGTATCCATAGCTCATTCAAACATTTTCTGAGTATTTAATAGTCTGAAATCTTTGTTTATTGAATCTCTCTAAAACATTAGCTCATTCGTCTGCTGACATGAACCCAACGGCTCGTGGCGTTTGAAACAAGTGTCAGAGTTTCCATTAGTCTAATGTAAAGTGGCATTAACATGGATCTTATTCCAGTAAGAGACACGTACAGCAGTAACCCATCCGCGCTGATGACTGATCCTATTGAGGCCTGTCATCGTGTGGTTCGACCTGCCACATTTTAACTTCACCTTTTGTCCCCCTCTCGGTCTTCTCTTTCTTATTGCTCTCTTTCTCTGTCCCTCTCCTCCCTGTGTCTTTAATTTTCTTTCTCTCTCTCATCTTTCTTTCTCCTTCTGTATGTCTCTGTTTCCGCTCTCTCTCCTTTTGTCTCTCTCTGTCCCTCTCTTTTCTCTTTTGTCTCTTTTTATCTCTCTTTCACTGTCTCTCTCTCTCTCTTTCTATTTCTCTCTTTTGCTGTTTTTGCATGTTTTTGAGTTTCAAGTGACATAAAATAAATGTATTGTTAAAAGTCAAAGTCTCTCTCTCTCTTTCTCTTCTCTCTTGCTCTGTCTTTCTCTCTGTCTTTTTCTCTTTCTCTCTTTCTTGAGGGGGATGTGGGCGATGGAAGAGGTTTTGTGTGAAGTGAGAGGTGGAAACATATTCCTGAATTTTTAATATTTCTTAATTATGATTTTTAGGTGTGATTTCACGTGGTTAGAATAATCATGCAATAAAAACCTTCGAAAATCAAATCTAAAATCTCTCTCTTTCTTTCTCTCTCTTGTCTCTCCTTTTCTCTCCTCAGGTCCTGTATCAGCAGTTCAAGTTCTTCCTCAACTTGTACTTTCTGGTTGTGTCCTGTTCTCAGTTTGTGCCATCATTAAAGATTGGATATTTGTACACGTACTGGGCCCCGCTGGTAAATACCACACACACACACACACACCTGCATTTATATACTGCACTTTATGTCTGATATCCAATCTCCTTTTCCTTATCAATATTTTAAAAACACCGTGCTCTTATAGTGAACCCATCTCAACATTACAATTACTTCATTATAGCTTTAATACCACAGTAGCCTTCCAGATTACATAGTGTACAATTCCTGACCTCTACTTTCTACTGTTACTGCTTGTGCTTAATAATAACATTTCTTACACATTGTATTTTACTTTGGTACATGCTTAAAGGTGCACTGCATAACTTTGTGGTGGAGCGTATACTACCTAACCTTCCTAACGGTTTGTCTCCTCGTAAATTATTGCTTTGTTGTTGCTGATTTTCGTCTGGATGGCATTACAATCATTTATCTCCATGGAGAAAAGCAGGAGGCACCACAAGTCCAAATTACTGGTCAGATCTAGGGCACAGTATCATTAAGAAGTTGACGATACGATACATATCTTGATACAGTGAGCTTTCGACTCGATATGATTCAGTACGATATATTTCAAATCGATTTGATACAGTTTAATAAAAAATAAAGGCAAAGTCATGGTTGTAATACGCAATGTCTTTGTTAAACCACTTCTTGTGCAAAGTTCATATGAAACACAAACATTTTAATCATCAAAACTGTGAAAATGTCAACAAAACTGTAGCTCTATAACAAAATAATTTAGTAACATATACCAAAAATACTCTTGGTGATATATCTATACAGCAGCCCAAAATATTAATACTGTATCATTGCGTTACACAATATGATATATTGATATGTCAGTATTTTTGCACATCCCTAGTCAGATCTGTGGAGAAGCGAGCCCATTCATAGTAATAATGCATGCAATAAAACACACATACTGAACTTATTTTAACTTCTTTAACCCTATTTCCTGTCAATCATCATAGTATTGTTGCACTTCCTCTGACCTCTTGTATATATTTTATTTATCTTTCTGTTTTATTTTTTGTACATTTACATTTTTATAATTATGTTTTATCTGACTGACACCTGGCTCTTGCTATTTTTTTCTGCTACTTTAGAATTTATTATTACCATTTATATTATATAATATTGTGATGTGTGAACTACTATGTCGAAATAATTTCCCTTGTGGATTAATAAAGTTTGTGTAAGTCTAATTACATCTCCGTGAAGACAAACATGTATCCTACCCTGAAACAGAAAAGTTACGCAGTGCACCTTCAACAAGAAACTGTGAAATGTGATTTTCTTTTTGTTCTGTACTAAATCAGTCTTTCCCTCTGTCAGGGTTTTGTGTTGGCGGTGACGATGGTCCGAGAGGCGGTGGATGAAGTGCGTCGTTTCCAAAGAGACAAAGAGATGAACTCTCAGCTCTACAGCAAACTCACTGTCAGAGGTGAGAGAAGCCAGTCACACATGGTCTGGTGTGGAGCTGCCAAAAGCTTTCAAAACTGTTCAGTATCTTTGTGATCTGACCAATATATCTGACCCAAACTGCACTCACAGGATCACAGTTTATTCATTATGCAAAGAAATGTGCTAGTTTGTTTGTGAAAAGGGATATTAAACATACAATTTACTTATAAATGTCTCTAATCTTGTAATTAGGTCAACATTTTTTGGTCAACTAAACACCATCGCTTGATTAATCGAGCTAAAGGTGTGGATAGGTCACACCATGTTTAGTCCTGGCTTAGTCCTCTCTTAGGCCTGGCCTAGTCTTAGCTTGGTCCTGGTTTAGACCTGGTTTAGACCTGGTTTAGACCTGGTTTAGTCCTGGTTTAGTCCTGGTTTAGTCCTGGTTTAGCCCTTTATTTTAAGTTATACATACTCACATGGTAGGCAATAAGTTTGATTATAAAGACCTGGTTTAGACCTGATTTAGTCCTGACTTAGACCTGGTTTTGGCCAAGTTTAGACCTGGTTTAGGCCACACCGTGTTTAGTCCTGGCTTAGTCCCTTCTTAGTCCTGACCTAATCTTAGCTTGGTCCTGGTTTAGTCCTAGTTTAGTTATGGTTCAGACCTGGTTTAGACCTGATTTAGTCCTGACTAAGACCTGGTTTAGTCCAAGTTTAGACCTGGTTTAGTCCCTTTAAGTAATGGAGGAAACTGCAGTAACCCATCCACCTCTTTCTCTCATGTAACTATGTATACAAAATATATTACGTTATAAACATTTAGAGATTTAGTCCTGACTTAGACCTGTTTTAGTCCAAGTTCAGACCTGGTTTAGACCAAGTTTAGTCCCTTTAAGTAATAGAGGAGACTGCAGTAACCTTACCCACCTCTCTCTCTGCTGTTACTGTTTACCCACATAAGGACAGGTGATATTCTGGTGTACAGTGCAGCGCTCCCAGTGCAATTAAGAGCTGATCTACACTTGTAACTGAAGTCCCTGCTCCGGCCGTGAGAGCATTGATTTTCTCTTGGTTTCTCAGAGCCTATGATCTAAGATGTGTCCTTTTGTTGATTGTGCGGTCAGTCCCCCAGCGGCAGATCGGTGACACGCGCTGTAACTTTCGCACCCGTTGAGTGCTCTGAGCGTGTAGGCAGAGGATGTGTTCAATCAGCTCTGTGTGGATACTCTTATGTTTTTGCACTTCATAAAAAAATTATATTACCAGACAGTATGCGTGGGTGTGGACAATACTGAGAGAAATTAATACCTCTTTTTTTTTTTTATCTTGATAGCAATATTCAAAGGATATTTAACATTGCATCATGAGTTTTCAGAGGTTCAAATCTATTTAAAAACATGAATTAACATTTCACATAATACAATTTTAACAAAACTACAAAAAGACAATGTAAAATAAAAAATGAATGAATTTCTGTTATAAAATGTTACTATTTTTGTACTTATTAACACAACTTTAGCGGGATGAACGCTATCAAATAAGCCGGTAACTCCTATTGTTCTTTATCTTTCTAATGAATCTAATGTTTTCTGTTTTCTCCTTTAGGAAAAGTCCAGGTGAAGAGTTCAGACATACAAGTGGGAGATCTGATCATTGTTGAAAAGGTACATTATAGTTGTTTGACTGCTGTGTTTGGATCAAAATGTGGCTGGTGGAAATATTTTACATGACATTATTGTTGAATGACAAAATCACATTTGTTTACCTCAAAAAACGACTAAAGAATAATTTTCCTGACATATCTGACATAACACAATTCTTATTTCTGCGTTTTTTCGATTTGTAGAACCAGAGGATTCCTGCAGACATGATCTTTCTGAGAACATCAGAGAAAAATGGTGAGTAAAGAACGTCAATTTTAATGGAAAAACTTGTTTCGGACCCAAATAGGATTGTGTCACTGACCACAAACAATACAGTATATTACAACAGTTCTGCTTGTTGTGTACCAAATAAATGAATTACTCTTGTCAAGTTGAACTCTGTCTGCCCTTAGTTGATGTCAGGATCATTTAGATGAGAGATGTAGATTTCCAAGAATCCCCTGCTCTGTGTCGTTATGGTGATTCATATTATTTATGTCACCTGTGACTGATGCTGCAGCCAGGTGCCAATAAGTTGATGAGGCTTTTTAGAGGAAGTGTTCAGAGACATTATTCACATCTCTCACATGTCAATATGGTGTTACCGATAACAGAAAAACACTCCCTTCACATAAAGATACACACACAATAGGTTACATTATAAAGACCTGGTTTAGACCTGACTTAGTCCTCACTTAGTCCTGATTTAGACCTGGTTTAATCCTAGTTTAGACCTGGTTTTGGTCATAACAGACATATACACCCTGCAGGTAAAGATGTTCTAATTTTGGAAGGTAAAGTTTTTATCCTGATCCGACCTGAATAGAGGGATCTTTTGTTTAAACAACAATAAATTGAACATTTTGTCTAATTAAACATTTGCGTAATATTTCTGGTGGAGGGTCTGCCACCTGTTTGTCTTCAGGAAAAAATATTATTGCTTTGTCTATAATGTTCCACAGTATAGATTAAATGTATTTATCACGAGGGACACCAGCAGGTTATAGCACTTACACTACGATACAGGTCAGATCTGTGGAGAGTCGTCCCTATTCACTGAAGGAATTACCGTATTTTTGAGCAATAGAAACACCCGTAATGAATAAATGCTAGATGGAAATGTTTAAAGCCATACCATGGAACATTCTAGGCAAAGCAATGGCATCTCCATGGAGACAAGCAGGTGGCGGACCCTTCACCAGAATAGTTGTACCTTTAAAAGTACACTAACTTTTATAATAGATTTGTTTTTATGGAAAGGTTATTGATTTGTCAGGAATATTCCATAGTATGAGATCTGTAACTTGGCCTGGTTGTGTCACCTTCTTACTGTTTAATGCCCTACTGTGGAACATTCCAGGCAAAGCAATATCATTTTCATGGAGAAAAGCAGGTGCACCATAGCGTACCTTTTAAATATGTTGGAATATGCAAACATCCAGCGTCAGTATAGGTACATAATATAGTATTTTAATGCATTTATTGATTAATGCTTATCCAATATCTCATACTGACACTATTCTGATATTCTTGGGGATTGGACTCAATATCTAGTACCAGGATCTTTTCTTGATGCATCTTTAGTTTTAATTTAATTTAATTGCATTTTGACAGACAAATATAAAAATTATTGAATTCAAATCTTGATGTATTTGTTCACACAGTGATGTAATGTGAGCTCTCCTTGCTTCAGTCTAAACTCGTAAATCTCTGCCTCTTTAATTCTCCCATCATATTTAATCTTGAGGGGCGGTTTAGCTCTGCCCTTTAGCCTCTCTGTCAAACGCTGTGTCTCCTCTGTTAGTTTCTTATGTAATATTACCTCAGATCAATACAGGTCATGACTGTGAAGCGTCCTCAGGCATTCAGACACTCACTCATCTCCAATAGGCTCTTTATTAATGAACCGCACTGGGGAAGACGATCAATCAATTTAACACAGGAAAACAGTTTCAGTGGAGTAAGAATTTTAGCCTGAGTTTGGCGAATACATGGAATAAATTTTTTTTTTCTTTTTTGGCATTTACTATTTTCATGAAAATTGTTCAATAAAAGTTGTTTTGGTGATATTTTCAGCAAAGGTCAATAATGAGTTTGTCCTAGTTTAGACTTAGACAAAGTTTATTGATTCACAAGGGGAATTATTTGGACACAGTAGCTCACACATCACAATATAATATTATAACAAAGAGCAAAAATGTAATGGTAATAATAAATTCTAAGTAAGTAGCAAAAAAAGAGCAAGAGACAGGTGTCAAATTAGACATTATTATATATGTCAAAATAAAACAGAAAGATAAGTAATAACATTTAAAATCACTTTAGCTTAAATCAGCTTTATACAAGAGGTCATAGGAAGACAGTGCAACAATGATTTGAGGATTTATAGTTTTCTTGTTTACAGTTTTATAGATTTATAATTTAGACCTGGTTTACATGCAGTTTAGTTCTGATTTAGTCCTGATTTAGTCTTAGTTTGGTCCTGGTGGTAGTTGGAAAAAACAAATATTTCATGAGGTGTTACTGAAAACACCTATAAAGTTGGAGAACTGCACTGTATCTTGGCTAATATGAAGTTTTAAGCATGTTCATGTTTGCATGTTTCTAAATGTGTCTTTTAATGTAGTGCTTTGTCTCGTGCAGGTGCCTGTTTCATCCGCACAGATCAGCTGGATGGAGAGACAGACTGGAAACTCAAAGTGGCTGTGGGCTGCACACAAAGACTTCCTGCTGTCGGGGTAAAATGCACTCGCCACTGTTTACATTTAATTTCAGCCTTGTATTCTGGCCTGATGTCAGAAAGGCTTAATCTGACACTTTCGAACTTCTGACTCACTGGAATAACATATCCAATGTTTTGTTGTTACTTTATGTGTTGAGTAGTACTGATATATGTGATATTTGGCCTGCTGATACTGATATTTCACGTTTAAGATCCACGGCAAGGCCCACAAATTTATCTCAAGTGGAAGTAAAGATCACAAATTAACTTTTTACTTTTGAATAAATGTATTTATCTAGAATATAAAATCATTAGTTACATGTTTGTGTTAACTATAAGACAATTTAAGTTGTTTTATAGTGTTGGATAATTTCACGAGATTCATTTTGACATAACACTGGACCAGTTTGATTTATCTTTCATTTATTTCCCAATTGGCCAATGTATAAAAAATAATCATGTCAGATGCAAGCTGTAGTATCATTCTCTTACAAGTGGTTGCAGAAAAGAAAACATTATCTGTGAAGATCATCACCTCATTGCCGTCTGAACTAGAAATGAACCAGTGGCCGGCAACAGTGGACCAGATTCAGTGTATTGGCTCTGAGGTTGCATGTCACACTGAATAATTATATCAATTAAAATCAATTTTGGAGCTGAAGGCCAACAAGCTTCCTGTTAACTGTTGGAAAAAGCTCTATTTAACAGAGATGATTGAGGCTTTGTCATTTATTAAAACAGAATAATTTCGAAAGAGATTCTTAACCATAATGGGACCCTGAACAGTGTCTCTCTGGTCTCAAATGTAAATTTTTGTCTGTGGTATTACTAGTTGATTGCACAGTGGTCAGATGCAATGACAGTAAATTGAATCTGTAATTGAATCTGAATAGTTTTCACAAATGAAAGATAAATGTTTCCTGGAAAAAGTCTAAAAAGCAAAAGTCATAATATATAGTTTAGTATTACATTTTAATAATTAGCCACCAGGTTAATCAAATTTATTTATTTATTTATTTATTTATTTAAAACAAGGACAGTGCACAGAAAACATTAAACTCAAAGAGAAAAGATGCTCTGTGTCAGATTTTGCTACAAGCTTCTTTCCACCTGCAATCCTCGGGCAGGTACAAAAAACATTAAGGAAACTATTTACACAACAAAAATTCATCATTAACAGTGTCTCTTTAAAATAACTACTATCTAATTCATCATTAAAACAATCAAAATGAATTCATTCTATTCATTCTAGTCCATAAATACAAGATTTGAAATTCATTATTATTATTATTAATTAATATATTATTAAATTAAGGCTATTTATGCCATACTTTGCTCTAAAAGTTGTCCAATAATAATTGTACAGGTGTATGTATACAGTGAATATGATCCTTGTTGTAATGTGTAATATGTTGATATCTAAAATGAACCAACAACAATAACTGTACTCAAGGAGTTAAAAATTTAAAAAATCAATCACATGTCATACAATTCACATTTAAAGGTGCACTCTGTAACATTTCTAGTGGAAGGTCCTCCACGTGCTTGGCTCCATGGAAATGTTATTGCTTTGTCTAGAACAGAGGTGGGCAAACTACAGTCCGGGGGCCATATGTGGCCTTTTAATCTTTTTAATCCGGCCTGGCAAACTTGGCAAATAATAAAAAAATTCTGTGTTTTATAAGTAATTTCAGTAAGTAGGAAATACCGTGGGACTTGAAAGACAGATATTTAGTTGTAATGCTTTTTTTCAAATATGGGATATTTCAATAACATGGGACATATTTTCGACATATCCCATGTTATTTTTTTCTCTTATGAGGTGGATTAGCAAAAAACTACATCCATTTGCTCCTGGTCCTGCCCTTCAGTCAAATTTTAGTGCCCTTTGTGGTCCATGAGTCAAAAAGTTTGCCCACCCCTGGTCTAGAATGTTCCACAATATAGATTAAACCTGTTTTATCACGAGGGAGGCAAGCAGGTTACAGCACTAAGCTACATTATGAGTCAGATCTGTGGAGAGTCGTGCCTATTCACAGAAGGAATCACTGTATTTTTGAGCAATAGCAACACCTGTGATGACTAAATACTAGATGGAAATGTTTAAAGTCATATTATGGACAATTCCAGGGAAAGCATTAGCATCTCCATGGAGACAAGCAGGTGACAGACTCTCTACCATAAAAGTTACACAGTGCACCTTTAAAGTAAATGTATATATCTCATCTAAGTCTTATATGTTCTTTTGTTTTAGGACCTCTTCTCCATCAAAGCCTTCGTTTACGCCCAGAAGCCCCAGCTGGACATCCACAGTTTCGAGGGCAACTTCACGCGGGTACAGTACCGACGGACATTTTAACTGCCGCAAAGACAAACGCGTTTAGATTTCCTTTACAAACCGCCCCGTGTATATCACTACGCCGTGTTGACAAGTCCCTACAATGGCGTCTTGTGTGTCTACAGTTATCTACAGCCTTACATCACAGCCCCTTCCCCTGTTCATCCCTTCTCACTTGTTGCTTGGTGATTTTTTTTTTCTTTTTCGTCTTGGTTTTTTATTAATAGCAGATTAGCGCAGCCCCCACAGTGAGTAGAGTTGCGATACAAAGGCGGCCATTGTAGCTCGCCTTCAGATTTGGCCACACAGCAGGTTTAGTGAGCGAGCATTTCCTCCACTCATTCATCCTCTGCAGCCTTCCTTTGCTTTTAGCCCGAGCGCGATGGGAAAAAAAAGGTTCCCACAGCATCCCCGGCAAATGAACTTACCTTTTTATGAGTTTTTTTGTTGTTTGTTGCTTCAAGCGGATGTAGTGGTGGCGTAGTTAACTGGGTTCATACAAACATGAGTCCAACAAGGAAATAAAGAGAAAATGAAAATTGTTACAGAATTTGAAGCAATGAGTTTTCAAGATATAAACTTATGTTAATTTCTTTGCTTTGTATTTTAGTATTAATACAGACAACTGATGTTAATTTAAAGGGCTATTACGCTATTTTCTGATGTATGCTATAATGCTGTTTCCTTTTGTTGTGTTCTGTTTCATTCACACATTTAACACACACACCGAGTATATTTAGGTTGAGTTCTGCTCTCAAACTGTAAACACTGTTCCACCTTGTGATCTCATGCGGTAGTACAGAAAGTGCTCCACAATGTTTTTAAACTCCACACACCTTCACTGGAATGATTTGGGTAATTTTAGCCTTGGAATTGCCCATTTTTACTGAACTAAAAGTAAAAAGTAGCTTGAAAACAACATTGTAACATGACTTAAAGTTCACAAGAATCATTTTTTACAAAATATAGGACGTTTAAAGGTGCACAATGTAACTTTTCCAACGATGGGTCAGTCGCCTTGTTGTCGCCTCTCCACAGATCTGACTTCGAGATGTCGCCTGCTTGTCTCTATGGAGATGGCTATACTTTGGAACATTCCAGGCAAAGCAATAACATCCTCATGGACATAAGCAGGTGGCAGAACCTCTGCCAGAAAAGTTACACAGTGCACTTTTAAAGCAAGTGGACTTTTTGTCATTAAAGCTGCTATGTGATGAGAGATTTTCTATTCATCAGGGTTCCCACAGTCATGGAAATCCTGGGAAAATCATGGAAATAGAAAATGTCATTCTCTAGACCTGGAGAAGTCATGAAATTTTGTAAATTCAATGAAAGTTTTGGAAAAGTGATGGAATTTTAGTATCTCTTTCACACAACTACAGCTTTCTGTTAAGTTATCATTAGGCTGTTATGATTATTTCTGAACATATGAGCATTTTGTTTAAAAGAGACGACAATAAATGCACTGACAGGATTTTGAATGTTAAAAAACTATAATACCAAACCATAAGGTGAGTGGAAAGGGTTAACATTTCATATTTAGCCTTTAAAGTATGCTAAATTCTACACATACAGGCTGCTGTAAAGTCATGGAAAATTACACTTTATGTCATGAAAAAGTCATGGAAAAGTTTTGAAATTTTGTGAGTGAAAAAGAGTGGGAACCCGGATTCATGTTAATTAAAAAGACCCTTAAAATAACTAATAAATAACTAAAATAACTGGCAAACTTACAAACTGATTACCTGATTTAGAGTAATGTATATTTGACCCACCAGGCAGAAAATTATAGTGGGAGTCTGTTCATTTTTGCCTGAATTATTGATCAATAAATTTTGCAATAGCTCAGAGAAATCAGAGGAATCTTGCGAGTCTCTGGGGAACAATTGAGTTATGAAGCCCTGACTAAGACCCCAAAGTCAGTGCGGTCAAGCTCCCTCCGACCTGCATATATTTTTCATGCTCCTCTCTCCCTGTGTGTTTGAGTGGACCGTCCGGATGTGGCTGCAGCTTAGGTATCATAATTATCATATCAGTCGAGCAATTTGAGACGAAACTGGAGCTCTCCTGACTCAAGCCGTTTTCACCTTTCGTCTTTATTTAAGGGAGAGAGTAAGGAGCGAAACAGGACCCCCCCCAGAGACCTTTTTATCTGTGAAATCTCATCTATGCGCTCGCTCCATACTGTTTTTAAAGGAGCCTGTATCACCCAGCCAAATCTACTATTGAAAAAGGGGCTACTGTATTATTGCTACGCTGTGCACAACTGAGGCAGGTGCAACTGGGAATTAATGGGACAAGAGAAAAGCCCTGCTCCCATTAGGGTTTAGTATTGACTGGGATCTGTTACTGTACTGCTTAAAATGTAGTTTAAGAAGAAAATACACTATAACTACTGCTACTATTACTACATACAAGATTCTGTACAGAGACTGAGGAGGTATTTTGTCAACTCTCTGACCTAACACAAGGTTCAGTATTACACAAAATTGACTCTTGTGAGCTTTAAACCATGTTCCAATGTTGTTACTTCCTCAAAAACATACCCGGATTTATGTTTTGTTTCATTCACACATGTTTGAGTAATCTTTTATTATTAGTCTGTCTACATCTCTAAAGCTCTAAATGCTCTGTTCCACCTTCTGATGTAGCCGTAGTTTTCAATTTAACAGCTCCTTTTACCTTTTGTTCAGTAAAAAATGGCAATTCCAGGGCTGAAAGTACACAAATGATTCTAGTGAAGGTGTGTGGAGTTTAAAAACACAGTGGAGCACTTCCTGTATTACCACATCAGAAGAACACAACACTATGGAGCTTAAATAAAACTTTAAACTTATGACTTATCAATTTTGTTTTCTAATATATTGTGAAAAGCATTGTCATGATTTTTGACATGTTTCTAAGTTTAAATAGATTTTTTCCATTTTTTTCCAGGAGGACACAGACCCCCAGATTCACGAGAGTCTGAGCATCGAGAACACACTGTGGGCAAGCACCGTCGTTGCATCAGGTGGGTACAAGTCTGTGTCTAGATTTTTGAGAGTTATGGTTCTTAAAGGTGCACATTGTAACTTCTGGCCCATCTTCTTCTTGTCTCTGCGGAGATGTTATTGTTTTGTCTTAAATGTTCCACGGTATAGCATTAAACTTTTTTATTTTAATTTTTTCCCCCTACCTTTTTAATTGCTTAAAATTTACCCTGGTTGGTCCTTCTGCTCGTCTCTATGGAGATGGAAACCACATCTCCATGGAGGCAAGAAGATGACATACCGTCCTCGAGAAAAATGTGCATCTTTTTAGAATGATTTTGTAAAACAAACCAACCAAAGTTTGAAAAATTTCATGATTGAGTTTTATGCAATAACATTCAATGCATTTTTCATTGTAAAATAAACTATAAACAATAACTACTTACCATTTATTTAACAAAACTGACACTAAAAAGACGCACACTGTGTGATATTTTGGATGGTTTCACTCGGCCTCAGCTCAAACTGTACGACCAAATTGCAGGGTTTAAAAGTTCACAGCTCACGATTCATGTTCTCACACTATACAAACTACGTCAACAGTACGAAACCCTCATGAGAGGCGACTGGATTTCAAACAGGTTTGATATTCCTACGATTGCCGATCGAGAGCTGGTCGTGAGATATTAATCGGTTCTACACTACTACATGAAGTACGAGACACGATTAAACCAAAACTTGATCCCAAAAACCTTAGCACGAGTGAAAAATTGTCTCAGAAAGGGCCAAAAATGGCTTAACAAAACAGTGAAATAAAACCCAGGATCCTGTAGAGCAGGTTCAGAAGAATATTTAAGACCAAACTGAGGCTCACAGCAGCAGGGTTAGAGTTAGGGTTAGGACTACAGTAGTAATAGAAATGATCAGGTTCAACATTTGTGAATTTACCTTTTGGATATTTCATGACAAAGTACAAAGTCAATAAGGAAAACTGTCCCTTGCGCCCTCTATCTGAACGTATGACAATCACATTCAAGAACCTGAAAACCACCAATAGCACAGAATCCTCCTCTATCATACCATCACACTGAATTCCTCGCATTTCTGAGCCTGACGTAATGCAGTGAGCTCTGTTGGTGACAGTTGAGAGTGTGGTGTTCGACTCGCGGTCTGACCCAGAGCCTGACCTTCAACACAAACAGCTCCTCTCAACAGTTACGTCATCTGCTGCTCAGGAATTTGTCAAATCCCCAAACGCTCGGCTCCTCCAGTGGCAGGGAGGGGCTAAAGCAGGCCGCCACGGGTCCTGGGAGAGTGAGAAATGTTTAGACAAGATCAAATAAGATTCAATCGATATTTATTTATAGAGCAGTTGACAATAATACAGAGACCAAAGAAAGATTCTGCTCAATTTGCCAAGAACAAGAGTTTAAATTAAAGATATCATAAAAAGTATTTATAAGAAGACTTTATTTACTTAATTAGAAAAAAATATATAAAATGAAACTGATGTGGTGGAGAATAATTTATAATTTAAGAACATTTTCTAGTCATTTGTGATGGTTATTTGTTTATGTCAACAGGCATTTGGTCTGGTTTAGAATTTTTTTTACATTGTAGTATAGCAGAATATATTTTTAAGTAGGGCAGGCCAATTAATTTATTGTTTTTACTGAGTCATGATCCAGTTATTTCAAATTAAGAAAGTTTGTAAGATTAAGTTTATTTATATATAAACTTTCACAGATAATTCTCAATAAATGCTTTACAGAGTGCAATAATAAATAAAATACCACATTGACGAGATAAATTATCAATTGTATACTTGTTTTTTTGTTTGTTTTTTTAAGAAATGTGTTATTCTTTTGTAATAAACAGCACTGACATAACGCATTTATGTTGTGTTATGTTCATAAAATGTATAACGAAATTAGGGCTGGGTATCATTAAGGAGTTGCCGATACAATACATACCTCGATACGATAAATACGATAAATTTTTCGATATAGTACATTTTCAATTCGATAAAATATATTTCAAATCGATTTGATACAGTTCAATTTTTTAAAAAAAATAAAGGCTAAATCATGATCATGTGATACTAAAAGTCTTTGTTAAACCACTTCTTGTGCAACGTTAATATGAAACAAACATTTTAATCATCAAAACTGTGAAAATGTCAAATGTGTCGCTTAAACGAGTTTTCTTCCACTAAACAAGTAACAAAACTGTACCACTGTAACAAAATAATTTAACAAATAATTTAACAACAACAACAAAAAAAGTGATCAATCAATATTTTTTGTCAGTATCGCCCACCACTCCATGAAGCCTCAGTCAGTATTATTCAAGTCGAGTCTTTGGTACTCGCTGGTTCAGTTCCTCTGTTTCGTGCCCTGCTCCAGCTGTGAGGAGAGATTAGTCTGTGCTGTGTTCAATTTGAAACCTTTTGTACACGCTGAGACCACTGCCATTTGTCACACCCCTGTTCAGCCTTTTATTCATCTCCTGCTTTATTCTCCTTATGAGTCTGCGGGCCTTAGGTGGGTGCTCCCTGCAACGAGGGCAAAAGAAGTCAATAGAGAAAAATACGCCAAAGGAAATTATAATAAATGATCATAATAAGCACTAATTCTCAACAAGAACACTCAAAATGAATACAATTTTCTTTCTCAGTTGGTTGATTTTATTTTATTTTTTCTAGTGGAGGATTCTGCCACCTGCTCGTCTCCATAGAAATTTTATTGCTTTGTCTAGAATGTTCCACAGTATAGATTAAACCTACGTATCACAAGAGAGACAAGCAGGTTACAGCACTACATTACATTACAAACCAGATCTGTGGAGAGTCGCTCCTATTCACAGAAAGAATTATTGTACTTTTGAGCAATAGAAACACACCTGTAATTAGGGATGTAACAATAACTGAAATATTGTGATATCGTATCGTCAAAGTTCTCACAATAATATCGTGGACCATCACAATATATCAAATTTCAAGTTTTTTTGGCTTAAATTAAGAGTTATGGTGCAGCAACAGCTAAAAAAAAAGACAGAGGGAGCGGCAGTAGCTCAGTTGGTAGAGCATTCGCCCACTGATCTGAAGGTTGGTGGTTCGAATCCAGTTCTCGGCATAAACATCACAGGTTGAGCGGTCAGATCCACTGACCCACAGGTTGGCTGATGTGAGTCTAGCTCCCACAGATGAATGCTGTCATTGTGTCCTTGGGCAAGACACTTAACCCACCTTGCCCACAGTGTCTGCGTACACTGGTGTGTGAATGTGTGTGTGAATGGGTGAGTGGTTCCTTGTTGTAAAGCGCTTTGACCACCTTGAAGGTGGAAAAGCGCCATAGAAAAATGTGACCATGTGACCAACTACATAGACCATGATCCTTTGCTCCATTTCAGTGTGACTATTATAGATAATAGAAATAACAGTTCTAAGCACTTTTAATTCTTAGTTCTTTGGATTAAGTCTTGTCAAGGCATTTTAAGAGGAAAAAGTTGCATATTCACAGTTTTACCCTCCACAAAATATTGCAATAAATATTGTACTGTGAGATGTATATCGTGATAATATCGTACTGAGAGATTTGGATTTTGTTACATCCCTAATCGTGAGCTTTCCCACGATATCACAATAAATATCGTACCGTGAAGTGCATACCATGATGATATCGTATCATGAAACTTGAATATCGTTATACCCCGACCTGTAATGAATAAATCCTAGTTAGATATGCTTAAAGTCGCACCATGGAACATTCCAGGTAAAGCAATAGCATCTCCATGGAGACAAGGTAGCGCAGTGCACCTTTAAATAGCATTGAATCATAGAGTGAAACATTGTTAACACAGCTTTTTACTTGAGGACTTTATTTTCATGGTTGTGGAATTTGACAAAAATAATTAATAAATAATAGAAATTATTATTTATATTTTTTTTATTCAATATATTCATGAATTATAGTATTAATTATGAATACATTCAATTTAAAGAACCCAAACACCACAGAAAAAAAAGACTAAAATACTGAGCAGTTTTTAGGGGCCAAAATGCACATAAAGGTAATTCCCTGTAGAGGTAATTCTAAACTCGAAGCACTCAGACAATCATTAAAAACTACCATTTCCTTTTAGCAAATTTTTAACCTTTTATATACTTCTGTAATTTAGGACTTTGAAAGCTTGTAACGAGGTTTATTAGCACCTTTTTTCTCATTAGCCTCATTTAATATTAATGCTCTGTTAATCCTTTGTAATTGGACAGTGTAATGAATTGGCAAATAAAGATGGCGTCGTATTGATCCGGTACATAAGGTTCATTGGGAGTCTAAACGTATTAAAATCCTCCATCTTGGGCCCTTGTTGTGTTCCTTTGGCGCAGTTCATCTTACTTGACCAAGATTAGTGTTGGTTTGTTTACGTGGGGGGAGGGAGAGGGGCAGGGGGGGCAGAGGTGCAGGGCACTTAATGAGCTACATTACTTTTCTTGTCCTGTGCTTGGCAGGGACCGTCATCGGGGTGGTGATCTACACGGGAAAAGAGACCAGGAGCGTTCTGAACACGTCCTACGCCAAAAACAAGGTGAACGCACAAAACAGGTTTGGGGAATTCACGGGCAAAAAACAGACTCAACAGAGGGGTTTTTTGTTTGTATTTTAAAGGTTCTATATTACACAAAATTGACACTTGTGAACTTTAAACCATGTTATAATGCTGTTACCTAATCAAAAAACATACCTGGAGTTGTGCTTTGTTTCATTCACGTGTTTGAGCAACCTTTTATTATTAGTTTGTCCATATCTCCAAAGCTTAAACTGCTCTGTTTTACCTTCTAGTTCAATAAATACCTAGAGAAACAGGCAATCTCTCCACAGATCTGACCTGTAACCTGGTCTGGTTTGGTCTCCATGAAGATGGAAAGGTTTAATACAGCTTAAACTTAAACTGCTCTGTTTTACCTTGTGATGTCATGAAGCAGTAGTTTTCAATTTAACAGCTCCTTTCACCTTTTGTTCAGTAGAGTTGGCAATTCCAGGTCTGAAATGTAGTGAAGGTGTGTTGAGTTTAAAAACACAGTGGGGCACTTCTCATGTTTAAAAAATGACATCACAAGGTGGAACAGAGTATTTTCAGTTTGAGAGAATTGCGAAAATGTATTATCATTACAGGCCTATATCTATGTGTGTCACTTTTTTTTTTTAATCAATTAATTTGTTTTGGGCAAATAAACATTTTACGTTGGTTTATAATGGAACATAAAAACATCCATATTGATATCAGTACGATCATATGAATAGAAACAAGAACAAAGCATGCAAGTAATGTGCACACTTATTTATTTATTTGGTTTGATTTAACAGGGACAGTGTACGTGAATCAACATTTCTGTGAATTAGCCAGAGAGGTTATTTTTTATCTGTCGTCCCTGGACAGATTTTAAACACCTTAAAAACACAACAATAAGAATTATACAAAAAAGTGCAATTGTGCATAACAGTTCAATTAAAAGGCAATGAGAAACATTTACTTACATTTACTTTTGCCCATAAAGGAGTGGAAAGAAGAAAAAACATATTTATTCCCACCCGCATCTTCTAATTTAAAGGTGGATTGTGTAACTTTTCTGGTGAAGGGTCTATCAAATGCTTTTCTTCATAGAGATGTTATTGCTTTGTCTGGAATGTTTCATAGTATGGCATTAAACCTTTCTATTTTCATGGAGACTAAACCAGACCAAGTTACAGGTTAGATCTGTGGAGAAGCGACATCACTCACAGTCAGAATGTTTGTTTTTCGAAGTATTTTTGAGCTATAAAACCACCTGTAATTGACAAAATGTAAAGTAAATCTGTTAAATGTCATACTGTGCAACATTACAGGCAGATCAATGATAAACCAGAAAAGTTACACAATGCACCTTTAACATAATGAGCTTTATTTTGCATTCTTCAGACATTTTACATCAAACCACATGCACTATTTACATGTGAGGACAATGAGTAATTGTTATATTTTGGTAACTTAACTATCATCATATCCAAATCCAAATCCACTTTATTTATATAGAACATTTTACAAACAAAGCAGTTTCCAAAGTGCTGCAAGAACATAAAATAAAGACAACAAAAGGTAACTTGCTAAAAAATGTGGTCAGAACAATAAAAGCACTAAAAATAAATACAATATATTCACAATGCGATAATAAAAAGGATACCAAGACTGAGAAGGACTTTACATTTCTATTTGTAGTGGATCTTTGCTAAACCATGTCCAGCAATGATCTTTAGTGGCCACAGAGCACGAAACAGCTCAAAAGTAGCATCTGCTCTGTGCTCCCTGTTGTGTCCCCTGCCTCTTATCACTAATCAATCACTTCCACAAGGTGTTTTTTTTAACCTTGACTTTCCAGATAAAGTTAGACCTGTCAATGCAAAAGGTCAGGGCGCGTGGCTAATTAACCAAAAGGGAAATTAACTAACCAAGGATTTAAATGACATTTTCAGACAAAAGTTAATCCCACAGAATCCCCATTGAGTTTTTGTCCCCAGATCGACGAGATTAATGAATATTTGAAAGATTTTGTCTGGAAGATTTGGACTGATAAACCCAGGTCAGCTGATTAAAGAAGACATTGAAAAGATCTTGTCCTCAGATTATTTATAATTTACAGAAGAGTTGTCACAATATTAAAGGTGCTTGTTTTTATAGAATTGTCATTGCCCCATCTGGAATGTTCCACAGTATGACATTAAACAGCTAAAAATTACATATATTCAATTAAATTAAATACAATACATCAATTAAAATACTGTCTCACTTTAACTTTATGCTTTTAACTGTATGTTGTAAAAGTATTTAACTTGTTTATGTTGTTGTAAGGTGACCTTGAGTGTCCAGAAAGGCACCTAATAAATAAAATATATTATTATTTTTATTCATTTGAGGTGGATAGAGTCTAGTTCAAAAAGTACTTAGAGAAATGGGCAATCTCTCCACAGATCTGACCTGTAACTTGGTCTGGTTTGGTCTCCATGAAGATAGAAAGGTGTCCAGACAAAACAATAACATCTCCATGGAGAAAAGCATTTAATGAACATCTTTGCACCTTTATATTTTAGAGCAGAGACGACTATTATCAGGGCTGGCCAGAGGTGGGGACTTGCAAGTCATGACTTGGACTCAAGTCAGACTTGAGTCACTATTTGTAGGACTTGAGACTTGACTTGAAAAAAATGGACTTGGGACTTGACTTGGACTTGAGGGCTGTGACTTGATAAGACATGAGAAGCTTTTAAATCTGAATTCTAAAACTAAGATCTTGTCAAGACATTTAAAAAGGAAAACTATGACTTTTTTTAAGTACAGTTTATCTTAAAAGTCATAAATTGCAAAAATATAAGTACTTTGGTGTGGTTAAAGGCTTGAAATGACTTGAAGCTCATAACAGACGACTTGGACTTGACTTGGACTTATGGGCCAGTGACTCAAGACTCGATTTGGACTTGCCTGTATTTGACTTGGAACTTGACTCGTACTTGAGGTCAGAGACTTGAGACTGGGGCTGGGTATCATTAAGAAGTTGCCGATACGATACATATCTCGATACAGTGTACTTTTGATTCGATATGATATATTTCAAAATGATTTGATATGGTTCAGTAAAAATAATGGCTAAATCATGGCTGTGATAGTAAAAGTCTTTGTTAAGCCACTTCTTGTGCAAAGTTCATATGAAAAAAGTCAATTTTATTCATCAAAACAGTGAAAATGTCAAATGTTTTTCCTTCCTCTAAACAAGCAACAAAACTGTAGCACTGTAACTAAATAATTCTGTAAAATACACCAAAAACTTCTCTTGGCAATTTATAGATACAGCAGCCCACGATATTGATACTGTATCATCACATTAAACGATACGATATATCGATATTTCAATATTTTTGCATGCCCCTAATTATTATGAGAAGAAGTATCACAATTTTATATTACTACATGACATCACAAGGTGGAACTGAGTGTTTTCAACTTGGGAGAAGAACTCAAACTCTAAATATGCAGGGTTTGTGTGTTTAAACAAGTGTGAATGAAACAAAACACAACTCCAAGTGTGTTTTTGAAGAAGAAATAACATATTAACAGCGAAATATAACCTCTAACATATTTCTCAGCGATATCTCTTAGTCCATATTAGCCTCTTTACATGGGCCTGTTTTTGACACCTGGGTCCTTTATTAAAGAGCTGATGCGGTGGAGCCAGTGTTTTGTGTAGGCTGGACAGCTGAGAGGAATTCAATATTTCAAGGAGATGATGTCAGAAGTGCCAATACGGGACTGGAGAAAGTCAATACAATGTGGTCCGCTGCGACTGCCGCATTTTGGGCTCTTATAATCTGTTGTGACACTGTCCTGGAGAAAGGCACGGGCTGATCAATGCCCCCGGACCGACTTAGACTCACTCTTTGTTGGAGACAGACCCCCATCACACAGAGGAGACAATGTAATCTGACAAAAGGCTATCCTCAATACCGGCTGGTTAATTCGAACATGGCCACAACTCAATACTCGCCTCTCCAGCTTTAAGTCATAAGAGAAGTAGTTTACGGAGACCTCTAAAATCAATCTGAAATGTCGATACCGGTTTATATCAACACCTAAATGTGTGAGATGGCAACGTTTGTCACTTTGCATTTTTGTGTTTTGGAAGTTAATATACGCACATCCCAACGAACCTCAGTAATTTAACTTTATCCAACGAGAAGACAGGGTTCCCACGGTGTCTTAAAATTTGAGCAGAACATAACTTCTCTGTATTGCTTTTCTCCTCAAAAGTTTAACTTGTCAACCACCATTATTTAAATACTTAGTTAAATAACATTGCCTAAATTAAAATCGGCGGAACCAACCAAAACACTCCGAACTCGTCACTGAGGATCATGCGCTACAGCACCACAAGCAACAAGCTCGGCAGAAGTAAAATTAAAGAAGTTCTGAGCAGAAAACAGAGTTTGACTAACACTGTTACGATGGTTTTTAACGTTGGTTTTACGTTACCGAGTGACCCATTTCATGCTGGGGTTATAGGAAAGAGTCTATTCTACTCCCCATAATCCTTTGAGAAATAAATGAACACAAATTCAAAAATGTAGTTTTTCTTTGCTAGTAGGTTTTTGAAACAGGCTGTGAAAAAGGTATTAAGTCTTTATATAAATGATCTTATAAAGGCTTGAATTTAACTTGAAGAAACCTGTGGGAACCCATGAAGAGAAATTTACCATGTACAATTTTATAACAATACCTTCTATAACTTCAGTTAAGGGTTAATTTATAAAGAACAAATTGTTTTATTAATAATGATTCAGGCTTAGTAACTACTTAAAGGCACACTGTGTAACTTTTCTTGTGGAAGATTCGCCACCTTTTTGCTGCCATGGAGATATTACTGTTTTGCCTTGATTATTGTATAATTACAAAATACACCTGATAATCAGAATTGAAACAGGTGAATTGAAACATGGTCAGATCTATGGAGAAGAGAGCCTGCACATGGATTATTATTATTATTTTTTTTTTTGTATTTGTAAGTATTCTAGAGCTATAAAACACCTGTAATTGAACAAATGCAAGGGAGATATTTTATTGCCCTATTATAGAACATTCCAGACATAGAAATAACATCTCCATGGAGTCTCCATGGAGACCTTCCACCTTAAAAATTACACAGTGTACCTTAAATAAGAGGTTAGAGTCAGGGATTAATTAAGTAGTTACTAACCCTGAATCTTTCTGAATAAACAGTTTTTCCATTATGAATAAAACCTTTGTTCATGTTTTATTAAGGTGGTTAGAGGTGTGCAAAAATATTGAATTATCGATATATCGTATTATTTAATGTGATGATACAGTATCGATATCGTCGGCTGCTGTATCGATATATCGGCAGGAGTTTTTTGTGTGTGTATATTTTACTAAATTATTTTGTTACAGAGCTACAGTTTTGTTGCTTGTTTAGAGGAAGGAAGCTCGTTTATGCGACACATTTTATATTTTCACTGTTTTGATGAGTAAAATGTTTGTGTTTCATTTTAACTTTGCACAAGAAGTGGTTCAACAAAGACTTTTAGTGTCACAGCCATGATTTTGACTTTTTTCTTTTTATTGAACTGTATCAAATTGATTTGAAATATATCGTATCGAATCATAATCAAAGCAAAAGCTCACTGTATCGAGATATGTATCGTATCTTGGCCTATGTATCGAAGTATGTATCGTATCGGCAACTTCTGAATGATACCCAGTCCTAAAGGAGGCTATTGAAAGTGTTGTTACATTTTTTTAACTTGATTTTTAAAACTACAGATGCACCAATCTGATACTGGTATTGAATATCGTCGCCAATACTGAAAAATATCATTTCAGCCAATATTCTGGTTGATTATAACACTATTTACTGGTTGTAGTTTCCCCAGAAAGTCTCATAATGTCTAAAAAAGCAATTATATAGTTACTGAAGGGATAATTAACAGCTAGATAACACATTTGGATCAGTTTCATCTTATTTTGTTTTAATTTTAAGGAAATAAATGCTGATTTCAGTCTCTGCGCTGGTATCAGTTGATTGGGCTTCCACATATACTTAAAGATACATCCGTATTTGAATATGTAGTGGTAATTGTTTTTGAGCGTGATCTAGATATTGTTATGTTTTTTATAATAATAATAATAATAATAATAATAATAAATAATATAACTTGATCCCAGTATATACAGCAATTACAGCAATTATAATTTATGTACATTTCACCATAGGGCATGAAGAAAATCACTCTCTCCTTTTCTCCAGTTGCTTCTCTGTTTTTGTTTGGACAATAGTGAGAGCTGATCAATCCAAGAGGATGGACACAAGCGCTTTCTTTGTTTAGAACACTCTGACGGACCCCAGTGTTATTTGACAAAAGACTATTACTGAGTTTATTTCAACGAATCCGCAATCCAATACTCAGCTGTCTGCCTTTAAACAGTCTGGGGCAGTGGAGTTGTTTACCTCTTATAAATCAATTTCACTTAATTTTCTGGGCCTGACATGAACCAAACTGCACTGCTTACAAATCACTGAATATTCATGCGCCCTACGCCTTTATCACATTTCACACATATGCAAAAATACAAGCCACACAGGCAGCCCCGATCTTTCCTTTCAGTTTTAATAGCCCTGCATTGAATGGGCTAAAATATGCACTTTTATTCATTGATCGCATCTTTAGCTTGTGGTAATTGAGTCCTTTTCCTGTCGTCTGAATGAATAATGACTTCATCGGATCCCTGGCAAAACCTTGGAAAGTTTAGACTGGCTATTGTCCACCGTGAGGGGGATGCACTGTGCTCCCTCTCCCCTCCTCTCTCCGTCCCCTCTTAATTTTTCTTCATTTTAATCCACCCAAACCCCCTATTTTTCTCAATAGCTCAACCATGAACCATGTTAAAGAGGCACCGGTTTGGAACGGCTTGGCCCGCCCCGGCTCTGTACAAATCTCTCGGTACACTGTGGTTGAGTTTGGATTCGGATTAAGATGTACAAAGTTGTTTTAGCGACAGTACAGAGAAAAAATACTTTATAAAGATCAACAAAACTAAATTTAAATCACATAAAACTCTCAATTCAGTGTTATAAATCTGAATGCGTGCATATTTGTGAATTTGAAATAGATGTGGCACAATGGTATTTGCATAATAAAACACAAACGTAACATTTTTTTTTGTCATGTTGATGTGGCATTATGTAGCTTTTTGGTTGGGTTTCCATCACCTGTTTGCTTCTGTACATTACTGCTCTGCCTGGAATGTTCCACAGTGTGACATTAAACAGCTTTACCTTAGATTTATTAAATTATAGGTGGTTTTATAGCTTAAAAATACCTACAAAAACAGGCATTCTCCACAGATCTGACCTGTAACTTGGTCTGGTTTGATCTCCATGAAGATAGAAAGGTTTAATTTCATACTGTGAAACATTTCCAACAAAGCAATTACATCTCCATGAAGAAAAGCATTTGACATACCCCCACTCAAAAAAGTTGCACAATGCACGTTTAGGCCTGTACCACATTAATGGACCACACGTGAACTACGATCAGAACTAAACCAGGTCCAAACTGAGTCTATAATGAACCTGCATGAATCAATAGGGATGTAACGATATCCAAATTTATTAATATTAATTGTGATATTTTGGACATTTATAGGACACTTTTTTGCTTTTAAAATACCTTGACAAGATTTTGGTGTGAATTATTACTGTCAAAATCCCAAGAATTTAAGTAAAAAACACATTTCTTTATGTTGTCTGCACTGAAATGAATCATGGGATATGTAGTTTCCGATGTTTATAAGCTGTTGCTACTATAAACCCATACATTTACGCAAAGGAACTTGTAATTCGATATATTGTGACAGCCCAGATATTATTGTGAGAGTTTTGATGATTCGATATCACGATATTTAAGTTATTGTTACATCTCTATAAATAAAGAATAAATCGGAATTTCAGAACTTACAGAGGCCAGAGAGATGTTTTGCTATCAAACCACTGCTGACAACAACTACCATGCTAATGGCACCGGTGTTAATTCCTGGTTCATAGATGATAAAAATAAGTATAAGTCGACAGCGTAAATCTGTCTCATTGTGAAGAGTTGTTTTAAAATAGTAAAGCTGTAGACAAATTTTACTTTATTGCACAGCACATTTAAATTTGCACTGTTTAACTTTTTGGTTAGGTCCCGTTACCTTTTTGTTTCTATGGAAATACCATTGCTCTGCTTCAAATGTTCCGCAATATGACATTAAACAGATCTACGTTACATTTATTCAACTACAGGTGGTTTTACTGCTCAAAAATACCTAGAAAAACAAGGCATTTGGACTGTGAGCGGGGTCGCCTCTCCACAGATCTGACCTGTAACTTTGCCAGGTTTGGTCTCCATGGTGATAGAAAGGTTTAATGCCATGTTGTGAAACTTTCTAGACAAAACAATAACATCTCTAGAGAGAAAAGCACGTGGCCGACCCTCCAGAAAACCTGAAAAATCACACGATGCAAGAGATACGAGGTCCGTGCACCACCATTTGAGAACCGCTGGACCAGGGGATTTCTTGATCTTGTTGCACACAGCCAGTCCCTCCCCCTTCCCACTTTTTTTTCCTCCTCCTTGTTCTTTTATTTGCCCGGCTACCATGTTATGTTGTGCTGTTTTTGTAAGCGTGGTGCGTCAGTTGAAAGGGGCTCTGTGTAGCTCCAGAAAAGGGGAAGGCCGTTGCTTTATTTGACGTCTTTTTCCCACATGCTCCATTGGCTGCAACAGACACTCGAAAAATAAAGGACAACTCTGACCCATTTCTTTGTCCAATTCAAACTCAAGAAGCATCTCAATATGGGAACTCGCTATTTATTCCTCTGCCCCTTCTGACCCCCCGTGCATTCAAGGAGGAAATAAAGCTGTTTGCCTATTTTTGAGTCGGGTTTGCTAAATAAATTTCTACAATTCATGGTTTTTGGATAGAAAAATTGAATCGCATATTTTTCTAGTTGGTTATGGCGAAGAAGCAAATGTAATTGAAGTGTTGTGCATGATTTGTGCAAATATATGAAGTCACTATAATTTTACTCTTCAAACATTTTTGCAAAAGTTTGTTGTGGCTGAAATAACTAAACATTTCCTCATTATGTTTCCAAGGGTTTATTTTACGTCATGACTTCTGATATTGTTTATTTCTAAGGGTTTATTTAACTTTATGACTTCTGATATTGTTTCTTTTTTCTTTTTTTTCATGGCGATACTGCGGCGATAAGTTCTGCCGATATTTTTAAGTCAATATTTGGGGCTGATTTTGATTATTTGACCCAAATTTTGTTATTTAAATTTACTACAAACTCGCCACAGACATTTAAGAGAGCTGTCAGTTATGGCGAAGAAGCAAACGTAATTTACCAAGTCACTATAATTTTACTGTTTATAGATTTTGGCAAAATTTGGATTATTGGTTACTTCTTATTTTATTTTATTTTTTTATGTTTTTTTGTGCTTTATGGCTTCTGTGCAAAATGGCAGCTGAAAAACTGCCACAGATATTTTTTCAAAGTTTTGAAAAAGACAGCATTTTTTCGTTTTCATATATTTTTATTGTTGTGTAAGCAAATATAGATATTTTATTCTACATTCAGACAACACATGTACACACACTTCATTTTTATGCAGAAAAAATGACTTACAAACCTAACAAAAACAAATCACTCAATCAAAAACAGCATTTTTATAATCTACCTGTGTTTGTGCTGAGAATTAAGTAAAACCAACTGGTAACGTCTCAAAGAACCACAAGCGCCAACTCTCAAATGGAGATTAACTTTCAGTAAACTAATGCAGGAGGAACACGATTATATCATAGTTACAAACTCTTAAAACATAATTTTACTTGATATATCCACAATACAGAAGCAGCCACATGACTTGGAATATTGTTTTAACTACTGTATTTCCTTTCTTCAGGTGGGCCTTCTGGACCTGGAGCTGAACCGTTTGACCAAAGCGCTGTTCCTGGCTCAGGTGGTGCTGTCTGTGGTGATGGTGGCTCTGCAGGGCTTCAGTGGGCCCTGGTTCAGAAACCTCTTCAGATTCGTTGTTCTCTTCTCTTACATCATTCCCATCAGGTCAGTATCACACATTTCCATACACATGCAGATATGGAGTACCTTTTTGTTTTCTGTTTGGTCAGGTTGTATAATTTATAATCACTGAAAATGCAGATATAAAGCTTTAATTTGAATACATTTACATCCAGTAATAATTTAAGTTTAAAGGTGGCCTATGTAACTTTTTGGTTGGGGAGTTGTCACTTGCTATGTCACTGTTCTACCTGGAATGTTCCACACTATGACAGTAAACAGCTCTACATTACTTTTATTAAATTACAGGTGGTTTTATAGCTCAAAAATACCTCGAAAAACAGGCATTCTAACGGGGTTGCCTCTCCACGGATCTGACCTGTAACTTGGTCTGGTTTGGTCTCAATGAAGATAGAAACATTTAATGCCATACTGTGCAACATTTCAGACAAAGCAATAACATCTCCATGGAGAAAAGCATTTGACGGACCCTCCACCTGAAAAGTTACACAATGCACCTTTAAGTTAAATAATTCAGTTTCTATCAGTAGATTTTTACTGCATTTTAGCACTCTCAAACTGCTCAACATGAAAAAAGAAAAAAGTTGCATTATTGATATATATATTTGGGTCAATGCGTGCTTTAAATAAAATAACGCCTTTTCAGTTAAATTCATAATAATGAGGAAAAAAGTATTTCTGATAATATAGCACAATGGCTGTCTGTATTTGTCTTTCAAACCATTTTTTTTTTTTTTTTTTCAACTTAAAATGTCTAAAATTTGTTTTTGTAGTTTGCGAGTGAACCTGGACATGGGGAAGGCTGCGTACGGCTGGATGATCATGAAGGATGAGAACATACCAGGGACCGTGGTGAGGACCAGCACCATCCCAGAGGAGCTCGGGAGACTGGTCTACCTCCTCACGGACAAGACAGGTACAATCAAACCACATTATACACACTATAATAGCCCTGTATTGTCCCTGGAGTAGCTGATTTTCCTGGCACACAAAGTATGATCTTTCTTGGGAAGCACTTGTATAACTTCTTAACTTATTCGTCAAATTCAATATGACAGATAGATAGATAATTTTTTTTATTTTAGTGTTTTTTATAGATTAGGACACCACGAAATGCACAGTTTGTTCATTTCACTTAAATTGGTGTAGTGTAGACACAGGGAAATCATTAGGGGATCAACAAGAGAAATTAGTGGGATGCAGTAGCTCAAAAAATACAATAAAATATGAAGAAATAATCAGAAATTGTTAAGATTTAAATCAAATAGTAGTAAAAAATAGTGCACAAATCACAAAATCTTCTGTAAATCTTGGAAAAAAAAGAAATCTGCTCCAAGTCCGTCAATGTCGGTGGATTCTGGAGATGATCTGCAACCTGTTTGTCTCCGTGAAGATGTTAAGGCTTTGATTTATATAAATGATTTTTTACAGTATGATATTAAACTGGTCTGTCTTGTATTTATTCAATTGCAGGTGGTATTTGCTCAAAAATATCTTAATTAACATACTTTTTTTTTTTTTTTTTACTGTGAATGGGGTCGTCTCTCCACAAAGAGAGGCTTAAAAGTCTCCATGGAGATTCTTAAGTTTATGCCATGCTGTGGAACCAGTGTTTTCCGTATTATTTGAATTATTTTATTATTATTGTCATTTATTATTATCTCATTTGATTTATGGAGTATAAATGTAACTTTCTACCTACACTGACTCTTAAAGCAGTTATTTTAGTCTCTTTTAAAAGTCTATGGAGATACAGCGAGCAAAAAAGTCTAATTTTGTTTTGTCAGTATATAGTCCAGGTTGCTTTTAGACCCTGGGGGAGAGTTTTAAACTATGGGGGGGTCACCATAGTTTCCTGTATTAATGGGAAACACTAGTGGATGAACAGGTGACAGATATTCCACCAGACAGTTACATAGTGCACCTTTATTTTTATTTTATTTATATGGTTTATTTAGGAGGGACAGTGTACATTAATCAAGCCAGAGAGACTATTTTTCTTCTACAGTCCCTGGACAGACGGTAAAAATGGTTACCCTAAAAACACAACCACTAAGAGTCACACAAAACGGGGCAATTGTACAAAACAGGCAGTGAGAATACAAGACATTAACAACTATAACAACAATGTACGCATAGAAATAAAACACACAGTAGAGCACACATCAGAGAGAATCATAATAATAATACTTAACACTTGTATAGCGCTTTTCTTGACACTCAGAGATGCAGAAAACACACGCTCAGGTAAAGAGGATAACACACTAAACACATGACTTCTCTTTGCTAATGCAGGACACAGTGATGTAAGTGATGTGCTGCTGAGGTGGTCCTAACACGGCCCTCTGTCTCTGCTGATCCTGGCCCGTATAGATTAGCTGTGAGCTCCATTAATCTGAGTGGAGAGGCGGAGCACGCACGAACCCCAACAAATAATCAATGGTTCAGTTATCCACGTTTCTCCAATGTTTGGAAGTTAGACCCCTGTGTAGTCCCTGTGTGTCCTACCAGCCACAGGTATTACATAAAGTTATAAACCTGTTTTGAAACTGCACAACGAGAACATGCCGTCCATTTTGATCAATTGGTTATGTTAAGTGTTGTCTCAGTATTTCTAAAAAAAATTCAAACTCGTATTTTGAGACTAGGCATGATACTCACAATTAAAAATACAAACATTATATTGTCTAAAAATTGAGTATTATGTATTATCACAAAATAATAATAGTATAATAGCTTTTTAATATAACCATGTAATCGTAACTGGCCAGCTAGAATCGCATGCTCTGAGAAAACTTTCCAAAGGCGTGAGAGTAGGTGTTAGTGATTGACAGGTGGATTAACCAATCAGAGAGACACATGGCCTGTTTAGGCCTGTCAGGATAATATCTATATAGACTTATCATTCAATAAATAATGGGATGATATATTTTGGAGCTCAGTATTTATATTGGATACTGTTTATTTGCAATAGTGGAGAGATTTTCGTTATTTCTGTTGGAATATGAAAAGATTTGAGCTGTAGAGGGTTGAAAAAGTTAGCCAGGCTGGCACCACCTAGTGCCTCCGCTCAATTTCATTTTTCTCCAGCGACTAGGTCAGGAATCGGAATACAGTAGACGGTTTGTAAGAACCCCGGAAGTGAGAGTTCGGGCACCAGCCAATCAGTGAAGAGCCATACATTCTGTTTTGGCAACAATTCCCGAGATCGAGGATTTAAAGCTGAAACAAAGAGAATGTTTGGTGAATTTCATCAAGGGAAAAGACGTTATTGCCCTTCTTCCTACGGAATTTGGGAAAAGTTTAATATACCAGTTAGCCCCGTTAGCGGCGCATTACATACGTCACGACCAAATAGCAGTGACTGGTTAAATAAAAAAAGTACTTGCCTACCCTCGAATAAACGAATCCTGACACTGCAAAGTCAGACAGTTTCCATGAAGTGAAACCGGCTGATGAATCAGGATATGAAAAAGTCCTTCTATGGCTAATTGTTGGTTCATTCTGCTATTTATGTTATGTACTGTTATTCTAAAACCTTCTTTTGATTTTCAGGAACATTGACACAGAATGAAATGATCTTTAAGCGGCTTCACTTGGGAACAGTGTCCTACGGCACAGACACAATGGACGAGATCCAGAGCCACATCATACAGTCTTATGCACTGGTGAGCGCATTCAAATACCAGATGTACTTAACCTGTGTTACTATGGCAATAACAAAATCCAATGTTTTTTTTACCACTTGAAAATTGCAGTCATCATCAGTCATTTCTTTTGTATGGATATAGTTTTATTTTGATGTTCGCAGTACTGGCAATCAATACCGCAATTATGTTTAATCATTATTTACAATCTTCACTGGAATGTATTTTCCGACTCAACTATCTCAAGTATCTAGTTTGGATACGAGTTTAAAGGTCCTATATTACGCAAAATTGACTCTTGTGAGATTTAAGATTTATGTTATAATGTTGTTACCTCCTTAAAAACAAACTCAGAGCTTTGTTTTCACACATATTTTCACACATGTTTGAGTAACTTTTTATAGTTTTCAGCAAGTACCTTTTATCTTTTGTTCAGAAGAGATTAGCAATTCCAGGGCTGAAATTAACTAAATGATTCTACTGAAGGTGTATGCTGTTTAAAAACACTCTGGAGCACTTTCTGTATTACAACATGACATCACAAGGTGGGACAGCATGTTTTCTGTTTGAGAGAAGATATGCTGCGTTAAACATTTGTGAATGGGATAAAACATAACTCCGAGTATGTTTTTGATCAGAAAATAGCGTAATATGAGGCCCAGTCCACAATAGTTTGTATTAGAGTCGTTTTCGTTGTGGATGCAGTGTTCGTCCACACTAATCCGACTGAAAACAGCTCCAGAGACGGAATGACCTTGTGCCACCAGCTCCCACAAATTCATCTTTGTACGCATCTGATCCAGCACTGTGTGGATGCCTGAAAATGCTGATACACTGATGTAGGTCTATGCACCGCCAAGTAGCTATTTCACCGAGAGGCTTGCATATGTTCATATATATATAATCTATGCGTATGACCTGCAGACGTATACGTTTCACATGAACATCTCCAACGTGATAGAAGCACAGAACAGACTCACCATCAGCAGAACACCCCTCTGTCACTCATATTGCACTGAGTCGTGTCCTTTAGTCCGACAGAAGCTGAACCGCATCAGAGCACAATAGTGAGCTGTTTTTTGAGCGCTCAGTTTATGCAAATTACCCATACGGTTTTAAGTTTCGTTTCTGTAAAACGTAAACAATTTTGCTCAAAGCTGTGTGGATAAGGAAGGCTTGCAGACACAGAAACGACGCATGTGGACGCAGATCGTTTCCGATACGGTGATACGTGGATTCGTTTCAGTGTAAATTGGGTTTAAGCCCATTAAGTATCAATTGGTATGATCTGTTTTTGTATTGTTATTTATTATTATAATTTTTTTACAACCCTAGTTTGAAAAGATCCATTTCATTGCGTTGTGTCCTTGGGCAAGACACTTCACCCATCTCATCCCATATAAATGTATCGTAGCATACAGTTTGAATGAATCGAAATCAATCTAAAAGTATATCTGAGCGCCTAAAAATCGTTCATACATTTTTGCTTCATTATTAATTTTTAAAAGCTGAGTGAATAAGAAACTTTGATTTAAATGTGTGCTCTATTTCTGACAGTACACATTTCTGTTACTGTTATGGGAGTCTGTGGAGAGTAGAAGAATAATGAAAGCAGTTTGTTGTATTGACATAACATGACATCCTCCAGTAAAAGAGCCATGTTGTTATTCATCAGCATGTCCTCCCCGAGCGTACTGTAAGTGTGGGCCTCTCCGGGTGGCGTTGGGGGGGCCGTGACTAAATGATATTGTTGAGTCTTTGCTCCAAACAGCTGCTGCTCTCACAAACCATCTGTGCTCAAATGACTGGGCCTTTTACTCCGCCGTCACAGCAGAGCAGAGCAGGGGCTACAACTGAGAGTATTTACTGTGAGGTGTCATGGGTAAATATGGCGAAATATATTTTAAAGGGCCAATATTACACTGTTTTCTGATCTACAGTATGTTATAATGTTGTTTCCTCATCACAAACAGACCTGGAATTGTGTTTTATTTTATTCACACAAGTTTAACACACAAACCCTGCTTCTCTCAAACTAAAAACATACAGGAAGTGCTCTATTGTGTTTTTAAAGTCCATACACCTTCACTAGAATCATTTGGATAATTTCAGACCTGGAATTGCCAATTTCTACTGAACTAAAGATAAATGGTAACTGTTGAAAACTACTGCTTCATGAGATCGCAAGGTAGAAGAGAGCATTTTAAACTTTGGAGACAGACTATTAATAAAAAGGTTTCTCAAACATGTGTAAAAACAAACTCTGGCTCTGTTTTTGAGGAGGTAACATCATTATGACATGGCTTAAATCTCACAAGAACCAATTTTGCTTAATGTAGGACCTTTAAACTATTATCCAAACTAAAACTACTGAACTAAAAGGAAAAGATAGCTGTGAAAAACAAACAAACTGAAAACTACTGCTTCATGAAATCACAAGCTGGGACAGAGAATTTTCTGTAATATAGGTCCTTTAATGTGTTGGCAGTTTAAAGGTGCACTATGTAACTCTTCAGGTGTAGGGTCCACCACCTGCTTGTTTCTATGAAGTCATTATTACTTTGCCTAGTATATTCAACAGTAGGGGTGCTCAAAAATATTGAAATATCAATATATCGTATTGTTTAATGTGGTGATACAGTATTGATACCGTGGGCTGCTGTATCCACATATCACCAAGTATATTTTTTGATATATTTTACAGAATTATTTTGTTACAGTGCTACAGTTTTGTTGCTTATTCAGAGGAAGGAAACTCGTTTATGCAGCACATTTCATATTTTCACTGTTTTGATAATTAAAATGTGTGTGTTCCTTTTTGACTTTGCAGAAGAAGTTGTGAAAGACTTTTAGTATCACAGCCATGATTTAGCTTTTATTTTTTATTGAACCATATCGAATCGTTTTGAAATATATCATAATGAATCGAAAGTGCACTGTATTGAGATATGTATCGTATCCAGGCCAAGTTACAGGTCAGATCTGTAGCTCACGTTATTTATCACATTATTTATCCTTATAGACAAGTTTGTATAAATACAGATTTAAACATTATGAGAATTTCTGGCCCAACTATGAACGGTAAATAGTCTTATTACTTCATATTGCATCATACATCTTATTCATACAACTAAGACATCGATCCAGTAAATTTTTCCATACCCCTGCCAATATCTGATACCAGTATTTTTTTCAAGGTATTAAAAACAAACAGCTTTAATTGAATACACACAAGATAAGATTAGTTTAATGCCTTACTGTGAAACATTCCAGACAAAGCAATAATATCTCCATGGAGACGAGCAGGAAACACAAATTTCTTTAGTTAAACCATAAACAAACATAAATATTGCTCTACGTTTAGTGCAGTTACCAGGCAAATTACATAAAGTGTCTGTCTGAGATCCAGTCACCGCTGATTTGTATGAAACCGTGGAGAACAGGAGTAGATCTTTGTCATTTGTTCTTGATGAAGGTTGTCATGTTTTGTCCTTTCTTCCTGTGGGACTGTGTGTTATGGTGAACGCGTCAGGAGCCTGTGCTGCTGCTGTGCTGTCATCTGCACTGTTAAATGGATGTCCACATTAAAAGGCCCTTAAAGCAGATATGACAGGATAAATATGGTGATACTCTCTCCCCACTGAAAACCTGTCACTGTGAATTATCCAGCAGGCCGAGGTTAAAGATACTGTCACATCATGTACAGACACGGGGGAGAGGACATAACTGGACAGGGGCGAGGTCAGGGACTGTCTGTATCAGTGATAAGGGGGAGGGGACGGCGAACTGATTTTAAAATTAGCATATGGATGGATTTTGCGAAGCATGTCAAATTTTAAAGGTGATTGTCAAAGACTACTGTATAATGAACATGTACTTTAGTGATATACTTCTTTCACACTGCATGCCTGTGCTGTGTTACTGCAGAAGTAGCAGTAAAATCAATTAATCTCAAAATCGTTCAGTGAAAATGTGGCTTTGATTTAGATTTTGATTAAATTTTTTGGCCATATCTCCCTACTATTGCCTAAGGATTAATTGAAAGAACTGATCCATTGTCTCCTTAAAAAAATCTTTCTGTTCTAAATGTGGTTTGTTTTTAATTATAAATAAAAAGGATTACAATTATGATGATATTATACATTTAAATTCCTTCCAGGTGCCGCCCCAGCCCTCCAATGGCAGCACCAGTGGAGCCACCCCGTCCAGGAAGCCCCAGTCGTCAGGTCCAAAGGTGCGGAAGTCCGTGAGCAGTCGGATCCACGAGGCGGTGAAGGCCATCGCTCTGTGCCACAATGTCACTCCCGTGTACGAAAATCACGGCAACGGAGGAGAGCCAGAGACCACCGAGGCCGACCAGGACTTCAGCGATGACAACCGCACCTACCAGGCCTCCAGTCCAGACGAGGTGAGGCTGACTGTGAATCTGTTATGGACCAATGGCTCTTTCACAGTTTGATTTTCTAACTTTCTAACTTTTTAAAGGTCCTTCATTCACACATTGTTTCCAGGGCTGAAACTATCCAAATGATTCGAGATCAGAAAATGGCTTAATATGGTCCTTTTAAACCCTCTAAAGCAACTGTATTTTGGGCTATACAAAACATGAATTTAAATAAACTGCACTGAATCAAACTGAAGGGTAGAGCGTAGTCCCTGTTATCCTAATTAAACAGGATTTCTCTGAGATAGTCCTGGTCCTCATCTGAAAACCTACATGGACATAATGAGGCAATACATCTGGTTGTTTTTGTGGTTGTGTACCAGTATTTGGTATAAAACTAAAACAAAATAAATCATTATTTTATATTTAGCACTGTCTTTTCATGCTGACATTTCACCGGAGCAAGCAGCAGATTTTCATTCACACTTTTTCAGTTGAAAAATGGCTACATTACATTTATGGACCTGGAGTTTGAATTTTATTTTTAATTTAAGTTCAGAGAAGTGTGTGGAGATGGGGGATAGGTGATAGGTGGTAGGGGGGTGGTTCTCATCCAGTAAAATGCATTGGTGGTATCATACATTCTTCTTTTGTTCCCATTACTAGGGATGTAACGATATCAAAATCTCTTGATATGGTATTTTCACAGTATGCATCTCATGGTATTTTGTGGAGGCTAATAATATTGTGAATACAGTACTTTTTGCTCTTAAAAGCCTTGGAAAAGCCTTTGGTACTGTTATAATATGAAGAATTCAGATTTAAAAGTTTAATAACAGTTATTTCTTCATGTAGTCTGTATTGACAACAGCAAAGGATCATGGTCTATGTAGTTCTCTCTGTTTTTCAGCTATAGCTGCACCATAGCAAGACAAGGAAAGTTAGTATTTGTATAGTACAATTCATACACAAAGTCCTTTATAGCAGTGGTCCCCAACCCCCTGGTTGCGAACCTGTACCAGACCGTGGGTCATTTGGTACGTGAAAGTGCGAATTCCCCCTCCCATACACTGCGTGGACCATGCCTCCTCTCGTACACCGCACCACGTCTCTAAACCAGAACTAAAACAGAACTAAAACCAGGACAGAACTAAAACAGAACTAAAACCAGCACTAGACTAAACCAGAACTAACCCAGGTGTAACCCAGGTTTAACCCAGGTCTGAAACCAGGACTAAACCAGGACTAAACCAGAACTGAACTAGGTCTAACCCAGGTCTAGCCAAGGTCTAACACAGGACTAAACCAGGTCTAACCCAGGTCTAACACAGGACTAAACCAGGTCTAACCCAGGTCTAACACAGGACTAAACCAGCTCTAAACCAGGTTTAAAACCAGAACTAAAACCAGGACTAAACCAAGACTGAACTAGGTCTAACCCAGGTCTAAAACCAGGACTAAAACCAGGACTAAAACCAGGACTAAAACCAGGACTAAAACCAGGTCTAAAACCAGGTGTAAACCAAGTCTAAACCAGATCTAAACCAGATCTAAACCCCCCTTCCCCCGGTCCCCGAAATATTGTTGGACATAAAACCGGTCCGTGGCACAAAAAAGGTTGGGGACCACTGTTTTATAGAATAAGAAAAACATTCAAATCACAAAGAAAGACATTACAATCACCATAACTATTAATTTAAGCAAAGAGACTTGTAATTTGTTATTTGTACAATGCCTTTAGTTACAGACACTCCTTTCCACATTTTCCAATATGTCCCGATTTCTTTTTCTATTCACAGGTTTATCACAATTTCTGAATATTGCATCTAAGTAATAATAACAATTTACATAACAGCTCTTCAGATTCCACCTCTGAGAATCAGGAGTGACTTTACAGATAAACTCAGTCTCTCCCTTCACCTCTCTGCACTGTCCCTCCCACTTTGATGTTATATTTATTTATACCTTTGTCCACTTCACTCTTTTGTCCAGCGCCGCACACATTGATCAATATTTAATTTTCTCGGAGACGAAGTGCGCCGTGGGTCTATAGTATTCTTTGTGTCTCATGTTGTCACCTCTGCTTCATCGACTGCACTTTGTCTCATCTTTGTTGCTGATGTTGAGTTTGTTGTAGTTTGATTCGCTCCTTGTTGTGCCGCTTTAATGTAATGTAATTGTTAAGGAGATGAAATGGGCGGATCGCTGGGGTCACGCTGGGGTCACACTGGGGTCGCCAAAGCTGCTGCATTTGGACCAACTCGCCACATGACCTTTGAACTCTGTGATTGTGGTGTGAAATGTAGATTTTATAGTGCTTCTCCTGCTTTTATGTCGTATAATTAAAGGTGAATTTGTATTTCTTTGCCTGAAAAGCATCGCAGTGTGGCATTGCACTTGTTAAAGGTATGCTTTGAACAAAAAAATTTATTAAAAAAATACCATAACGTGGAAATTCATGGCAAAGCAGTTACGAACGGAAGCCGAGAGGGGTCGCAACAAACGCAAATGCCTCAACAAATACGATAACACAACAAAAAGCCACAATACACCAAAAAAGCCACAATGGAAATGACCGCGGGACTCTATTTAAATGCAAACGCCGCAACAAATACAAACGCCACAACACAAACGCAAATGCCGCAACACATTAAAAAGCCGCAACACATTAAAAAGCCACAACACATTAAAAAGCCACAACGGAAGTGACCGCGGGACTATTTTCCGACGGACCGATCAAGCGGCAAGTGAAGAAGAAGAACTACAACGTGAAACAAATAATGATAAAACAATAAATTACTTTTACTTACGTTTCCAACTTCTCCGTTCCTTTTCTTTTCACGTTGTAGTTCTTCTTCTTCACTTGCCGCTTGATCGGTCCGTCGGAAAATAGAGTCCCGCGGTCACTTCCGTTGTGGCTTTTTGATGTGTTGTGGCTTTTTAATGTGTTGTGGCATTTGCGTTTGTGTTGTGGCGTTTGTATTCATTGCGGTGTTTGCATTAAAATAGAGTTCCGCGGTCATTTCCGTTGTGGCTTTTTTTGGTTTGTTGTGGCTTTTTGTTGTGTTGTCGCATTTGTATTTGTTGCAGCATTTTTGTTTGTTGTGACCCCTCTCAGCTTCCGTAGTTACGTCTCTATGGTAGCAGCCCTCACAATGAAAATTTACAAATGTTTTAACTTGATATCCATCCATTTTCTTTCGCTTTTCCGGGGCCGGGTCGCGGAGGCAGCAGTCTAAGCAGGGACTCCCAGACTTCCCTTTCCACGCACACTTCCTCCAGCTCCTCCGTTGGGATCCCAAAGCACTTGAACTTGATATTAACTCTTAAATGTTTATGTTGTTCCTGTGTTGTTTGTACATCCCTACTTACAATCACAGTTTTTTTTTCAGTTTGCCAGGTTTTTCAGACCAATAAACAACCAAACATGTGTCCTTACTGTGAGCAGGCTTTCATCTCCGCAAACCTCTCTCTTGAGCTGGAAAGGGCGCACCTCCTGCTTATTTACATGGAAATGTTGTTCCTTTGGCTCTAATATTCCACAGCGTGACACCTTTTACACCTGGGTCACTGGTTATAGAGTCTACTGACCATAATTAGAGCAACTAGCAATAAGGAGAACTAATGTAAAAATTATGATTATTTATTTTTATTTTATTTTATTTGCAAACTAGATACATTAGAGAATATAGGAACCAAACAACATGCAAGATACAAGACAAACATTACAAATCAATTACAAGTTCAGATATTACATACAAAGTAGGTGACAGGGGCTGGTGACAGTGTGGACATTATGTGTGTGCGTTCGTGTTTAATTATTTCAAATATAAATATAGTTGGTGTTTGTTTAACCATGAAAAATTGACTCTTGTGAGGTTTAAGCCATATTATAATGCTACCTCCTCAAAAACAGACCTGGAGTTGTGTTTTGTTTCATTCACAAAGTTTGAGTAACATATTTTTTATTCTGTCAGCATCTCCAAAACTCAAAATGCGCTGCTCCATCTCCTGCCATTTTCAAGTTAACAGCTCCTTTTAGCTTTACTTCAGTACAGATGGGCACCTCCAGGGCTTAAATTATCCAAATGATTCTAGTGAAGGTGTATGAAGTTTAAAAACACAATGGAGTGCTTCCTGTATTATCACATGAGAGAATGTTTTCTGTTTGAGAGAAGAACTCAGCCTAAAAATGCCGAATTTGTCTGTTTAAAAATGTGTGAATGAAACAAAACACAACTCTGAGTATGTTTGTGATGAGGTAACAACATTTTATCATAGATCTGAAAACAGTGTAATCCGGGCTCTTAAAACGTCTAAATAAAGTGCTGTAATAGACTCATAGCAGGTTCAGTTCCTCTTCCTCCTCCTCCTCTCGGTGTAATGACTCGCAGATGTGTGTTAGTAAATATAGGCAGCCCTTTCTCTGTGCCTCAAAGGGGAGCAGGAAAAATGATGGCTATTAACAGGAAGTCCCAATTTGTAGGTCAGAGTATAATAACAAGCGCTGAGTGTTTTAAATTGAAAATGAAGTCTTTGAGGGTCGAGTGGTGCGCAGCTGAGCTCTGAGGCCGAGGATCCTGTTCAGAGAAAAGAGGAAGAAAACTGAAAACACTTGTGTGAGGACAGCTGAAAAGGCAGCGCTCTCCCAGGACCAAGCATCACAGGGCTCCACTATTATACATGTGATAGGATATAGTGAGTGTTAGATAAGATTAAGATTGTGACATTAAAGGTGCACTGTGTAACCTTTAATGGATCTACAGAGGGTCCGTCACATTCTTATTTATGTAAAAATGTCATTGCTGTTCTTGGAATGTTCCACAGTATGACATTAAACAGCTCTACTTTATATTTATTCAATTACAAGTGGTTTTATAGCTCAAAAATACCTAGAAAAACAGGCATTGTGACTGAGTGGGGTCGCCTCTCCACAGATCTGACCTATAACTTGGTCTGTTTTGAGCTCCATGATGATTTTTAAAAAAAGGTTTAATCCCGTCCTGTGAAATATTCCAGAGAAAACAATCAAATCTCCATGAAGAAAAGCATTTGACGGACCCTCCACCAGAAAAGTTACACAGTGCATCTTTAAAAGGCCCAGATTACTATATTTTCAAATGTTCATAATGTTGTTTCTTTATTAAAAACACTCCAGGAGTTGTGTTTTGTTTCATTCACACAAGTTTAACACACAAACCCTGCATGTTGAAGCTGAGTTTTTCTCTCAGACAGAAAACATTCTGTTCCACCTTTTGATGTCATGTGGTAATACAGGAAGTGCTTCACTGTGTTTTCAAACTCCATACACCTTAGAGAAAAATTTTTGGGGGGATCTAGTGCCAAAATGTTGCACGGTTTGTCCTAATAAAACTCACAGTTTGCAAGTAAGACGGTGTGCCGGATTTTCCTCTATGTTCTTGGGCTGCTCCCTCTCCTCCAACGCACCCATCTCAAGTAATTGATGTGCGAAGTTCTTTTTTTTTTTAACTCCATACACATTAAAATTTTAAAATGGTCACAGTTTTATACAGCAATTTTCCACCTTCAAAGCTCTCAAAGCGCTTTACATCAAGGAACCACTCACCCATTCACACACACATTCATACACCAGTGGACGCAGACACTGAGGGTGAGGTGGGTTAAGTGTCTTGCCCAAGGACACAACGACAGCATTCATCTGTGGGAGCTAGAATTACACCAGCAACTTGTGAGTCAGTGGACACACGCTCTTACCAACTGAGCCACTGCCACCCACCTTCACTAAAATCATTTGGATAATTTCAGCCCTGGAATTGCCGATCTGTACTAAACAAAATGTAAAAGGTGGCTATTAATTTGAAAACTACCACTTCATGACATCACAAGTTGGACCAAAGCCTTTTGAGCTTATAATAAAGGGTTACTCAATTGTGTGTGAATGAAACAAAACACAAATCCGGCTGTGTTTATGATGAAGTAACACCATTCTTCTGCAGTCTTTATTCTTGCTTTATTGAGGTAATTAAAAGTATAGATATTATAAAGTAAGTTGTTACATTGGTAAACATATGTATAACAGTATTAAGTCATGAATACTAGTTACTGATGTTGCTATTTTCCCCGTTGTTTCTCTCATTGGTGCCTGTAGGTGGCGCTGGTGCGGTGGACAGAGAGCGTGGGTCTGACCCTGGTGAACCGTGACCTGGCCTCTCTGCAGCTGAAGACTCCCTCAGGGCAGATCCTCTCCTTCCACATCCTCCAGATCTTCCCCTTCACCTCCGAGAGCAAGAGGATGGGCATCATAGTCAGGGTGGGGCGTGGTTTTACTTTCACTTTCTTCTTTTTTTTTTTTTTTCTTCTTCTTAATGTTCTTTCTGTGGAGGATGCGATTGGCTAATTGTGTTTATTCAATTTGCAATTTCCAAAGCCGCCCTACTCCCAAGTTCATGTAAAAATATACTTGTTTTTATGCTCTTAGCTTTACATAAGTGGGTTAATTGTTAAGACTTTTTTTGTATGTTTGATTTTCTGAACTATAACATCAGCCTACCCAGGGACTACAGGTGAAAATTTGTACTGGTACAATACATCTCTCCTGTTAAGGTTAATGTACACTGTGCATTGTTCCTGTGTCATTAAATAATTAAACAAAACTAAAAAAAAAAAAAAAGAAAACTAAATTTGTATGTATTAAGGCTGGACAATTAATTGAAATTTTAGCGCGATTTCGATTTGTGTGTCAAACTCATATAATCGAGTTGAAAGGATTTAAGCTTTAGGGATATTTTTTATATAAATAAGTATATTTATTTTATTTTTTTAAATATAGAGATTGTAGAACAGCTGGATAAATAGTTAATTTTGGATACATTTATGTTTTCCTATGCCTTATTTCATGTTCAAAGTATATTTTATTCATTCCAGGTTTTATACATCGCAAAACTGCTCTAAGCTTCATATTTGTAGCCTCTATTTATTTTCAGTTTCAAAGTTTTGTGTAAATTATCAATATCAATAACGAAGTGTTTTTTTGAGAGAGAAATGCTGAATAAATTTATCGTGTAACAAAAAAAAATAATCTTTTGAATAATCGTGATTTCAATATTGATCAAAATAATCGTGATAATGATTTTTTCCATAATCGAGCAGCCCTAATCTTTATTGTGTGTTCTATTGCAGGAGGAGTCCACAGGAGACATCACATTTTACATGAAAGGGGCCGATGTGGCTATGGCCAGTATCGTCCAGTACAACGACTGGCTCGAAGAAGAGGTAACAACTGTTGTGCTGCGTTCAGACCACACGGCGTTGGCTTTATATTCAAAGTGTGTGGGGATGTGCGACTGGGCTGGTCCATGTCAGACAGCAGAGTTGAGAAATTGGAACTTTTGGAAAAATTCACAGCACCTCAAATAGTTTCAAGCCGTCAGATGCGTCCAGCTTTAGGCGTTTTCTTGCCTGACCAACCAGTCCCTTCTACACAGCCATGTTTGTTTTTTATCCAAACATAGAAGGAAAGCAAAGTTTTTAAAGAGAGTGGTTCTGGCTGGTCAGGTAAGGCGTTTGTCACAATTCTTACACTGAGGTCTGTATTAGTTTATATCTGATTTGCTTCTTACATGTAGGAATATAGGGATTAAACGTTAACTCAATAACCAGGATTGTTCAGGTCACAATAAGTAAGAACTAAAAAAGAACAGTATATTAATAGTAACAATAATGTTGGCCATCTCTTTTAATTTACTTTATTGCTGAAAGTTTGTTGAAAATTTGATTTCAAAGTCAGCTACATATCACAGATTAGGGCTGGGTATCATTAAGAAGTTGCCAATACGATACATACCTCGATACAATGCACTTTCGATTCGATGACTGTGATACTAAAACTGTTTGTTAAACCAGTTTTTGTGGTTCAACAATAATAAGAAACACACACACTCATTTTACTCCTCAAAACAGGGAATGTATCAAATGAGTTGCATAAAAGAGTTTCCTTTCTGTAAACAAGCAACAAAACTGGGTCGCAAGAAATTTTTTTTGGGTCGTCTTGTCACGATCTACATGTGGGTCTGCAATATACATATACTGTACACACATCTCCACGCACCCCACACTTTTTCGGCAGCACCACCTTGCCTAACCAATTTTTTTGTGGGAGACACTGATAACTGTTTTTCAATGTTTCATTGTTTAAAACTTGAGTAATACTAATTGTTCAGAGAGAGACATGATCACTCAGTCAACAATAAAATATCCTCATTATTGTTCAATACTGGTCACACATTTTTTTGTGATTAACGAGTAATGTCTATTGACTTGGGTTGCGAAGATTTCTGACTTTTAAAATATGGGTTTCCAGAAAAAAAAGTTTGAGAAACACTGTTGTATCATCACATTACCATATATTGATATTTCAGTATTTTTGCACACCTCTACCACTGATTATGTCAATAATTGTGAAAATTCTCAAAATCGTGTTGTTTCTTCTCACAGCAATCAAAAAATATATGTTGCAGCATTAGTCTAAAAACATTATCAACCACAGTTTCAGTTATTTGAGCCTAAAAACATGAATGTCACATAGTTTACATTACAGCATAACATTATTATCAGCTCATTATAAATTCAGCCTAATAAAAGTTTAGTAACCCCGCAGACTTTCCCTTTTAATCTTTGTCACACCTACAGTAACAGCCCTGTATTCATGACTTTAATCTGGATCCTAACAGACCCGACCCGCTTGATGCCGGACGTTCTCTTCTCGTGTGCATATGTTCATAATTATATTGGCATTATCGAGCCTGTTACCACCGCGGGCAGCTGTAGATTTAATTAGTGACCTAGATAAAGTGCAGTAATTACAGTATGTCATATTCAGAGCCATGGAGTGTTTCGGCTAATATGCCCTTTGTCCAATCGCCCAACTCAGCAGTCAATACCCAATCAACTTTTCCCCCCCGACTCTGTTTCATATGAAAAATAACGCTCCCTCCATCTCTGTGTTTTGACATGTGTCCTCTCTTTATCTCCAGAGGCACTAAATACGGCATTGATTGGATTTTTACTGTTGGAAATAATATGTTGTTATTGACAAGCCTGTGGAGTGTTGTTATTGGCAACAGTTCATGTACAAGACAGCATCTGCTAATGAGTGACCTCAATAAAAGCCCCATGTGTTTGTATTGTGTGAAGGATCGTTGATTATCCGTGTTATTTTGTATTATACTACTATGTTTTTTCGTGTTTTCAGTGTGGGAATATGGCCAGAGAAGGACTGAGGACTCTGGTGGTGGCCAAGAAGTCCTTGTCTGAAGAGCAGTACCAGGATTTTGAGGTAAAAGAAAACAGAACTATTGTCAAGCATGTGAACTTTTTTAAATTAAGTGTTGTAATCTTTATCAAAACAATCTGAAGTGTGTTTGAGATTAGAGCTTGATAAAAAATAATCACATTTTTCTTTTCTATTTTCTATTTTATTAAAGAAAAACAACATCTTTGAGTATTAATTCCCTAATTAAAAAAAAAAAATCAGACTTTTAATCATTGTCATTTAACACACAGGGTTCCCACGATGATGGGAATCCTGGAAAAGTCAGGCTTAGAAAAGTCATGGCATTTTGTAAATTCAATGAAATTTTTTTAAAAGTCGTGGAATTTTAGTGTCTCTTTCACACAACTACAGCATTCTGTTAAGTTGTCAGTCTATTCTGATTATTTCCGAACGTCTGCGCCTTTTGTTTAAAAGAGACGACAATAAATACACTGACAGGATTTTTTATGTTAAAAAACTATCATTCCAAACCATAAGGTGAGTGGAAAGAGTTAACATTTCATATTTAGCCCCAAAAGTATGATAAATTCTACACATGTAGGTGCTGTAAAGTCATGGAAAATTCACTTTAGGTCATGAAAAAGTCATGGAAAAATTTTGAAAATTTGTCAGTGAAAAAGAGTGTGAACCCTGCACACAGAAAAACATGAAATATCTCCCTTGGAAGTCTGAACTCTGCTTCGAACCACATGCAGACAGAGATAAAAAACATCCAAACAAATCAAAGTATAAAAGTAAATTTCTTCTTTCTAGTTTTGGCCATTTGGAACTGGCAATATTTTTAATGTGCCAGGGTGTAATTTTTTTGTACTATGTTGAGATTTGAACTGTAAAGGGCTGATTAAATAACATCTATGACTCATTATAGATACAAACTCGCTACTTAAGTGTTTTATTCTTCTGTTTACTTATTGCAGATCATGTTCTAACAATATTATAGTTGTAGAATACTTTCTTTTGTGGGGATAAGTTTCTTTATTATCATTTATCATCTATATTTTCTTCAGTAAATGTATAGTCAGTGCTGGTTTGTAAAATGTGTTATGGTGACAGGCCTGTTTGTGTGTCTTCTGTGTCATTTCAGAACCGTTATAACCAGGCGAAGCTGAGTATCCATGACCGCGGGCTGAAGGTGGCAGCGGTGGTGGAGAGTCTGGAGCGGGAGATGGAGCTTCTGTGTTTGACCGGAGTCGAGGACCAGCTCCAGGCCGACGTCAGGCCCACACTGGAACTGCTCCGAAACGCTGGGATCAAGGTCTCCATCGTTTCACTCATATTCAGACTAAAATGCACATACTTTATCAATTAATCTTGACAATTCAGTTCTCAAAGCAGATTGGTTGTGCATAAACCTTAAATAAAATGATGTGCATACAACACACAACACACATTCAAACCTCTGTTCATCAGGGGGCACATTAGCAAATTTACTTTTTATTTATTTAGGTTAGATTGCTTTATTTGTATCTGTAGGTAAATTTGTTTTGCAGTTTGTGAGGCTGGTCCTATATTTCACATTTCATTCATTCACACTGTAGACCAGGGTTGGGCAATTATTATAATAAACAGAAAATATTATGGAGGTCCAAAATGCTTAACTCAATTCTGCATAATATTAATTGTATTTCTTTATAAAAAGCTGTAAATAGCATTGTTTTGATGAGCTGGTAAGAGTTTATGTTATGGGTTAGGGTTGCCTTTAGGTTGCCTTACAAAAAATGTCATTTAAAAAACACGTCTGACATAAAAGCAATGCAGCTTTCGTTCATACATGAGGTAAATTAGAGATCTAAATGATAGATTATAGGTAAATTATATTATAGACAATAGACGCATATATAAAAACACATGACCATGACCAAGTGTTAGTGCTCCAGGGCTTGTCAGACTAAGTTAAATTAAAAATGTTTGCCTGACGAAGGCCTAGTGCCGAAACGTTGCACGGTTTGTCCTAATAAATTTCACTATTTGCAAGTAAGACGGTGTGCGGGATTTTTCTCCAAAATAAAAATGTAACAAAGACAAAATCAAGACTAAAGATACTATATTACACAAAACTGACTTATGTGAACTTTAAAGCCATGTTGTAATGGTTTAATATCCACAAAAACATATCTGGAGTTGTGTTTTGTTTCACTCACACATATTTAAGTAATCCTTTATTATGCTCTGTTCCACCTTGTGATGTCACCAAGCGGTAGTTTTCAGGTTAACAGCTACATTTTACCTTTTGTTTAGTAGAGTTTGGCTATTCCAGGGCTGAGATTATTCAAATGATTCTAGTGAAGGTTTATGGAGTTTAAAAACAGAATGGAGCACCTCCTGTATTGTACTATGTTTTTGGTTTGAGAGAAGAACTCAAATATGCAGGATTTGTGTGCCCAACATGTGTGAATGAAACAAAACACAACTCCAGGTCTGTTTGTGATGAAGAAACAACATTATAAGACAAATCAGATGTGAGCCCTAAAGACCTTCCCCAGTTTTTGAAAAAGGGACATTTTGTTTTGCTTCGTTCTTACTGACAACTAACTTTCAATCGACTCTTCTTTCCAGATTTGGATGTTGACCGGTGACAAACTTGAGACTGCCACCTGCATCGCCAAGAGCTCTCACCTCGTCTCCAGGAACCAGGACATCCACGTCTTCAAACCTGTACGCTCCTTTCTCCTCGCTCTCCTCTCTGTGGTCACTACAACAATGCACTTAAGCAGAACAATCTAGACTCTTGTGCTGTTGTTATTGTTGTCGTTGTGCCTAATCGTGTCTAATATGCTAATGCTATGTTAATCGTGAGTTGTGGCTCTTGAGCAGGTGTCTAACCGCGTAGAGGCCCATCTGGAGCTCAACGCCTTCAGGAGAAAACACGACTGCGCCTTGGTCATCTCTGGAGACTCACTAGAGGTACGGCCGCACTCTCCATTCGAACTAAAAGTACACGCTGAGATGTTACACAGATGTGACAAATGAGCAAACAGAGCACGGCTTAAGAAGTTTGGAGTTAAGGTTTTGGTTGGATTAATGTTCAAATGGGAATGTTTGGAAGCATTAATTTAAAAGGCCCATATTGCGCTGTTTTCTGATCTAAGTTATAATGTAGTTTTCTCAAATTCCTGCAAATTTCTCTGATCTGGCCAAGATTTTAAAACTTATATCAGGTTATTCACTACTTATTAGTTCTGAGATGCTTAATTCTAGTCTAGAGGTAGTTTATTTTAAGATATCTTGTCAAGTAAGATCATCTTGCCGCACGGACAGTAGACATGTAACAATAATCAAAATATTGTGATATCGTACCGTCAAAGGTCTCACAATAATATCGTGGACAATCACAACATATTAAAGTACAAGTCTCTTCGCTTAGATTAATAGTTGTGGTGCAGCAAAAGCTAAAAAAAACAAACAGAGGGAACTACATAGACCATGATCCTTTGCTCCATTTCAGTGCAGACCATGCACTTTTAAATCTTAGTAGTTTGGGTTAAATCTTGTCAAGGCATCGCCATAAATATCGTACTTTGAGATACATATCGTGAAAATATTTTACAGAGAGATTTGGATATCATTACATCCCTAATGGACAGATAATTTTACTACTTTAAATCCATTTTCTGATAGATTTAAGTGTTTGTCTTAAATTTTGGACGAGCTATTTTGCAGTGTGGAGTTGTTTTGTTTCATTCACACATGTTTAACACACAAATCCTACATATTTAGGCTGAGTTCTCAAACGGAAAACGCTTCTGATGTCATATGGTAATACAGGAAGTGCTCCACTGTGTTTTTAAACTCCGTACACTTTCACTAGAATCATTTGGATGATTTCAGCCTTGGAATTGCCAATTTCTGCTGAACTAAAGGTAAAAATGTAGTTGTTAACTTGAAAAACTACCTCTATATGACATCACAAGCTGGAACAGAACATCTTGAGCTTTGGAGATGTAGACAGACTAATAATAAAAGGTTACTCGAACAACATGTGACTGAAACAAAACACAACTCCAGATATGTTTTTTAGGAGGTAACAGCATTATAACATGACTTAAAGCTCACAAGAGTCAGTTTTGTGTAATACAGGACCTTGATCTAACTGTCTGTCTCTTTCCAGATGTGTCTGAGTTACTATGAGCACGAGTTCGTGGAGTTGGCCTGTCAGTGTCCGGCTGTGGTCTGCTGCCGCTGCTCTCCCACTCAGAAGGCTCAGATCGTCACTCTCCTGCAGCAGCACACGGACAACAGGACCTGCGCCATCGGTCAGACTCTATTTATACATCTATTTATCAAGTAACAGCTTTAACAAATAACAGTGAACATGCTGACTTAATAGGAATGATTTATATCCACAAGGGGGCAGTCAAAGCAAGGATTTGGGGTTGTGAATGTTGTTGAAAGTGAATATTTTTCCTGCTTTTAAATGTGCGCTGTGTTACTTTTCTGGCTGGCAAAAACAGACCTGGAGTTGTGTTTTGTTTCATTCACACATGTTTGAATAACTCTTTATTATTAGTCTGTTTACATCTCCAAAGCTTAAAATGCTCTGTTCAATGTTTTTTTTACTGTTTTCAAGTGAATAGCTACCACTTTGTTCAGCAGAAATGGGCAATTCCAGGGTTGAATCATCTAAATTATTCTAGTGAAGGTGTTTTGAGGAACAGAGTGTTTTCTGTTTGAGAGAGGTTTGTGTGTTAATGTGTGTGAATGAAACAAAACACAACTCCAGGGATGTTTATGAGGATGAAACATTATAACATAGATCAGAAAATAGCATAATATGGGCAGTTTGAGGTGTTTAAATGTGTTTTCATCGTTCCAGGTGATGGAGGAAATGATGTTAGTATGATTCAAGCTGCAGACTGTGGCATTGGCATAGAGGGAAAGGTACAGATCTTTTACATATTTATAAGAGCCCAGTATCACAGCTGTACAGTTCTTATTTTGACTTGTGTTCACCAGTTTTCTTGCTCTGTCTGTGTGTTCTTCAGGAGGGGAAACAGGCCTCTCTGGCTGCAGACTTCTCCATCACTCAGTTCAAACACATCGGGCGTCTGCTCATGGTCCACGGCAGAAACAGCTACAAACGCTCGGCTGCTCTGGGGCAGTTTGTGATGCACAGGGGCATGATCATCTCCACCATGCAGGTACAGCTTAGGACTCCGGGCAGAAGTCAGTGAATGAGGAAGAATCATTTTAATATATTAACTTTGTGCTCTCTCCCTCAGGCCGTCTTCTCCTCCATTTTCTACTTTGCCTCCGTGCCGTTGTATCAGGGTTTCCTCATGGTCGGGTATGTTCACAGCTGCACTTCACTGATCACATGTGTTTGGGCAGCAGTGTTTTCTCTGAGGGCGGGATATAGAAACGTGTTTGTAGAGAACGGCCTTAGACTAGTGTTCAGTACAGTGAGATTTTCAGATAGATGCATTTTACACCATTACAACACCTTTAAAAAGTTTTATAACACTAATTTCATGCCTAACTGAGATCTTTATCACAATGTAATAAAATGTGATTCAGGTTACAGTCACATGGTTCCCACAGTCATGGAAATCCTGGAAAAGTCATGGACGTTGAAAGTATCATTGTCATTTTAGGGCTTGGATATGATAAGAAAATTAATCACATTTTTCTTTTCTATTTTCTATTTTATTAAAGAAAAACTGCATCTTTGAGTATTAATTCCCTAAATAAATTAAAAAAAATACAGACTTTTAATCATTGCCATTTAACACACAGAGTTCCCACACGCATGGAAATCCTGGAAAAGTCATGGAAATTGAAAGTGTCATTTTCCAGGCCTGGAAAAGTCATGAAATTTTAGTATCTCTTTCACACAACTACAGCGTTCTGTTAAGTTCTCATTAGGCTGTTATAATCATTTCCTAACGTCTGCGCTGACAGTATTTTGAATATAAAAAAAACGATAATACCAAACCATAAGGTGAGTGGAAAGGGTTCACATTTCATATTTAGCCCTAAAAGTCTGATCAATTCTACACATGTAGGTGCCATAAAGTCACAGAAAATTCACTTTAGGTCATGAAAAAGTCATGGAAAAGTTTTTAAATTTTGTAAATGAAAAAGAGTGGGAACCCTGGCCACAGAAATACTTGACCTGATGAATATTTGCAGTATAAAGTACTGGCCTTTGATGATTCAGACCTATTCAGAAGGAGTTTTAATAATTGTTTTATTTGTGTTCTCGTTCTGGATTGAGTTTACAGTTCATTTTAAACATGTACAGGACTATTCACATTTGAGACTGAAACGTGAACTGCTAAACTAATACAAGAATCACATGATGCATTTCTACTAAGTTGTGTAAAGTAAAAGCAGGATTTACACATATTTAGACTGTTTTGTCCAGACTGCTGTAGCACAACGCATTTTTTAATTCATTAAACATATTAATACCTATAGTAATGAATTAATTATAAATATTTTTTATGTTAAGGCAATACAATGAGAAACACAGTGTCCTGGTGTATACTTTGACTGTTTTTACAATATAGTCATGTTTATTAATGAAAAACATGGTATTACTGTCTGTATTTTACCTACATATGAGCAGCTTTTGCAATTGTGTGATTAATTTTGTAGTAGATTCTTTATAAGTTTAAGAGTTAAAGCTGCACTATAACTTTTCTGGAAGAGCGCACACCACCTGCTCGTCTCCATGTATCTGAAATGTTACACAGTATAGAATTACATTGATCTATTTCTATGGAAACATGAGGTCAAATTGGTCTCACGCACACTATGTATATTTCAAGGTATTGACGGTAATTATCTATTTTTAATTCATTAAGTACTGAAAAACATTTGTAGGAAAAGCCTTAACATCTCCATGGAGACAAGCATGTGGCAGATTCTTAGAGAAAAGTTACACAGTGCACCTTTAAGTCTATCTGTATCTTGATTTTGATGATCTTTTTGTTTTTTCTTGTGCAGTTACGCCACAATCTACACCATGTTCCCTGTGTTCTCTCTGGTTCTGGATCAGGACGTTAAACCAGAGATGGCGCTGCTGTACCCCGAGCTCTACAAAGACCTCACAAAGGTCAGAGTTCACACGCAAACATCCACTATCATCAGGAACGTTTATTCAGGTTTATTCACTGTGGGTTTTCTCTGCTCCAGGGCCGATCACTGTCCTTTAAGACCTTCCTCATTTGGGTTTTGATCAGTGTTTATCAAGGTAAGACCGAGCAGCTTATCTAAGAAAATATTTTTATTACACAACAAACTAATGCAAGTCAAGCATTTTACCAAACAGGTCATAAATTACATAATCCTAACTAATCTATGCATTTAATTCTGGCATTAAAAAAAACACAATTTTAAAGGTGTATTTTGTAACTTTTTAGTAGAGGTTCAGTTTTTTTTTACTTAATTAAAAGTACAGTTACTGGAGCAAAAAATACTCAAGTAAAAGTATCACCTGAAAAACATCTACTTCAGTAAAAGTAGTAAAACTTTTATAAATAGATTTTAAGATTACTAAAGCTTCAAATGTCGTGATTTTGATAAAGATTTGTGCTAAATTTTGTCCAACGTAAACAACTGAATTCATATTATTTTTGTAGCTGATTTTATTTGTATATATATATATTTTTTTTTTCTAAAAGTACAAATAAACCCTCAGCCTTTTCAACAGGTCTCAGTCAATGATAAAAAAAAAACTTTACTTTTAAGTTCTGCTCAAAAATGTAGTAGAGCAGAAAGTACTCAGATGTAGTGAAGTAAAATGAAAAATTATCCAATTTAAAATCTACTTAAGTAAAAGTATAGGTACCTCAAATTTATATGTAAAAGTGCGTTGTGTAACTTTTCTGGTGGAGTGTCCGTCAAACGCTTTTCTCTGTGGAGATGTTGTTGGTTGTCAGTTTGAATCCTGCTCTCGACAAAAAAAACATCATTTTTGAGCAGTCAGATCCATTGACCCACAGGTCCAGCTCCCACAGATGAATGCTGTCATTGTGTCCTCGGGCAAGACACTTAACCCCTCCTCACCCCTAGTGTCTGTGTACACTGGTGTAGGAATGTGTGTGTGAATAAGTGAGTGGTTCCTTGTTGTAAAGCGCTTTGAAGGTGTTTAAAACTGTGAGCATTTACCATTTATTTTGTCTGGAATGTTTCACAGTATGGCATTAAACCTTTCTACCTTCATGGAGACCAAACCAGACCAAGTTACAGGTCAGATCTGTGGAGAGGCGACCCCGCTCCCAGTCAGAATCCCTGTTTTTCTAGATATTTTTGAGCTATAAAACCACCTGTAATTTAATAAATGTAAAATAGAGATGTTTTATGCCATACTCTAGAACATTCCAGGCAGACAAATCACATCTCCATAGAAACAAGCAGGTGACAGACCGGCGAACAAAAAGTTTCATCGGGTTTGTTGGATGCAGATAGTGGACCTCGTGGACAATCTTAATGGATCTTTTTTACAGTGAAATTAAAGGCCGTAAATTAGTCTTATAGCAGCATTTATTTTGTCTGGAATGTTTCACAGTGTGGCATTTAACCTTTGTATCTTCATCGAGACCAAACCAGACCAAATTACAGGTCAGATTTGTGGAGAGGCGACCCCGCTCACAGTCAGAAAGCCTGTTTTTCTAGATATTTTTGAGCTATAAAACCACCTGTAATTGAATAAATGTAAGGTAAAGCTGTTTAATGTCATACTGTGGAACGTTCAATGACGTATCCATAGAAACAAGCAGGTGACGGACCTCTTACTAAAAAGTTACATAGTGCACCTTTAGCTGTAGTGCTTTACTACTTTTACCACTGATAAAGACTGACCCATTTGGCTTTGTGCTTTATAATTAATACTCGCCTCGTCAAACTGTCTGTGGCAGTTTCTCAGTATCTTATGTTTCTGGGCCCAGGCACTTTTACATTTGCACTATTGTCTATTCAGTAAATCGATATTTCACTAACCGCTAAGCCAGGAGAGTCAGATCTATGCCTCCAGTGAACCGTGACTTCCTGACAAAACCAGCTTTTTAATTAAAGACCCAAAAACCAGGACTGGAGCTGACGGAGAGAGAGAGGAGAAACCAGCGCACGAGATGAGGAATACAAGGAAATATGAAGGTTTAATTTAATAGAGTTTGAGTAGCAGGAATTTGCTGTATGCAGAGGCAATTATGTGATCAGTTATAGTCTATTAGGTCCAATTTGTGGAGCGTTATGATAAATGAGGGATCAGGATTCACCGGGCGCCAAAAAAAAAACAGTGAAAGCAGATACACGGAGCAGAGAGGAGGGAAAATCTACAGTTATATAATCATTACAGGTGCCATTTTGTAAGTATAGTGATAAACTTGGATGAATTTTCTCTACTATGTCCACTGGGAAAACTGGAAATCCTTAGACAGTGTTGCCCAACTTTTTTTTTTTGTCTCAAGTATCGCTTTTGTTGCACAAGTACCAGGCAAATAAATGTAAATAACTGGCTTTTTACTACAACTAGGGCTGGGTATCATTGAGAAGTTGCCGATACGATATAGGCCTCGATATGATACATTTTCGATACAGTGCACTTTCGATTCAATAATATTTGATACAATATACTTCCAGGGTAGCCGCTTAAAAGTCTTAAAAAGGTCCTAAATTTCATGTTCCTAAATTGAGGCCTTAAAAAGTCTTAAATTATGTTGTCCAGGACTTATTTTTTTCACAAAGGTTTTAAATTTTATAAGCCTATTTTTTTGTAAACTTAACCGGGCTGCAGTGCGATGTTAAACGGAGGAAAAATAAAACCGTGAAATCATGTAACGTGAATGAGCATCTAATTTGGAGTATGCGTAAACAATACTTAGTTTGTCTTGTTAGAATGTTATAAATGATTTTTGGTCATTTTACAAGCAATGCATACTTCTATAAATGAGTTCTGAATGAGAAGTATTTTTTGTTATTTAAAGCAGTGAGTAAAGTCATTATTAGAATTGGATCTGGTGTTTTTCACCCATATATTGGGTGCGATGTTGGTCTTACTTTTCATTTAAGTGGACTTAAAAAGATCTTAAAAAAGTCTTAAATTTGGGATAAACCTGGGGATACCTGATTTCAAATTGATTCGAAAAAAAGGCTAAATCATGGCTGGGATACTAAAAGTCAGAGTTAATCAGAGTTAATATGAAAAACACCTATTTTACTTTTCAAAACTATGAAAATCTCAACACAAGTGTTGCTCTTTGTAGCAAAATTATTTAGCAATATACCAAAAATTACTCTTGGTGATATATCGATACAGCAGCCCATGATATCGATACTGTATCATCACATTAAACAAAACGATATGTCAATATTTCAATATTTTTGCACACCCGTAACTACTAGTATATTATTATTTTTTCCCTTGTTTTAATGAAATTGACGATCTACAATCCTCATAAACTATTCTTAAATTTATAAATATTGTTTGCTTTAAATTTGGAAACCATTTCAAGTACCTCCTGTTTGGGAAACGCTGTCCTAAGAGATCTTTTGTTATATTTTTACTTGTAAAAAAAACAGACAAACAAACAATTTATTTTTGTTTTTTATTTATAGCTGTATTTTGTGGTAAGACCTTTTCTTTGTATATTTTACTATTTAAAGGTGCATTGTGTAACTTTTTTGATGGAGGGTTTGCCAAATGTGCTTTATCTGGAATATTTCACAGTACAGTATTAAACTTTTCTAAGTTACACATCAGATCTGTGGAGAGGTGACCCTGCTCACAGTCAGAATGTTTGTTTTTCAAGGTATTTTTGAGCTATAAAACCACCTGTAATTGTGTTTAATGTCATACTGTGGAACATTCCAGACAGACAAATGACATATTCATAAAAACAAGCTGGAAAAAGTTACACAGTGCACCTTTAAACTACAAAAAATGTTTCTTTAGGATGAAGTAATGCTGTTCTCTCATATTATTAACTATAACTAAGAGCACAGGCCAATATATAAATGTTTTAAATGAGCCTGGTGGAGTCTCATCAGTCGTGTTTACCTTGTGTGTGGCGCCCCCAGGTGGAATCCTGATGTACGGCGGCCTGGTGCTGTTCGAGTCGGAGTTTGTTCACGTCGTGGCCATCTCCTTCACCGCGCTCATTCTCACCGAGCTCCTCATGGTGGCGCTCACGATCCGCACGTGGCACTGGCTCATGGTCGTGGCCGAGTTCTTCAGTCTGGGCTGTTACTTGGCCTCGCTCGCCTTCCTCAACGAATACTTTGGTAGGTTTAAGGTTGTTTTATTATGTGTGGATTTATTTATTATGTGATCCTATTTAACTCTGTAGGAGATTCACAATTTTTTATAAGAAATATTCAGACTAAATCCATAATTGTTGAACCTTATCATTATTTGTTTGCGGTTTGCTCCTTTTTTATGTCCTTTCAACTAACAGTAATCACATATTTGGCGCTAAATAATCACTTTCTGAAGATATTGAAAATAGCCTCCCCTTATTTATTTGATAGAGAAGATTTTGAACTTTGTAACAGTTTTTGTTTCATGTAGATAGGCCCTGTAATTACAGAGATATTAATCATAAAGCAGGACAAACATCTTGAATATTACATTTAAACCTCAGTACAATTGTGACCTGTCCTCCAGCTCAATGTTAAACTTAGCAATAGATCTTTTTCACAACGGCCAAAAGTCTCGCATGGTAAGGAACTTCCGGTTAATGATTTTCTGTGGCAAAATATCTGTGGAAAAGTCTCACATATCCAGCTTCATAAATCTGCCCCATCAACAAATCTTCAACCAACAAGTTCAACAAAGGATAAACATTCATCAGAGAATTTATCCGCAACTATCAAAGCTTAAAGGCGAACAACGTGTATTAGTGAACTACTGAGCAAAACTAACATTATGGTCATGAATAAAACAATGCAACAAGTAATAAGTAATTCATTAATAAGTAACTTGTGAACTCAGACTGATTCTAAAATTAAAATAAAATATCTACATCATGAAACAGATTTTTTATTTTAATTGTAGAATCACAAGTTACTTATGTTTTATTCATGACCATTACATTAGTTTTGCTCAGCAGTAGTTCAGTAATGCGTCGTCGTTGTTCGCTTTTAAGTTTCCGTCTTTCTTACCTTGATAGTTGTGGATAAATTCTTCATGGACAGAATTTGTCCTTTATCAACCTTGTTAGTCAAAGATTTAGCGATGGGGCAGATTTATGAAGCTGGTGGAAAATACACGAGACATTTTTCCGCAGACATTTCGCCATAGAAAAGCATTAACCTGAAGTTTCGTAAACCTGAGCTTTAAGTCATGTTAAACTGTTATCTCACCAAAAAAATACCTAGAGTTGTGTTTTGTTTCTTTCACACATGTTTGATTAATTCTTTATTATTGGTCTATCTACATCTTCAAAGCTCAAAATGCTCTGTCCCACCTTGTGACGAAGTGATAGTTCTCAAATTAACAGCTCCTTTTACCTTTTGTTTAATAGAAATTGGGAAATCCAGGGCTGAAATTATCCAAATTATTGTAGTGAAGATGTGTGAAGTTTAAAAAGTGATTGAGAGCAGAACTAAAGCCTAAATATGCGGGGTTTGTGTGTTAAACATGTGTGTATGAAGCAAAACATAGATTAAAAAAATAGCGTAATATGGGCGTCATTTCAAAGATCAAGAAATCCGATATTAATCAGATTTTGTTGAGTTTGTAACCGCGGCCAGATGTCAGTATTCCCTTATCGGATAATTACATAATTCCATTATCCAAAAAGGGGAATTTCCTCACTGCAGATCTGTTTTGTGTCACTGAGCACTGGTCTTGACTCGTTTCTGTTTTTTCTTTGTTTAAATCTCACACTCTTCACGTGTAATGTTGTGTGTTTGTTGTGTGTTGTGCGTTGGACACAGGAATAGGCAGGGTGTCTTTCGGAGCTTTCCTTGGTACGTTTAACACAAAGAAGTCTGTCTGCATGTCGAGTCTCTGCACTGAGCATGTGTCTGTGGTGTCGGTGTCGTCGTTTGGGATTGTCCTGCTCCTCTTTTGTCTCTGTGTGTGTGTCTGGATTCACCTTTTGTCTTTTGATTCTTGTGCTTGAAGTTTCATCTTTTAAAAAATTGGATGTAATTCTCAATTTGCATGTAAAAAAAAGTGATGCAACCAAGTCTTAGCCCTACTGCTGATGACTGCATGTGTTTATTTGAACAGTTTAATTGAGTTTAAGTGCAGTGTTCCTACATCAACTTTAGTCAGGTTTGCTTTTAATGATATTTCAATAATTACTGATTTTTATTTAATGTACAAAAACAAAACAAAAAATGCAACTTTAGCTGACGAACCCATGCAACCAACTCAAAACCTTGGAAGAAAAACAGCAACAACAACAAGAAAGTGTAATAATATAATGATTAAAGCTCTCCAAAAAGCTGAAGATACTGTGGCTTTGCTTGAAATGTTCCACAGTAAGGCTTTATATTTAAGTCTTTTATTGAGCATTTATTCACTTCAGAGGTGAATGGAAATGAGTCATATATCATTGCATGTGTTCAATGAAATGCATCAAACCAAGTCATAAAAATGTACTTTGCAATTTTTCTGGTGGAGGGTCGTGTCACCTGCTCGTCTCCATGGAGATGTTATTGCTTTGCCTGGAATATTCCATGGTATGACATTAAACACATCTCTTTAGCATAGGGCGGATTATCATTTAGAAGTTGCATACCTCAATACGATACCACGATATGATACATATTTTGATACAGCGCACAATTTGATACGATATATTTCAAATTGATTCGATATAGTTCAGTACAAATAAAGGCTAAATCATGGCTGTGATACTAAAAGCCTGTTTACACAAGAACGTTTGCAGGTAAAAACTGCAAAATATTTTATCAGAAGTGCCTTTCGTTTTGACGGTGACGCCGTTTTTGGGGCTTCAAAAACAAAAATCTGAAACATTTTCCAATCCAGAGTGGAAAAGTTGAATACGCGCCACTGTAGTGTTTCCGTCTACTCTGCCCAAGATGCAAAAGTCTGGTCAGATCTGCTTACGTCGTGTACGTGTTTACGTCACATACATCACCACGTAGCGCAGGGGTCTCCACCCTTTTGTCTTTGGTGAGCTACTGTACCTTTATAAAATGAAAATGCCAAAGAGCTACTAATTTTAGCAGTCGCAAGAAATTGAGAAATTATAAGAGCCATGACAAGCCTCAGACAGGGTACAGTTAGATGCCTATTAAACATAAACCATTATCCATTTATTAGTGTACAAGTTAGGCATCAAAATGACACATTACATATAATTCAGAAATCCCTTGACAAGCTTCCTGGAAGGGGATGGAAAGCTGCGGGTAACTCCCAAGCTACAGGTTGGAGACTCCTGATCTAGCGTCACCACCTGCCACCTTTACGTCACCGTATGCATGCAGATTTCCTCCCGAAAACGCTAGAATAAAAAGTGAAGGCAAAACACCACTTTTGTGTCTTCTGTTCAGACCGTTATCATATAAACATAGTCTAAAAGTTTTTGTTAAATCACTGAATATGAAACACAAACATTTTAATCATCAAAACTGTGAAAATGTCAAATTGTCGCATAAACGAGTTTCCTTCCTCTGAACAAACAACAAAACTGTAGCTGTAACAAAATAATTTTGTAAAACATACCAAATAAAAAAACTCTTGGCAATATATCGATACAGCAGCCCACGATATCGATACTGCATCAATACGTTAAACAATATTAATCTAGCATTTATTCATTACGAGTGTTTCTGTTGCTCAAAAATACAACAATTCTCTCTGTGAATGGGGGCAACTCTCCACAGATCTGACCTGTAATGCAGCCTATAGTTGTCTCACTTGAGATCGACAAGTTTAATTTCTACTTTGGAACATTCTAGTCAAAGCAATAACATCTCCATGGAGACAAGCAGGCGACGGACCCTCCACAGTGCAGCTCTATGCAAAGGAAACGTATAGGAAAAACTTAAACTTAAACAAACTCTTCTTGTTTTTTTTTTTCCAGATTTGTCCTACATCACGACTTGGCCTTTTCTGTGGAAGGTTTCTGCGATCACTCTGGTCAGCTGCCTCCCGCTCTACATCATCAAATACCTGAAGCGCAAATTCTCTCCTCCCAGCTACTCCAAGCTCTCCTCCTGAACCAAACCACCGCCGCCATTTTCATTTTTTTCTAACTTATTTTTTTCTTTTGAACGTTATATTTTGAGCACTTTTCGAACTTCATTCACTGACTAATGTACCTGTGGAAAACCAGGACGCAGTGGACCAACCAGAGGAGCGGAACAGCGTCATTTGATTTGGATGTAAGACTTTTTTGGATTACTTGAAAATACATGAGCACATATAATTGAGTTCAAACTGACACAAGGAAAAAAAGGAGACAATTTTGCCTTTTTGTTGAACAGCATTTACAGCAATTTTTATACTTTGGACCTTTTTATATGTGCTGTTTTTAAGTGTTGGTTTTTAAAAACACAAATTGCTGACCTGTCTTTTTTACAGTGTTGTGTTGCGGTTAAGGACTCGTCGTAAATCTTTTGACTGTTTTTTTGTTAATAAAGCCATTTTACTCTGAAACCTTCTGCTCTCGACCTCAAAGTATCGGACAAGGATTGACCAAAAAGAGCCACTTCCAACGTACAAGTCAAAACACTGTATTTCTATGTGAGCGGACTCTGCGTTTCTTTGTATCTGCTGCTAGTTTGTACTGTATGTTTAGCACAAATCATTTAAAGACTTTTGCTGCGTTCATGGCGTGATTGGAAACTCGGGAATTTTTTGAGAAAAATGCACATAAATGAAAGAAAGTTGAAAAGAAAAAACAACTCTGGGACTCAAGATGAAAACGAACAAACAGACGACTCCTGTTATATGAAGACAAATTTAATTAAACTGATTGTATTTTTAGATAAAGTAAAATAAAACGTTAATGTTAAAGGTGCATTGTGTAACTTTTCAAGTGGAGGGTCCGTCACCTTCTTATTTCCATGGAGATGTTGCCTGAAATGTTCCACAGTATGAAATTATCCAATCCAGTCCAACTTTATTTGTATACCACATTTTACCAACACAAAGTCTCCAAAGTGCTGCACAGAGTGGCACAAAATAAAATAACACATTAAATAAAATAAAGTCAGTAAAAATATAATAATATAATAAAATACAAAAATTTGTAAATAGAAAAATAGCAAATCAAATCAATAAAAAACAGTTAGAGGAGCACACAGTTCTCATGCCTTTTACGCTTATTTATCTTTACAGAGGCAACAGGTGACGTTATAGGGTCAGATCTGTGGAGAGGTGAGCCCGTTCGCAGTAAGATTGCAAGTTTTTAAGTCAATAAAAAGTTACGCAGTGCACCTTTAAGCTTCTGTAAAGGCGAACAACAAGAAATTTTACTGTTAGTTTCATTAAAGGGCCCATGTTAGGCTGTTTTCTGATCTGTTATAATGTTTCCTCGTCAAAAACAGACCTGGAGTTGTGTTTTGTTTCATTCACACATGTTTAACACACAAACCCTGCACATTTAGGCTGTGTTCTTCTCTCAAAAGCAACAGAAAACGCACACCAAAATTCTTGTAGAGGTGCAAATGCAAGGAGCAGCCAGACAAGAGTGAAAAAATGCTTAGCACACTCAGATGGCCGATATCCAAAAGCTTTGGACCACAGCACAAGAAAAATATCTGATGAAGGCTTTTTTTTTGCCAAAATGTTATTTTAAAAATAAAAAAGCTTTTGGATATCGGCCATCTGAGTGTGCTAGGCAAGGCAAGGCAAGGCAAGTTTATTTGTATAGAACAATTCGTACACAAAGTAATTCAAAGTGCTTTACAGAATAAGAAATACATTAAAATCAAAATAAAAACAAATCAAAACATAAATCATCATAAAGATTAAAAAAAAAAAAAAAAAGAGACAGACATAAATTAGAAGTGTGCTATGCATTTTTTCACTTTTGTGTTCTTCTCTCAAACAGAAAACACTCTGTTCCACCTTGTGATGTAATTTGGTAATACAGGAAGTGCTCCACTGTGTTTTTAAACTCCGTACGTCTTCACTAGAATCATTTGGATAATTTCAGCCTTGGAATTGCCAAGCTCTACTGAACAAAAGGTAAAATAGAGGTCAGCGCAAAACAGAATTTTCAGTCCTGCTCCCGCCTGTGCCCACAGAGAATTGTAATTTTCATTCCCGCTCCTGCCTGCATCTGCAATATTTTTTCCAGCCCGCAAATCCCACAGGATGGAAGCGTTTATTTTCTTAAGCTCTGTCAAACACAGAGAAGCAGAAAGGAATTGTCTAAAATGTGCACAAGATTAGACCACGTCCACAAGTTTAGGCTGTTTAAAGTGTTTTTATTAATGCCAAATAAAATATCCAGCACAAATGATGTATTATAGGAGCACATTCACCATTTGTATATTTTACTTTACACTCATATTTAGTTTGCGGGACAGCAGTTTATCAGCTCACCCACCCACTCCCGCCCGCGCCTGCAATGAGCTTTCAGAATATGTCCCGCACCACACTCTTTTGCATCGAGGCCCTTGGGAGTGCAGGGCTCTAAAACATAGCTTGAAAACTACCACCACATGACATCACAAGGTGGAACAGAGCATTTTGAGATTTGGAGACTTATAAAGTGTTACTCAAACATGTGTGAATGAAACAAAACACAACTCCAGGTCTGTTTTTGACGAGGTAACAGCTTTATAACATGACTTAAAGCTTCAAGAATCCATTTTGTGTAATTGAGCACCTTTAAACACTGTTAATGACCAAACTTAATGATTTTATTATCGGTGACATCAAAATCCACACTTTCCGAGACAAAAGCACATGAATGTAAACAAGTCTAAGTCCCGCCGTCTCATCTCACGGTCCCGAGTTTCCAAACAGCACCTGAACGCCGCATTTGCTTCATGCTGCTTTCAAAGACACATCCGTCGCATGTGCTGTCAGTGTTTAAGCATGTCAACGCCAGCGAGTAAATACCGAAATATTACGCAACTTTTATTACATTATTGGTTTAAAAAAATGCACTATTTGTTCTGAGTTGATGTCTGTTCTTGAGCCCAGCACCGAAAAGAAGCACACTCACTTTTTTAATCCAGAAAGTGCACACCAGCATGTCCATGTAAGGCGACTTTTGTATAAATAAATGAATGAAACAAAAATAGTCAAATTGTCAAGTCCACTTTACAGATTTACCACTAGAAAAACCACTAGAAAGAGCAAAACAAAGCTCGGAAAATGCACCGTAATGTATCTTTAACTACCACTTGATCTGGACACTGAAGAATGAATTTATGTGCATTAAAGAGGGGGTATTATGCTTTTTTTTACAGGTTTCTACTGTGTTATAACAATGTCCCCTCATCAAAAACATCCCTGAAGAGTTTGCAGACGTCATCCATGCATGTTTGAGTAATTTAGTGATCTTTCTCAGGCCCTATTCCAACCCTGTTTATGATTACCTGTAAGATTCTGTTCAATGCATTTCTCCGGTTAAATTTAAGACATATTGTGCACGGTCCCTTTCTTGTCTCATAAATAAACTAAAATAAATAAACAAAGCTCCGCCCACAAGCCTACGTCCCCCACACTCCCACACGACAACTCTCCATAAATATACAAAAACACGATACAAAACTGCGCACAAAAACTTGACAAACCTGATACGACGTGCAGTAGTTTTGCCGTTTTTATCCACGCTCATTTTGTTGTGATAGCGCTCTGAAGGGGGATTGACTTAGCGTGGAGAGCAAAGAGAGTGGAAAAAGGGAAAATTAATAAAACATATACATTTCCAAAACAATAAAAGGTAACATGGTGATCTAAATATGTTATGTATTAGGAATTTAATACCCCAAAGAAGTAAAAAAAGTACCCCCTCTTTAATTAAAACTACTGAAATCTTGTATGTTTGTTTGATTATTAAGTTACGTTAAGTTGGTTTATATTGTTTAAACTTTGAAGATACAAGCAAAATTATGGTTAACAGGGTTGAAAATGATGTATTTCCCAAAACTATTTTATTTTTTAAGATCAATTACCTTTTATTTTTTCTTAAATCAGAAATATTTGTAGATTATTATGACCACACGAGCTCATCGATTTAGTAGTGACCCTGATGACGCTTGAATGCACAGAATTAACTAAAGAAAAACTGGAAATATTCTCACAAATCCCGACAATCTCAGCAGCCCGTGAATGCACCATCAGACCAGTATTGTGATTCGTGTAGTCCTGATTGTAACTGCTTTTTTTTAGACATAATTTGATTGTTGGTTCGATCACTTTGTGCCTCTTTACTGCTGTGTCAAGTCTTTAAAATCATCCTTATTTATGTATGTTTTTTATGTTGTGTAAGAAAAGGACTGGTATAAAAGTTTTAAGTGTACATGACAGGTTTTCGTGATTCTCTCTTTTTTTTTTTTTTTTTTTTTTTTTTTCATTTGGAGGGATAATAAATAACTACTGTAAAAATCCCAAATCAAGAAGCAGTTTGCGAACAAAAGTTGAAAAATATGTTGGAAAAGTACAGAAAGTAGAGATTTCTATTTAAGAGAATCCCATATTGAGAGAATTCTGTCCAAAAGTTTAAAAGTTTACAATTTACACAAAAGAAACACATTTTCCTGATATTTTAAACTAGTATTTCAACTATATAAAAGGTGTTTTCTGTTCATTTTATTTGTTAAATAATAATTTCTGTGTACATTAGAGGAGTTTAGGCCCAGTGTACTTCATGGTTGCTAGGTAACAGTTATAAAAGTAAAATTTCGTTTTAAAATATATGTTTAGTTAAATCTTAAATATAACATTCTTAGCTGAGTTTTTAGTGCAGTGAGGAGTCTAACCTGTCAGAGGCACTTTAAAGGTGCATTGTGTAACTTTTCTGGTGGTGGATCCGTCAAATTTTTCTCCATGGAGATGTTATTGCTTTGTCAAGAATGTTCCACAGTATGGCATTAAACCTTTCCATCTTCATGGAGACCAAACCAGACTATGTTACAGGTCAGATCTGTGGAGAGGCGATCCCGCTCAGTCAGAATATATCACTTTTCTTATTATTTTTGAGCTATAAAACCACCTGAAATTGAATAAATGTAAAGTAGAGCTGTTTAAAGTCACACTGTGGGACATTCCAGGCAGGTGACGGACAGTTTGAAAACATTCACACACATAAATAAAAACAAAATTGGCAGTGAAATGATTATCAACAAATAATTTATTGAGTTGAACAGTTGAGTACAGGTGAGTGTGACTGTCATGTTACAATATTAGTACCACTGAATCATATATAGGCCTAAGTACTGACAGGTAATTACGGTTTGAACAATCAGTAGGTCAGTTTAAAGGTGCACTGCGGAACATTTCTAGTGGAGACAAGCAGGTTACAGCACTACGCTTCATAAAAAGTCAGATCTGTGGAGAGTCGACCATATTCACAGAAGGAATTATTGTATTTTTGAGCAATAGAAACACCTGTAATAGATAAACGCTAAATGGAAATGGTTAACGTTATACTATGGAACATTCCAAAGCAATAACATCTCCATGGAGACAAGCAGGTAGCGGGTACAGGGTTCCTATGGTCATGGAAATCTGGGAAAAGTCATGGAAATTGAAAATGTAATTTTCCAGGCCAGGAAAATGTATGGAACTTTGTAAATTCATTGAAAGTTTTGGAAAAGTCATGAAATTTTAGTGTCTCTTTCACACAACTACAGCGTTCTGTTGAGTTATTATTAGGCTATTATAATCCGTGTATCATTCGTTTTTCAATATAAAACCAAAAATAAGAAAACGAAAAAAACAACTATTTTCTTCATTTCATTATTTGTATCCAAAACCAAAATGAAAAAACTGATTTGTTTTTTCAGTTTTCGATTTTGTGTTTAAATGAAGAATGGAAAAAACAGATAACAGCCGTTTCCCGTTTTTGTGACTTAAACTGCGATGCTGGACTTTTGCACCGCATACGGACTGAACCAGGACTAAGCCAGGTCCAGGAACCAGGACTGGAACCAGGACTGAGACCAGGACTGAGGCCGGGACCAGTCCAGGACCAGACTGTGATTGAGACCGGGACCAGAGTGGAACTGAGACTCAGACCGGGATAGAGACCAGGACCGGACAGAGACTGGGACCGAGACTGAAAACAGTTAGTCCTGTTTTAGTCCTGGTTCAGTCCGGCTTCGCAGTTTAAGTCACAGAAATGAAAAAACGGCTGTTATCCGTTTTTTCATTTTGGTTTTGGAGACAAATAATGAAGAAAACTGTTGTATTTTTCATTTTCTTATTTTCGGTTTTGTATTGAAAAACGAATGAACGAATGATACACGGATTTATTTTGATTATTTCCAATCGTTTGCGCCTTTTGTTTAAAAGAGACGACAATAAATGCACTGACAGTATTTTGAATGTTAAAAAAAATATAATCCCAAACCATAAGGTGAGCGGAAAGGGTTCACATTTCATATTTAACCCTAAAAGTCTGACCAGCTCTTACATGTAGGTGCCGTAAAGTCATGGAAAATTCACGTTATGTCATGAAAAAGTCATGGAAAAGTTTTGAAATTTTGTCAGTGAAAAAGAGAGGGAACCCTGCCTCTACCAGAAAAGTTCGTGCACCTTTAATGTGAGAATTATATAGAAAACCCCACCGCACAGTTCAGTCGATATAAACATCATGTCTATGGGTCCCTATAGTAAAATATGTTACAAAACAAGTTCAAACCAGTTTCCAACACAAATCTCCTTTAGCTTATCTATAACTGCATTCATAACTTTGTCCAGTGACGTTTTTTACTGTTATTAAAATAAAAAGTGATGAGCAAAACTTGCAAACGATCCCAGAGCACAGTCGATTTAATCAAACTTCAGCACTGGGGTTGTCAAAGAAATCAATTCTCAGATAATAAATTGATAATAAAACTAGTATATAAACAAGAAAGTCATTTGAACAAGTAAAACAACACTTAAAAAAGAGACAAACCTCGACATTTCCAGAATAATTGTGTATGGTCTTTGTTCTATGTCAGAACTTCATGATCATTTGATAAAAACGAATAAAAAGAAATTCAATGGTTTCAAAGCATGTTAACAATACTAGTGTTGTTTTAACTATTCAACACTGTTTCAGCTGTGTTCACACTTGCAGACGCCACATCAAAACTGGGACTAAACCTGGACTAAACCTGGACTAGAATAGGCCCTAAACCCGGTCTACATCCGGACTAAACCAGAATCAAACCAAGTGTGAACAAAGCCTGAAGTAAAAGATCTTCAATAATCATAATACAGTGTTTCCCACATATTTATACTGAGACTACGGTGCCTCAAGAGATCCATATTTGAATCATTTTATTCAAATACAGTTTATGGAGAATAACTTTGTGCCTCTGCTGATAAAAAATAAATAAATACAGATAAAATATAGTGACTTCTGGCATAAAGTGTAATTCATGGGTCTCCAACCTGCAGCTCTTCACCTCCTTCAAAGTATCTCACCAAGGGAGTCATTAAATACCTTTTACCATTTAAATGTTTTTTATAACTAACTTTGCGCACTAATACATGGATAAATGTTTATGTTTTATAGGCATATAACTGCTCCCCATCTAAGCCTCGCAGTGACTCTTATCTTTACTCTATTTCTTGTGACCCCTAAAATTTTGTAAGTTTTGTAAAAGCAGCTCACTGGATGAAGAAGTTTGGAGACCCCTGGTATAATTCGTTTTTTTCTTGTTCAGATTATTTTTAGACTATGAAAGGCCTCCGTAGTCTCCAGTATTAATGCGAAACACTGTAATGACGTTAAAATAAAAACAGCAGTTCTTCATTTGGACCCGGCTCCACTCTGAGCTCTGAGTAAAACCTTCACAGAAGGCACTAACATCACTCAACTTCACTCATTCACCAGTGAACGAAACCTAAACGGAGATATGCCACAGTGGAGATTTTAATATTTCTACAGTGTTCTCCTCTTGATCTACACAGACACTTACATTTGATTTACTAAAATTAATCTAATCTGTGTTTTATGCCAAGTTTTTATGCACTCAAGTTTCGACCATAGACTGTGTAAAAAAGCGGATTAAGTAAATGTGACGTCAGCTCCAGTCAAATGAAGCTCATCGAGGCAGGAAGTAATAAAAGCGATTTTGGAACCAAGTTAGGAATAGGAATTAATTTACGGACAAAATAACAAAATAAAAACACCGGGATCATGTAGACCAAAATGACGAGGCTCACAGCAGCAGTTTTAGAGAGAGGAGGGGTGCCAATTTTTCAATACAGAGTCAATTGGAGCCAGAGTTGATGGAGCCAGACGTGCGCCCATGTCCACTTACTTTTTTTTTTTATCTAAACAGTCTATGGTTTCTACATATAAATTCGTAAGTGTCACGGTCTAGTTTCCTCATTTCACTTTATGTTTGTGATTTTAGCTCTACTGAAATCTTGAAAACTCTTTAAAATCGGTCTGAAAATGGACTCTTGAACATAATTACTACATTATTCTGTTTTTATTTGTAATAGAAATGGCCTGTATATGAATGTACGAGCTGTGTTTTGTATTTGTATGTCTGTTTTGTACCACAACATCATTCAGACACCTGCTTATTATTACTACCATAACCTGAATATAACGCTCAGCAACTGGAAGGTGAGAATCAGATATTGTATTTTATAATGCTATCAATCTTTCACGTACAATAATAAACAAGGATAAAACCCGTTCATCTAAAAAGAGAGAGGAAGATTTAGATACAAACAAGTAAAGAATGTGAATGAATGTGACAGTGAATAAAGGATTTGACTGTATTTGGTCATGAAAATGTGTTTTTTCTTCGCACATAACTAAAATCAGATCATGTGACATCTCTAGTTTTGAAATAGAGTAGATGAATAATTAAGTATTAACCAACAAGGAGCCGTGCGTTATGCAATATTTAACGTTTAACAGAGTGGTGTTCTTCTGTGAAGTGCCTTAAAACTGCAGAACGCACGGCTCTTCATTTTTTAATGCACTTATACCACGGCCACAAACTGAAATGTATCACTTGTGAATCTGAAAACCTTTTTACAATTTGTAAATGTCTTATATTTGTTTGAGCAGTGATATGTAAAAGCATTAAACAATGAGGAACCGTGCGTTAAAACTGCAGAACGCAAGGCTCCGAGTTGTATAATGTGCTTAAACCACGGCTAGAAACTGAAATGTGTCACTTGTGAATCTGAAAATCCTATTTATAAATGTCCAAAATATCAGTTGTTTTCAATAATGCTAGTTCCTACATTCTACCCAAAGCTAGGGTGACCAGGTTTTCAAAAAAAAAAAAAAATAGGGACACTCCTGGTTTGTAGTGACTGGCAATAATAAAATTGTGAAACGAGCTTGTAATTAAGGAAAACTGTTCTGCCCTCGGCCCATTCATGACGATCATGTGAGTCCGTATAGTAATATTTTCTTTATGTTTTGGTCATTTTTAAAAGGTACAGTCTGGAGTTTTGGACATAGGACCTCATTTTCTAGTGAGCCAGAGTGTTGGAGACGTGTGGAGACACTTTTTAAAATATTCCATTCCAGTATTTGCAGAGGTCGCTGGTGCTAGGCTAGTGCATGTCAATGGCCATAGTTATCCTGCCACTAAAAACAGTCTTACCCACTCCACACACCCGAAGCAAATCTATTATTACACCAGACTGTCGATGTGAATGTCTGTGTCGTCAGAATAATATTTGAAATAAAACTAACCTTGCAGCATGAATCTTCACGCGTTGAGGGACTATTTTCTCATATATCACTGTCAAGCTTTCTATCAGGAAGTACAACTCGCTGCTGCTCAGACATAAATCCTTCAAATGCAAGGTTGGTTTTACTTCTAAAATGATTCTATCAACACAGACATTTAGATCAACAGTCTGGTGTAATAACAGATTTACTTTGGGTGTTTTGTGGAGTGTGTAAGACTGTTTTTAGCAACAGGATAACTATGGCCATTGACATGCACTGGTCTAGCACCAGTGACCTCTGCAAATACAAGGACTGAATGGAATATTTAATAAAGTGTCTCCACACGTCTCCAACACTCTGGCTCACTAGGAACCTCACTGTCTCTTTCAGCAGCTTTTCTGTATTTTATCTAAACAACTGACCATGTGTGCCTCTCTTTACTGTTGGCAGGTATAAGATTGGTTAAAAATAGGAACACCTGGGACAGTTTTTTGTATAAAACTGGGACAAATCAACAGTTTTGTATAAATCTGCTGGTAGAGAGGACACAGGGCTCAAAACTGGGACTGTCCTGGGTAAATAGGGAACGTCTGGTCACTCTATCCAAGGCATTTGAGGATTTGTTCATGACGATGGCCGCAGAGCAGTGATATAGAACGGTGATTTGGCTTTTGCCGGAACTACTTGTGCATTATACTGTATTAACTGTAGTTTAACATGAACTTCCCATGGTATAAAGTAGATGAACAAAGTAGATAAATGGACTGCATCGTGGATAATAGTTGATACTGGCACTAGCACTGAACTGTTTTTGGTATGAAACACACATTCAAACTCTGAGGTCCACTACAGTGAGGCCACTTCTCCGAGCTGAGGTTTCTTGATAGAGTTTGTGGGTATTAGGTTCAACACAGTCACTTCACAACAATCAAATAGAAATCTGAAAACACTTGAAGTCTTAAGTACTTTGTGCATACAACATCTTAACTACGAAAAATGCAAGCAAGAGGTTGTGAAGTGCATATGACAGGTTACACTCATTTCCACAAAACACAATCAACTTCTTTATAATTGTATGTTTAATTTATATACCGTATTTTCCGCACTATAGGGCACACTTAAAAGCCTTTAATTTCATCAAAAAACGACTGTACGCCTTAATAATCCAATAATCCAGAGCGCCTTATATATAAATTTATTTGGGTGTCTTAGTATGACTTTAGTAAACTACAAAGCCGCACCACCACTTCCGTAGTCAGGAGCATCGCGGAGTAATACATACTGTGATTCCTTTTAATATCAAAATGCACCTGTCAAGAGACACGCTTACAACACGGACTTTAAACTCAAGGTTATTATAAAGTGAAAGACAGGGAGACAGCGCCGTGTGGCTTACACCACGATCTGCCAACGGATCGTGGACGCCCGGGTTAAGGATCAGTATCAACTGTGGTCTGAGCTTTCACCAAGACCAGAATCATCACTGAACTGCCAGGGAACAGTAACAACACTGACTCAGATAATGACGAGGGGGATGCAGGCGTGCTGGAAGCTGTAATCGCCCAACTGTTTGAACAATTAAGAGTTATTGTGAATACACTAACAATTTAGCATCTCAGACAGTGTTTTTGTTATTATTGTGAATGCGTTAAATAAAATTTGACTGACTTATCCAACTGTTGTGTTTCGTTTAATGTGCTTATAGTCCGGTGCGGTTTATATGTGAAAAAAGTTCAAAAATAGACCATTCAATGACAAAGTTTGTCTTATAATACAGAGTGCCCTATAGTGCGGAAAATACGGTATTTAAAGGTGCATTGTGTAACTTTTCTGAAAGAGGGACTATCACCTGCTTTTCCTCATGAAGATGCTTCCTGGAATGTTCCACAGTATGGCCGTACACCTATTTATCATCCACGGAAACAGACAGAGATGCCACAGGGGCAAATTACATGTCAGATCTGTGAAGAGGCGTGCCCACTCACAGTAAGAATGCAAGTTTTTAGCTCAATAAAAACCCACATTACTGAGTAAATGCAATATGGATGCATTCAATGCCAAACCGGGACATTCCAGACAAAACAATAACATCTCCATGGAGACAAGCAGGTGGCGCACCCTCCAACAGAAAAGTTACACAGTGCACTGAGGGCTGAGACGATCTTCAATTTGACTTTGCAGAACATTTTAGTGGAGAGAATGGAGAAAACTGAAAAGATTGTATTAAATGATCACATTTAAGCCACTGGGGAAATCTTAAAATCTTAAAATAAAATTAAACTACTGCGTTAAACCTGCCGCCCCGACACTGTCACTGAATTCAGAGCATCACCTGCCGCTGCACTAAACTCTGCTCCTGTCACCAAAGTGAGAGACCTTTCTTACATTTTTAATACAATTTGCAATACCAGAAAGTGGGGAAAGTAAAAATCGATTTTCTTCCAAACAATTCAATTTGAACACCACATTTCATTAATTGATTTAATAGATTTTTGTCATTTACTTTGCTTAGCTTTCCCTAATTTGACCATTTTGGTAAAGTCTGTAATTGTGCTTCCTGGTTGGAAACAGGCAGCAGATGTGACTTAAACAGAGGTAATTCCATAACCAGGACCAAAGCTCACCTAATTTACACAGTAGTTATTTGACAAATAAAAATGTGCAAAATTACGCCTTTACTTTGTTAAAATAATGTTTAAAATTTCAGATAAAATGGTGTTGCTTGATTAAAACTGTCCCTGTCTTTTTTATGGAATGTTCTGTTTTCAAAGTTTTTCTTCACATGTACTAGACATACAAACAAATCAAAATTACCGTATTATTTTTTTTTGCCGTATTACACTTTTTTTTCATGGTTTGGGTGGTCCTGCTTATACTCCGGTACGACTTACATATTAAAATTTTCAGACTGACAGCCGCAAGAGGCTCTAGGCTTGCGTGTCAGTGTTCTGTGCATGTCTCTTGCAGAAAAAGCCTCTGTCCTGTTGCAAGTAGAGAAATATTCAGCAGAAAACGGTAATTGGGCAGCAGAAAGAAAGTTTGGAGTGAGCGAGAAACTTGTGAGGGACTGGCAGAAAGGGGAATGGAAAACACCGCTCAACAGCAACTGGGAGGGTGCAGCATGCAACTTTCATGGAATTCACTGGAGGGATCGACAAAGCCTGGACTTTAGTGACGACCGAAATTGCGCGGAGTTGCTCAAAAGCGACAACGAGGATGAAGAATTCAATGGATTTAGTGATTTGGAGTGAGATCGAGAGCTTGGTAATGTTATGTTGTTTATGCTATAGTTATCTGAATAATTGTTAATATGTTACGTTAACATATTAACGCCTATTCAGCCTGTTGTTCTCTGTTCTGTTGTTATTACTATTACTTGCTTTTCAAGATAAAATGTCAGTTCCTGGTCCCTGATTTTATAAAATAAATTTCCCCCAAAAAGTGCGACTTATATACGTTTGTTTCTTCTTCATTGTGCATTTTTTGGCTGGTGCGATTTATACTCTGGAGCGACTTATAGTCTGAAAAATACGGTACGTTTCTCGACTGGGAGAGTGAGAAACCGCTACGTCTACACACGCCGCCATTCAAATCACCAAAATACCATTCAAGTTTTGCTGCAGGAAAGTTTTATGACACAGAAAGCAGGATCCCTTTAGGGCTACTTCCTGCTTGTTACGTTTTTTTCAAGATTTCTTCATAATCTCATATTTAACTGGTTTAAAACGAAGAAACAATATTTACTACGGGTCCTACTCCACCAAACGCAGTAAATAATACTTACAGAAAGAAGAAAACCTGTCATATGCACTTTAATAATAAGAAGTACTGCATTTAAGTTTAGAACAACAAAGAAGAGGATTTACTGTTGAAAATATAGGCACCCGTTTCACAATGATTTTGGTTTATGTCACGCTACTTTGATTGACTTCACAGGCGTCCTCCTCGCACAGACTCCGCCCCATCGCCAGACCCGCGAACATCCCCGATCCCTGATGATTCTGAGAGGCCTGTCCGAGCAGCGCCATGTTGCTGCCGTTGGTCACGCCGCTGTTCCCGTGATGCACCCTCCCTCCTCCTCCTCCTCCTCCTCCCCCCGTTTCGGACATGACCAAATGAGGTGACGACATCATCTCTCCCCCGTCTTCGCTGAGTCTCCTCGTGTCCCCGTCTCCTCCTCCTCCTCTTTCTCCTCCCTCGCCGGCTCCTCCCCTCCTCTCACAGTGAGCGCGATGTCTCATAAAACTGTCCCGCCACATGAATTTCTTCCCGCACCCCAAACAGTCGTAGGGTTTGAGTCCCGTGTGGGTTTTCATGTGCTCCGTGAGGTGATGCTTCATTTTGAATTTCTTGGAGCAGACCGGGCAGTGGAACGGGCGCAGGTCCAGGTGCATGTTTATGTGACGGTCGCGCATGCTTTTGTGAGTGAAGGTTTTCCCGCAGTGACACATGAAAACCTTACCTGATGAAGAGTTATTTCCACTAGCTCCTACACCGCTACCATCTCCTCCGTCTAAACCGCTTTGGAGAGCGAGATGTGCCGCCCCGTGCTCCAAGTTCGGACTCTTAAAAGCTCCTCCTGGGATCATACTACCCGGCATCCCGAGAGGAGCGGTGCCAGAGTCCATGGAGAGAGCGGGAGCCTGGCTGTAGAGGAGGATCTGGTTCCCCTGCATGTCGAGGGGGAAGAGGGCCCTGGCGGAGGCGGCCGACTGGACCTGACCCAGTAACGCAGACACGCGGTTGGAGCTGTGGGCGGAGCTCTCGTGCAGCTGCTGAGCCAAAGTCTGCTCCATCAAACTGCCTTCGAACTTGAGGTAGTCCTCTGGAGTCGGGCAGTAGTCCCCCTACACACAGGACAATGGATTCAGACACATTAAAAGGATTATATATTACGCTAAATTGACTCTTGTGAGCTTTAGGACATGTTATAATGTTGTTTCCTCCCCAAAAAACATAAGTGGAGATTACTCAGTTCAAAATGCTCTATAGTTTTTTCAATTTAACAGCTACATTTTACCTTTAGTTCAGTAGAGACAGTGAATTCCAGGGCTGAAGTGATCCAAAAGATTTGTTGCTGGTCAGATTATAACTATACAAAATGATAGTATCCAGTGTAGGGCTGCGTATCATTGAGAAGTTACAAATATGATACAAATCTCGATACACAGGCCACGATACGATACATATCTCAATACAGTGAGCATTCGATTCAATACGATATATTTCAAATCAGTTCAATATGGTTCAATAAAAATAAAGGCTATATCATGGCTGTGACACTAAGTCTTTGTTAAACCACTTCTTGTGTAAAGTTCATATGAAACAAACATTTTACTCATCATTCAGTGAATATTAATACATTTTAATTAATCATAGCATCTATATACAGTCCCTGACAAAAGTCTTGTCACTTATCCATTTTGTAGAAAGAAAAGTTTATAACCTGACTTTAAATTAATCGACTGGTTTTAGAAATGTCTCATATGAAAGCTAAAACCCTCCCAAATTATGCTCAATATACTAAAATAAATTTGCTTCACTGAAAAAAGATTGATCATTTAATGAACACAGAAAGGTCAGATTTTGGCAAGACAAAAGTCTTGTCGCCTACAGAAAATTGAACAAATAATTTACTTCAAATACAAAAATATGTTGCATAACGTCAGTGAATGAAGTAGTGGTGCTGTGAGATCCATATTTAATATCTTGTATGACTTCCATGAGCTTGAAGGACGCATCCATGCGGTTTGACAATGATTCATACAATTTGTTGATGAAGTCATCAGGAATAGCAAAGAAAGCGTCTTACATGTCTCCCAGCGTTCATAAAGATTCTTTGGTTTTGCCTTCCATGCTTCCTCTTTCATTCTACCCCAGACATGTTCAATGATGTTCATGTCTGGTGACTGGGCTGGCCAGTCCTGGAGCACCTTGATCTTCTTCACCTTGAGAAACTTTGATGTAGAGATAGAAGTATGTGATCGAGCACCATCCTGCTGCAAAATTTGACCCCTTTTATGGTTGGGAATGTAAGAGGAGCTAATACTTCTTGATATTTTAAAATATTGATATTGCCTTCCACCCTGCAAATGTCTGGCACAGCCCCATACTGGATGGAACCCCAGACCAGGATTTTTCCGCCACCAAACTTAACTGTTTTCTGGGTGAATTTTGGATCCATGCGGGCTCCAGTAGGTCTCCTGCAATATTTGCGGTAGCTGTGATGTAATTCAACCAACGATTCATCTGAGAAATCCACCTTCTACCACTTTTCCAGTGTCCATCCTTTTAGCAGGCTGTGGGCCTTGGCAAATGCCACACGGTTTTTTTATTGCCTTTTGTTTAGTGCTGGTTTCTGTGCACTGATTCGACCATGGAGGCCATTTCGAGACAGAATTCTACAAACTGTTCAGGGTTGACACAGGGACTTGAGGTGACCAGGCCTGGTGGAGTCTGCTGCAGTGGAAAAGGGGCTGGCCTTGGATTTTTGAATCAACAAACTGTCCTCCCGAGCAGTTGTCTTGCGGGGTCTGCCGGACCTGGGCTTGTCAAAAACATCCAGTCATTTCAGATCTTTTTCTTATTCTTTGTACTTGACGCTGAGACACATTGAAGGTGTCAGCCACCTCAGCAGTGGATCTGGTCTTCAGCCTCTTGATAATTAACACTTTGGTCTGAGAGTGGATCTTAGGCATGTTGTCAGAGGTCAAGTTGCAGTTGATGTGAAGGTCTGGTGTGCTGGGGTTCTTTTTATACACAAACACTGATTGATTGATCAGTAACTGATCACAGATGAGGCTGTAATCTCGGATTGGGTGCATCATATGACAAGGTGACAAGACTTTTGTCTTGCCAAAATCTGACCTTTCTGTGTTCATTAAATGATCAATCTTTTTTCAGTGAAGCAAATTTATTTTAGTATATTGAGCATAATTTGGGAGGGTTTTAGCTTTCATATGAGACATTTCTAAAACCAATCGATTAATTTAAAGTCAGGTTATAAGCTTTTGTTTCTACAAAATGGATAAGCGACAAGACTTTTGTCAGGGACTGTAGAGCCTTTCAAGATACCCAAAGCGCTTTGCAGTTCATTGTTTATTCACTCCACACTCAGCGGTGGCATGCTACTATTGTAGCCACAGCTGCTCCGGGGCAAACTGATGGAATCGTGACTGCCAATCTGCGCCATCGGCCCCTCCGACCAAAACCATCAGTCACACACACACTTTCTGACTAAATGTACGTATATGAATATGTCAAATGTGTTGCATAAATGAACTTCCTTCCACTAAATAAGCAACAAAACTGTATTTCAATGTATTTGATGTGATATATTTCAATTCAATTTTATACGGTTCAATCAAAAATAAGGCTAAATCGTGGCTGTGACACTAAAAGTCTTAAACCACTTCTTGTGCAAAGTGAATATGAAACACAAACATTTTAATCAACAAAACAGTGAAAATGTCAAATGTGTTGCATAAACAAGTTTCCTTCCACTAAACAAGCAACAAAACTGTAGCTCTGTAACAAAATAATTTAGTAAAATACACCAAAAAAAATACTGTATCACATTAAGTGGTACAATATATCGATATCAATATTTCGATATTTGTACACACCCCTAGTCCAGTGTCCATCCATAGGTTCAAATATATACTTCAATTGTCCATTTATCTTAATTTTGATGTAACTATGTTTTATTTTTTATATTATTCACAAAGTTTTAAATTGTAGGATCACCATTTGTAATTCTTTTTGTAATTTCCTTACATTTTACGCTGCCCAAGCAGGGGTGAAGCACAAGCTCCTCTAATGTAAAATCAGCAGTTTCAGTGTATTTTTAAAACAGAATTCATTGTGTAATAGTCCTAGTATTGATTTTATTATTCTGCAATATATCAAAACTAAATACTGCTATATACTACTGCTATAACACTAAAGTTACACCATTAAACAGCTTGAAAGTATTGCAGATTAATTTAATGCTTGTGTAACTTTTCTGGTGGAGGGTCCATCCAATGCTTTTCTCCATGGAGATGTTATTGCTTTGTCTGGAATGTTTCACAGTATGGCATTAAACCTTTCTATCTTTATGGAGATCAAACCAGACCAAGTTACAGGTCAGATCTGTGGAGAGGCGCCCACCAATCACAGTGAGAATGTCTCTTTTTCTAGGTATTTCTGAGCTATAAAAACACCTGTAATTGAATAAATGTAAAGTAGAGCTGTTTAATGTCACACTGTGGAACATTCCAAGCAGTGAAATTACATCTCCATAGAAACAAGCAGGTGATGGAGCCCAAACCAAAAAGTTACATAGTGCACCTTTAAAAGATACTGCTTCACTGAAAACACGTCGCTCCAGCAGTGTCTCCAGCAGTGTCTCACCTGTGACTCCATGTCTGTTTCACTTCTGTTGGCGAGTTCGGCAGACAGACTCCGCACGTTGGAAATGTTAAAATCGTTTCTTTCTCTGGACAGTTCGGCCTCTCTCTCTTCGTCCTCCTCTTCGTCGTCTCCGGCTTCTTCTCCAGACACCACTATGAGGTCATCGTCGTCTGTGTGCTCTGTTTTCACCACCACCCACTGTTTGCGGGGCATGATGCTGGGCTGGGAGTACGCCGGCCGCTTCTGCTCCTCGCCATCCTAAAAACAGAGATACAGAGACAGATCAGGATTTAATTTTTATTTAAAACTGAAAGGTGCATTGTGTAACTTTTCTGGTGGAGGGTCCGTCAAATGCTTTGTCTCGAATGTTTCATAGTTTGACATTAAATAGTAAAGGAGAAATATTTGTCAATTGGTCAAAAACGTTTCGCAGCTCATCATTTTCGACTAAAATAAACCTTGTCCAGTTGACAAATATTTCTCCTTTGCCATGGATTCTACCTGGATGACTGAGGGATTTTGCACACGTATGGGATTAAAGTTATAGGTCAGATCTGAGGAGAGGCGACCCCGCTCACAGTCAGAATGCCTGTTTTTCTAGATATTTTTGAGCTACAAAACCATCATCTGTAATTGAATACCGTATTTTTTGGACTATAAGTTGCTCCGGACTACAAGTTTCACCAGCCAAAAATTGCGTTATTATGTTTTTTTCTTCTTCATAAGTCGCTCCGAACTATAAGTCGCACTTTTTGGGGGAAATTTGTTTTTTGAAATCAGAGACCAGGAACCGACATTTCATCTTAAAAGGCACGTTATAGCAACAACAGAATAAAGAACAGGCTGAATAGGCGTCTGTTATGTTAACGTAACATATTAACAGTTATTTAGTTAAATATAGCATAAACAACATAACAGAACAAGTTTACCAAACTCTCGATCTCACACAAATCACTAAATCCACTGAGTCCATTGAATTCAAGTTTCTCGCTCACTCCAAATTTTCTTTCTGCTGCATATTTCACTACTTGCAGCAGGACAGCGGCTTTTTCTGCAGGAGACATGCACAGAAAACTGACAGACAAAGCTAGAGCGCCCTCTCATGGCTGTCAGTCTGAAAAATTGAATATATAAGTCGCACCGGAGTATAAGTCATAGGACCACCCAAACCATGAAAAAAAAGTGCCACTTATAGTCCGAAAAATACGGTAAATGTAAGGTAGATCTGTTTAAAGTCATACTGTGGAACATTCCAGGCTGAGTGATGACCTATCCATAGAAACAAGCAGATGTCGAACCCCCAACCAAAAAGTTACACAGTGCACCTTTAAATATGATCACCTATTTTGTAATTTGATCCATTTACTTCATAATACTCACAATATTGATGATTATTTATAGTATAGTTTTGGCACTCATTTTATATTTAAGTGTATTTTATGCTTGTATTGCCTTTTGACTGCATGATAACTTTCTTGTTATGAGTTTTTTATTGTTCTGCCTTGTTGTTCTGTAATTTCTCCACTGATAATAGAAGCTATATAAAGCTATAGCCGTGGATGACTGCAATATAGTCACATAAGCAACCGCACCATTTACATTTATACATAGGCAGTGTGGGTGAAGTGTCTCGCCTTCACCCACATAACCTATGACAGTTTCTACACGGCGAAAAAGCTTGTCCAAAATTTAAGATATAAACATCTAAATCTATCAGAAAATGATTTAAAAGTAGTAAAATTATCTGTCCATGCCACAAGATAATTTTACTTGACAAGTTAATTTAAAATACATTACCTCTAGACTAGAATTACGCATAAGTAGATAATAAAGCTGAAAACAAGATGAATAACCTGATATAAGTTTTAAAATCTTGGTCAGATCAGTGAACTTTGCAGTGTACTAGAGCCACTTCCGAGATCTGACCTGATCTTGCACCGACAAGCAGCTGCGGTCACGTTACTATAACCTGATATTATACAAAAAGGACTCAGTTGTGATGTCATGTAGTTTTGTAGATACTTTTTTACCTTTTTTTCAGTAGAGAGTGTCAATTCCAGGGCTGAAATGATCTAAATCAGAGGTGGACGATTATTTTTTCCATGGGGCCACATTAGAAACAGAAAATATTGAGCAGGGACAGGACAAAATGCTTATCTCAGCTCTGCATAATATGAATTGTATTTCTTTATCAAAAGCAGTAAATAACATTTTTTTTGACGAGCTGCTTAGACTGGTAAATGTCATTGAAATGTGGTGTTAAATGTAATTTTAAAAAACACCTCTAAAACAAAAGCAATGCGGCTTTAGTCCATGGTAAAATTTTACGAGGTAAAATTATAAAATGTGTTTATATTGCAATTGGCTTAAACAGAGTCAACCAAACCAGCTGCACAATGCCCAAGTCTGATTGAAATGATTCTAGTGAAGGTGTATGGAGTTTAAAAACACAGTGGAGCACTTCCTGTATTACCACATGACATCACAAGACTGTTTTCTGTTTGAGAGAAGAACTCTACGTATGCAGGACTTGTGTTTTAAACATGTGTGAATGAATCAAAATCGAGGAAACAACACTGCAACACAGAAAATAGTGTAATATGGGCCCTTTAAATATAACATATCTCATTAGTATTGGGCTGTAATAGTTAAACAGTGATCTATCTAATATAATATGTTCAGTTAAGACAAAGATCATTTTTCATAATCTCACGGCACGGTGGCTGAGTGGCTAGCACTCATGCCTCACAGCAAGAAGGTTTTGGGTTCGATCCCCAGGTCGCCCAGGGCCTTTCTGTGTGGAGTTTGCATGTTTCTCCCTGTGTCTGGATGGGTTTCCTCCGGGTGCTCCGGTTTGCCCCATCAACCCAAAACATGCTACAGGTCTCTAGAACAGTTGATAGTCAAGGTCAGTTAAATACAATCAATCAATGAACCTGTCCAGGGACGACAGGTGGAAATTAGCACTGATGCTACAACCTGATGTACAATGCATCTCTCCTGTCAAGGTTAATGCGGAAATTGTGCGCTGTCCCTGTCTCAAATAAATAAATAAATAAATAAAATAAATACTGTGGTCCAAAGTAAGAAAAATTATAAGATATGACCGAAACGTTACTGAAAAATAAAAACAAGCTTTTAGACATTGACCATCTGAGTGTGCTAGGCCTTTTATTTAAACAAACCAAAACACTTAATTCTTCTCACAATCACCTGATACGACGACACACCGAAACTATCGCTGACCCCGACTTCCTGTTCCGACAGCGAGCTCGCCTTCTTCCTCCGGGCGCTGCCTCCCACTCGCGCTCTTTTCCTTTGGTGATACAACATCTCCTCCTCCTCCTCTTCCTCCTCCTCCTCTTCGATGAGAAACGCCTCCTCCCCTCCCGACGGCGTGCAGTAGCTGGGGGTGTGGCTGGACCCCGCTCCGTCTCCCAAGGCGCTGGTAGCCGCCGCGTTCCCCCCAAAACCGCTACCGTCTCTGGGGCTGAAGTAGTTGGTGCTGCTCGGCGACTGGCTTTCGCTCAACGACGGATGGTGATTGGACTGATTTGCGCCGTGGATTTCACTTGAAGCGCCTTGCTGTGAGCTTGAACCTTCCCCTCCACTAGTCGCCCCACTGTTCCCATTGCTACTGCTGCAGCCCGGGTTCGCCAGCGCTCTCCCGTTCCTGATCGCATCCTCGTTTGGGACCTCGCCTCCTTCAGATCCCCCCGCCGTAGTCCCCGTGGTCGCCGTAGCCCGGTTTTCCTTCAGGAGTTCAGTGCATTTGTCGACGATGTGCCACATCTGCAGCACGCTTCCCACAGTGAGGTAGTTTACGATGTCGTCTCGAAGCATGCGGAGCTGACCCGTGTACGCGCAGCTCAAGACGCTCTCGAAGGCCAGAGGGTCCATCACCGCAGGGATCGAGACGGTGGACATGTTTTTCAGAAGCACCTGGAGGATACAAAAAGGAAAATGAGCGAAACTGTCACACACTAATCCATATATGACAATGGCCGTGTCTCATTTCTCTTTCCTCGCCTCTTTCTACTCGATTCCTCTCCTCGATCCTCCATTTTTCATCTGTCAATCAATAATTCATTTCATATTAAGTGGTGTCTCAAAGAAAACCACAGAAAAAAGGAGTAAACATGAGGAAAGCTTCAGGAGGCAGACATCAGATAAAAGAATCAAACTTTATTGGTCTCAGTGAGGAGTTTATTTCCTCTCTCCTCCCTGTGTCTCGTCTGTGGGCGAGACTTCCGCACACATTTCCTGCAGAATCGAGGAGAGAAATCAAGGAGAAGGAAGCGAGGAAAGAGAAATGAGACGAGACCAATGCTGCAATCACAGAAAAAAGAAGTGGACTAAAGGAGTGTGACCCATAGTGTTCAGCTCATCGACGCTTGCCATTATAGAGCTGAATTTTGAGTCAAGTATTAGGAAAAGGAATTTATTTATGGACAAAATGGCAAAATAAAAAACATCAGGATCATATAGAGATTAAGGGAGAAAAGCACAGTTGAAATTAGGGATGCACTGATCTAGTTTTTTCACTTCTAATACTGATACCGATATGTTGATTATAAGCATCTGCCAATACCCAAAGGTCCAAACATTTGTGAAGCCAGATTGACGCTTTTGTTCCACCTTTTAAAATGCCTCAAAAGTGAAATAAATCCATGGAGAACGATCCAAGTGCAGTTAAAAACTCTTTACTGAGTATTCACGTATAGCTGAGGACATACAAAATGTACAAAAGGGGGAATTTTAACAGGTAAGGTGTCAGGAGGTCAAATAACTGTTTGGTTCCACTCCACACTCCCATGGTCCACCTGCACTTGTCTTAAATAAGGAGCCATAGACCGCAAAATAATACCAAAAATAAACATTACTTAGATAAATTTATGATTAACATTAGCAATAATTAACTGAACAAAAAATGCAAATAGATCAAATTATTTTTAAAGAAATAACAACAAATAATCATGTTAACCTTGAAGAATCACCAAAAATCATGCATTTGAAGTAAATATTAGGTCAAACAAAATAGGAATAATAATCTCAGTAATGAAAATATTACAAAAATTATGAAACTGGGTTTAGGCTCCAACAACCAGTTACACACACACACAAAAACACGCACACAATTAACTTATTTGAAAACAGATCCAGTTGTGTTCTGTAATTATTACTGGGTGACAGTAACTCAGTTGGTCTGAAGGTTGGTGGTTCAAATCCCACTCTTGGCATAATCATCATCGGTTGAGCAGTCAGACCCACTAACCCATAGGTTGGCAGTGAGATTCCAGCTCACAGATAAATGCTGTCGTTGTGTCCTTGGGCAAAACACTTAACCCACCTCGTCCCTAGAGTCTGAGTACCCTGGTGTTTGTGTGTGTGAATGGGTGAGTGGTTTCTTGATGTAAAGAGCTTTGAGAGCCTTGAAGGTGGAAAAGCACTTTAAAAAATATGACCACGTGACCATTATTTTGTAAGTAAATACTCAACAGCTCAGTATGAATAAAAGTTTAAACATTATGAGATGATTATTATTATTATTATTAGGAGAGCTTGCAAATATTCTTATTATATCCAAATAAAGCCCCAGACCTGGATATTGGCTTAAAGTGCGCAAGACAGGTTTTGATGATTCTCTAATTTCTACTTAAATTTTTGGAATAGTACCTGTCGTAAATATAAATGATAGTTTTACACTAATCTAAATCTAAACTAAGCAATTTGCAAAGAAAAATTGAAATACATGTTAAAAAGTACAGGAAGTAGATAAGGAAGTAGATTTTTATCACAGTACTTAGAATACTGTTCAAAAGTTCACCACAATTTACATGCAAGAACCACACTTTTTCTGCTACTTTAAATATTATTTCAATAAATAAAAGGTGTTTTTTTTATAATACATGGTTGTGTTTTAGTAAAATGAGTACTCAGATCTGTCATAGGCACTTTAACAGATACAATATCATGAGACCTACACAGATATCCAATACAAGTATCGGTATCGGTGCATCCCTAGTTGAAACCGATCAGCACGGTGGAGACAAAATGAAAAAAACGTGAAACGGCACCCACCTGGTCATGAAAGTAGGGTGACGAGGCGGCCAGCACGCAGCGGTGAGCCTTGAACACATGGTCCTGTACATGGATGGAGAGGTCACAGAGCTGTCCCTGCGCCCTCTGCTGGTTCAGACTGTCCAGGACGGAGGTCTGCACGGCGGGGAAGCTCACCTGCACCACAGACCCCGGTGCGCGGCTCGGGGCACAGCTGCTGCCAACCTCCATGAGTGGACCTGTCAACATAACCATAACTAAAGTATGATATATCGCAACAGAAAAATATCACAATACTCGATAATACTGAAACTAATTTATACCATTGACGCAATAACTTCTCTTCCTTACGACCTTTTGTATGCACTGTATATATTATTATTTATTTTGACTTGTACATATACATTTATATAATTATGCCTTATTTGACACCTGTATCTTGCCATCTTTTTTGCTATTTATTTAGAATTTATTATTACTATTTACATTTTTTACTTTGTTTAATGTGTGAGCTACTGTGTCCAAATAATTTCCCTTGTGCATCAATAAAGTTTGTCTAACTCATAAAATCAAGATGAGTGTGAACTTTTTTCTACTTGAACCATATTGTCTTCCTGGATTTATTTATTTATTTCGAGCTCTGTCACAGCAGAACAAACAAAGTGGTTCAGAGATTAATGCAATCTGTACTATTAGAGTATAAGACTGACTCATACAAATGAGAAATGCTGAAATGGAGTGGGAAGAAGAAACACTTATTATTAACTAGAGCTGGGTATCATTCAGAGGCTGCCGATATGATACATACCTCGATACAGTGAGCTTACAATTCTATATGATTTGATAAGATATATCAATTCAATCTGATACTGTTCAATAAAAAATAAAGGCTAAATCATGGCTGTGATACTAAAAGTCTTTGTTAAACCACGTCTTGTTCAAAGTTAGAATGAAACGCACCCATCTGAATCATCAAAACAGTGAAAATGTCAAATTTGCCGCATAAACAAATTTCCTTCTACTGAATGAGCAACAAAACTGTAGCGTTGGAACAAAATAATTTAGTAAAATATACCACAAAATACTCTTGGCGTTAGGGCTGGGTATCATTAAGAAGTTGCCGATACGATACATACCTCGATACATAGGCCACGATGCGATACTTATCTCGATACACTGCACTTTGGGTTCGATACAATATATTTCAAATCGATTAAATAAAAAATAAAGGCTAAATCATGGCTGTGATACTAAAAGTCTCTGTTAAATGATTTCTTGTGTAAAGTTAATATGAAGCACATCCATTTGAATCATCAAAACAGTGAAAATGTCAAATGTGCCGCATAAACAAGTTTCTTTCCTCTGAATAAGCAGCAAAACTGTAGCACTGGCACAAAATAATTTAGTTTAAATATACCACAAAATACTGTTGGCGATATATAGATACAGCAGCCCACGATATCGATACTGTATCATCACATTAAACAATACGATATATCGATATTTGAATATTTTCACACAAACCTATTATTAACCTTCTCCAGTGTCAGAAAAAAAACAATTAAAGAAAACAAATAAAAGCTGGATTTCTGTTTGTTTCAGAGGGGAATACAAGATCTGAATCTGATGCACTGCCATAGACTAACTGGTGGGTCAGTGCACCTAAAATAATTGCTGACTGGGGGGGCAATAATAGATCCCTGGGGCAGCTGCTGTACACCTGTGGATTGCCCTGCCTATCCACCAGAGGGCGCTACAGGCAGTGGACGATTTTAAACTAAAAAAGGTTTTTATTTCGAAAAGGCTGATCTGTGTTTTTATTGTTGTTTTATTCCGTGTATTATTATAAACAGGATGCAGCACTTTGAGAGTAGTTTTCAAATGTAAAGTGATGTATAAATAAAAGCTATAATTAGTTACATGTTAAATTCAGAAAACTGTGAAATGCTGATTTACATTTTTCCAGTGGGCTTAAAGTGAGTGGTGTCAAACTCATCCTTGTGCAGAAATTTGATGACAAAAACTGTAGATTTTGTATTATTAACGCGTCTAAACATTAATTTGATCATATTTAGTTTGCCTTATCTAGTTTTTCTCAACAGCTGCGCGATGTTTATTTAAGAAAATCTATCAAAACCAGACGATCAGCAACTGGTTCTGAAACAAGTTCCTGTATCTCAAAGAAAAGACTAAAGCAAAGGGAAGCCTGTCAGGCCAGAAAAACTAGTTCCCCGCGTCAAAAACCTCTCATCTTTTATATAATTAATGACATTTGTGAGCGATGGTGCCTCCCGCTGTCATATTCAGACATTGAAATGAAGACTACAGATGTGTTGTTAGCATGCTAGCGCGTTAGCTCAGACGGCTTTCTCAAAAACACAGACGTGCACATTAAACTTACCTTTTTAATTGACACCGCTGCTGCTAAATGAGATGAGCACATCGGGCCCGGGGGCAGACCGTCCTGTCATTGTCCACAGGCTCAGAAATACAAGCTTCATTTTGCACAATCTGTGTTTGAATCAGAACCGAGCGACTGCAGACAGGCGCGTCCCCTTTAAGCACACTCCAGACAGAGCCAGACTGGGCCGACACAAAACGCACTGAGGGGCAAGACTTTAGACTTACACAAACTTTATAATCCACAAGGGAAATTATTTGGACTCAGGAGCTCACACATCACTAAATAATATAATAACAAAGAGAAAAAATATAAATAATCATAAATTCTAAATAAAAATAGCAAGAGACAGGTGTCAAATAAGACACAATTAAGTAAATGATTTTGAACAAGTCAAAATAAAATAGGAAAATAAGTAAGAAAATGTCAAATCTCAGCTATATCCAACAGATATGTTATGTGGGGGGTGCTCTGGGAGTATGGGGTTCAGGGCCCATTGCAAAGGGCTGTCCAGTCCCTGTACGACCAGAGCAGGAGCTGTATTCACATTGCCGGCAGTAAGTCAGACCTGTTCCCAGTGCATGTTGGACTCCGCCAGGGCTGCCCTTTGACACTGGTTCTGTTCTTTGTATTTATGGACAAAATTTCTAGGCGCAGTCAGGGGCCGGAGGGGGTCCGGTTTGGGGACCACAGGATCTCATCTCTGCTGTTTGCAGATGATGTCCATTTGGCTTCATCAAGCCAAGACCTGCAAAGAGCTCTGAGGCAGTTTGCAGCCGAGAGTGAAGCGGCTGGGATGACGATCAGCTCCTCCAAACCTGAGGCCATGGTTCTCGACTGAAAAAGGTGGCTTGTCCTTTCCGAATGGGTAGCTGGGCTCTCCCATAGAGATAAGGTGAGGCGCTCAGAGTAGAGCTGCTGCTCCTCCACGTCGAGAGGAGCCAGCTTAGGTGGCTCGGGCATCTGTTCCAGAGGTCTCCTGAGTGCCTTCCTTGGGAGGTGTTCTGGGGATGACCCAGGACACACTGGAAGGACAATGTCTCTCGGCTGGACTGGGAACGCCTTGGGGTTCCCCCAGAGTTGGAGGAAGTGTCTGGGGTGAAGAAGTCTGGGAGTCCCTGCTTAGACTCCTGCCCCTGCAACCCAGACCCGGATAAGCGGAAGAAAATGGATGGATATATACAAGAGGTCATAAGAAGAGCAATATGATTATTGACAGGACATAAATTGTTATGTAATGGATAACTCTAAGACACATTTATATATTTTAAATGGGAAAGGTCATCAAAAAATACAGTACTGCGGCAAATTTGATGATTAAGTTGCATTCTATATAATTTTCTCCTGAGTAAAGTTTTGATTGAATTTCTGTCATACAATCTTATAACTTATAAATTAGCAATACAAAAAAAAAGAAAGTAACAAAAAGAATATCCAAATGTAATAGTTTTATTCAGTGAAACATCTAACCATAGAGCCAGAAGGTACAGATACTTAATCAGTTGGGGACATGGCTGTTATGCTAAAACAGCCAATTTAACATTTGAGATACATACATACAGTAATAAAAAAAAAAAAAAAAAAAGAATACCTGTTAAATGTTCAAGACAAAAGCTCATCAGAAATTACTCTGCAACCACCCAAATCTATACACTCAATAAAACACTTGATGTAAAAGGAAATATGCTCCTGAGAATTTACAAAAAAGATGAACGACTTTGGTTCAGTGTGTGCCCAGACGGGAGGGCACAGTACAGGGTAAAAATAAACACGCATGAAATGATCTACTTCCGGTTGGCGCTGGCAGTTCCAATGACGCAATCATTCACCTGCAAATCAAACAAGTCAATTAAACAAACATTCCAGTGGTGTATAAATTACCAGTGACATTCATGCAGACACTCACCTTACTGGCGAACCTCAAAGAGTTCAGGGTCTCTCCGAAGCTGTCCGGCTCCGGGGCGATGTTGACAAACATCAGGCTGTGACAAAAAACAAAAGCAGGTTTGAAATAATGGAAAGGTTTTACACAATGGGCACACTTCAATGGCCAGTAAAATAAATAAATACAATAAAAATTAACTAAAAAAAAAAGTAATAACCCAATAGGTGTTATTTTGGGGGTTAATATACTCAAATGACATCTGTTAAAAAAATAAAAATAAAAAAAGCATTGGCACTGTTGTATTTGGAAAAAGAAAAAAAAACTATGAATTCTAAAATAACTTCTTTAACATTTTTCTTTTTGTCTTTACCACATTAGTTTGCCCTTTTTTTTGTACAGCTTTACTTATCAAAACCTGCTCAGAAAGAAACATGATTATCAACTTCTGATCTAGCTCTGTACATGACGTTACAAAACAACTCCAGAATTCAGATTGTGACCAGAGTTTCGTTGTCCTTGTAAATACCCCGTTATAAAACTTGAATATAATGACACTCACGTTTTGCTGTTTCCTCCAAGGCAGTTCTGCAGCAGGTATGTGAGCTTGGAGTTTCTATAGGGAACGTAGCTCTCCTGCGGAATACAAAGTTTTAGATGTATAAAAAAAATATATATGAAGAAATATAATGTTATAACCATGTTTTTTTTACACTCACCTTATTGGCCAGTGCAGTGATGACGATGCCCAGATTGGACAGGGAGCTGTTGATCGCCGTCATCTCTTTGAAACGATCTCCCTGAGACTGGCTCTTCACCATCCGCTCGCTCCCAGCCAAGTCCACCAGACACAGAGCAGCTGGAGGGAAAAAGAAATAATAATCACACTTTTCAGCAAAACGTAAAGACAAAAACATGATCAGTCCACGTTTGATTCTTACATTTGCATTTGACGTCTCGGCCGACGTTCACTCCTTCGATGTCCAGTTTGAAAACAGAGTGGGAGCGGGAGGAGCGGTCGTTCTGGGCGGTCTGAGCGGTGGAGCGGTTCTGATTGGCCAAAGCGATCAGTCCAAGCACCTGTTAAAATGAACAGAGAAATAAGCATGTAGACTACAAACAAAACAGAATTCACGTGATTCAGCGTTTTCATCTGTACTGTATTATTTGTTTATTGCGCTTCTGACTATTTTAATACATTATTTCTTCTTACACATTTCTAGTGTGTTTATTAGGAGCAATAAGATTTGCAGACTCATCTTTAATTTACCACGACTGTCCATAGTATCTCAGTGTGCTAAAAAGTGCCTGTAAAAATCTTGCTTGAGGTTTAAGTATCACACAAAACATAACTGGACAATTGACACTAGACATTAATGCCATTGTTGTTATTTATTAATTGTTTTAACCCATATTATTTTATTTTGGCTGTCAGTTATATCCAGGGCCGTTGATAGAAATCTGGGGGCCCGGGGCAAGCTGCCTCATATGGGCAACCCTCTATATAATATATAAATAGAAAGAATTCTGGGCCCCGGGAAAACAGACTGCCCTGATAATACTGTCAAATATAGTCTTTTAAAAACAATTAAAGAGTTCATTTTCTTATTTTGCATATCTCCACAACAATTTCGATACATATTTTTTTTAAGTAATTTCTGTCAATATTTTGTTCCAGCTTCATAAAAAGTGGACACACACACACACACACACACACACACACCTGGTCTTCACAGGCCACCTTCTGATAGGTCAGGTTGGTCACCGTCAGCTCATTGTTGGTGGATTTGCGAATCTCGTGCTCTGGTCTTTTGTCGGCCTTTCCTTTGTAGAGGAGGTCTCGAAGGGTCTCATTGTAGATCTCAACAAAGCTCGCTGTGAACGTGAACTGAGAAACCACAACAAAGACGTATGTAAATATAATGCCATATATTTTTCTTTGATTATAAAAACCTATATATAAAAAATAATGTCAGTAACTTGTTTGGTATGAGTGTACTATGATGTATACTATTTTAAAGGTGTATTGTGTAACTTTTCTGGTGGGGGATTCATCAAATTCTCTGTGGAGATGTATGATATTAAACCTTTCTAACTTCATGACCAAACCAGACCAAGTTACAGGTCAAATCTGTGGAGAGGCAAACCCACCCATAGTCAGAATATCTATTTTTCTAGGTATTTTTGAGCTGTAAAACCACCTGTAACTGAATAAATTTAAGGTAGATCAGTTTAATGTCACACTGTGGAACATTCCAATCAGAGCGATGACATCTCCATAGACACAAGCAGGTGATGGACCCAATTTAATCACGTTGTAAATAAAACTAAACCTAATACGGACCTCCCAGCCTTGAGAGGAGAGCTTGTCCGACGCCTTGAAGATCTGCTGCACGGCTCTGGGAATGACGCCTCTGGATTCGTGGACCTCGTCTCCCTCCATCGTGTACGTTTTCCCACTCCCTGTCTGACCGTAGGCAAAGCAGCACACGTTGTAGCCATCCAACGCAGACTGCACCAGGAGAGAAATCTCTTCAAAAACCTGAAAGAAGAAATATAAATGTTTTCATGTTCTCTCAGACATGCAAAAATTTTCAATATGTTCATGTCCAACATTGACACCTACATCCTGTTGAGAAGCCTGAGGACCAAACACTCTGTCGAAACTGAAGTTGTAGTTTTTCTGAGTATCGGTGCCTTTTCCTGTGTGAGACTGACACGAAAGATAAATGAATATTTATTTGGACAGTGATGGAATATCCAAATTGAGTAACGTTTTATTGAGACCAATCAAATCAACATTTTAAAACCGTCTCACCTCTTCAGTTTTGGCCAAGCTGATCGAAGTCTTGTCATCAGATGCAAGATGAATGTGCTTGCTCAAACCGCCGTCCACAAGAGGGCGCACTCTGCAGAAGACCCTGATGTTACCCTGTTGGGACATGGCACCCAGGAGGATATTAGTATGCTACTCTAAACTAATGGCATTAAAAAAACTCAAGAGATATCACCACAGTGGCCTACAGTACCCTGCAGCCAAGTTCTAACTATAATATTCTACTCAAAAACCCATGTGATGGGTTGGACATTTTAATTATAATATTCTTCTATACTTTGGTAGAGCGTCAGGGTTTCTACAAATTTAAAAGCCCAATTATCAAACGTTTGTGGAAAAAAAAATTATAAAAAAATAAACCAATCCAATTTTAGGTTAAAAATTCTCCTGTAATTGTTAAATTCTGCATAAAAAAAAAATTATACCCAACTATTCCAAAACACAAAGAGATAATACAGCAGTACTTTGGAGAAATGTGCCTTGCCTTGAGTTCCTGGATGGCGTTGTGGAGTTTGCGACGCTCCATTTCTCCAGAGTACAGCTCATCTTTCTGCTGGGACACAGTTTCTTTCAGGGACTGAACCTCTTCTTCTGTTTCTCTGAGTGTCTGCTGCAGCCGGGCCAGAGACGACTCCTGCACCGAGAGCTTCATCTGCGGGAAAAAGTTTGACAATCAGATAACAATTAAATAAAAATTGTACAGCATTAGAAACCTATCGCCGATTGTAGCTGCATATAGGGTCCTCTGCAAACAATCATTTTCTAGAAATATACATCTCTACCTGTAGTTAAGATCTCTAAAAGGTTCTGTAGTTTATAAGTGCATATTTCAATCTCTCAAACATTAACACTCCCAAAGTTGTTTACAGTAAGTCCTTTTTAACCATATAATTCAAGTGTAATCACATACTTAAAGATTGTGCAGCCCTACTTCCAGTTCCTCACATTGCAATTATAAAGATCTATATAATAAGTGCTTGATATTGTACCTTCAGAGTTTGTAGCTCCACCTCTTGGCTGTCACGCAGAGTCTCCATAATTTTATATTTGCCCTCCAGGTTGCAGAGAGATTTCTGTAGAGTGTCCTTTTCCATGGATACTTTCTCCAGCTCTTCCTGGACACCGGAGAGCTCCTCCAGCTGTTTTTGAAACGCGCTGAAAACCATAACAAAAACAATAATATTTAATCACAGTGGAATGAGATGTAACCCTTTTTAGGTAGTTGGTTAGTTTTGTTTTTTGCACCTGATTTGGCCCCTCTGCTTCTCCAGCTCCTTCTCCATCTCACTCGCCCTCTGTCTGGTCTGAACCATGGATCCTTTGAGCACTTCGTTCTCCTGATTCACAGACTTCACTCTGGTCTGATAATTCTGGATCTTCTCCTCCATGTCGCAAACCTTCCCCTTGAGATCCCATGGCGCTCGTTTGGTGCCTCCTCCTGCAAAAAAGATCTGTGGTTAGAATTATATGATCCAAACAATAATAAATAAAGCCAGCACGAGCTACCTACCGACTTTGGCTCCAGTTGTTGGTTTAACATTAGCACTTTTTGCTGCCGTTGACATTGCAGGTTTTAAAACACCTGCTAAAAGAGCAATTAAGATGATTTGACTCCTTGTATAACACATTCAAATAGAGTTAAAACTTAGTCCATCAAAGTGCTTTACAGGGTAATAAAATGACAGGCAGGCAATAAAATACAGTTAGACAGTAAAAGCACAACAAACATTTGGTTAAAATGGTGTTTTCTCTGACAGTACATACAAGAGAAAAGTATATTACCTCTAGATGGTCCAGTGGCCACAGTCGCCGCCCCAGTTCTTCTGATAGGCTTTGCTGTGTAAACACAAAAATCAGGAATTTCTTTTAGTGATCCAACAATTTTCAAATTAAAAGCATTTTATATGAGAACAAAAATTAAACTCTGATAACTTACAAACATTGGGTCTTGCAGTAGCAATGGGTCTTTTGCTCATTATGACAGTGGCTGCAGCTTGGGGTTTAGGAGGGGGGTCTGAATCTTTGCGACTCTTTTTCTATGGGACAAAAATACAACAAGAATATGTATGAATATGGTGAGCAGAATATTGCCATGTGTTGCAGTACTGAATTCGGACTCCAGAAAACTAAAGTGCAAACCTGAAGAGGAGCCAAATCCTGGCTGTTCTCAGAGCTGCTGCTGCTCATGAGAACCCTTTTATTTGACATCACAGGTAAACGGGACATCCTGTGGCAGATCAACAAATTCAGGTTAAAACATGAAACGTAGCATCGGTACTAGTTAATAAAGACTGATTATGTTAATATCACGTAGAGATTAGCCATCTTAAATTCTAGCCATAACTTGTATTGTTATTGATTACAAGTTATGAATAGAATAGCTGAAGTCCTTCACCCTGTAACGTTATTTCCACTGTTTGTTTTAATCACAAATTTCTAATCCCGTAAAATAAGGATAAAAACATACCGCTGTTTTCAAACAGGCAAAGTCTTGTAGCCCCGAGTAAGCGCTAAGGCGTCGTTTACAGCATTTCACTTTCGTAAGATCAGTTCTCGGGTGTAACGTAACTATGTAAAACCTTTAAATATCGTAAGTATCGTGTAATAAAATAAAATCATCACCTTAAAGTTGATGAACACAAACTTCACCGTCCCGTACGCAGTCCTCAGCCGTTTGAATTTCAAACACAATGTTCGAACTGGGCGCTCCAGAGCGCGGCTGTGATTGGCTGGTTCCGCTTGGGAAGGACAGCTGTGATTGGCTGAATGTATAAAACACCGCCTTCTTCTGGGGTGCGTCCATGGTTACGCACGGGCTGACCGTAAACCATGGAACCGTGCCGTAAACTGGGAATCAACAACGTCCAGAGACTGAAAATAAATGAATGAAATGAAAGAAACTCCTGATGGAGCGGGCTTCACCTGCATCTGTTATTTTGCAGTAACGTAAATCTTACAAGGTTCTTGCAACTCTTGCAAAAATGCATTCTTGCTGTGAATGTGATCACATCTCCCCAAATCTTACCTTTATATACGTATATGTATAAAAAAAAAATCGAACAACAGAGTATTTGGCTACACTGAGCAGTTTTTTAAACGTTTTGTTTCTGAGCTCAGTTTTTAAACATCATATTACGGAATTTTAATCAATTAAGAAGTGCGGCACGTGCAGGTCACAGGACACACGTAAGGGGCTGTTGGTTTTTCTTAAATTAGTTGTTTGTTTTTCCCGTATCCATGGAGACGGTGTAAGAGGCTAGCTAAGGAGCTAGCGATGGACATTTGAGATGCTACAGGTTTTTTACACCATATGTGGCAGCAAATGTGACAGAAGACTTTCAGAGGAAAAACCTTGCGGAAAAAAACATTTTATCACCAACCGAAAAAACAGAGCAAAGTTAAAAAAAAAAAAGAAAAAAAAAAGTGTCCTTTCTGGTTGTGTTCACCTGTCTCCTCTTGGACCACAGACCACAGACTAGACCGGGCTGTGGACACTGGTGTGATGCTGCAGGACACAGAGGACAGACACTTTTGGCTCTTCCACGGGATCTGCAGACCCAGCCTGACCAGTCCTCCTGTTAAACTGCACTGAGAATTTTGACTGAGACACAAAGGCTAATGAGAAGCAGAGTGTGAATGTTGCAATACTTGAATTTCCCGTGGGATCAATAATTTCTCTCCCTCTCTCTTTCCATGATTGAACAATTGATTTAACACGCACACATGGATTTACTCATCTTTTCACTGTTAACACTTTATAACTTTGTGATTTTATGAAAAATGACCAAAAAAAAAAGGACTGAATAAATTTATTTTTCCAACTTTATTCTTCTGAGGGGAAGAAACAGTCTTTTGAAATGAGCCGTATTTGTAACTGCATATGCAAGAGTGTAGTATAAGAGGGCAGCTATTAAAGAATATTATGAATAATAACATTAAGAAGAGTATTCAATGTTATTTTTTCATAAAAAAGACACTGACATACAAATAGTATACACATAGACAGCCTGCAGCACTGGTTACTGGAACCTTTTAAATGGATACAGATATGAAATAACTTGTGCACAGACAAAGCAGTGCCCCAGGTCAAGTTTACACAATCACCCCAACATTATTGAAAAGAACACTGTGTTTTTGAATTATTTGGGGTTTACATAGTTTTGTTATTAAATATTAGTTACATGGCTGACCCAAGACAGGTCAATTATTTGGTTAGTCTATGTTTAGTTCCTTTTGTTTCCATGTTTTATTATGACTTGCTGCACTTCCCTTTGCCACAGTTACATATTTTATGTACAGCATACTGCAATACAATGCCTCAGACTGATAATGTGTGTACAGTTTCAAAGTACTACTAATATGTATGACAAACTCTTTAAAAAAAAAGATTGATAACAGTACCTGTCAGCCATTTTATAACACAATCATTTCCGCAGCAGCCACTTTAAACATAGCAAAGTGGACCATCATGAACCTGTAATGGAAAAACAGTCTCTCTCTGTTCCCTTCACATTCATGCACACTCTCTTCAGGTTTCAAGCGCTCCTCTTTTGGTATAAAAATACATACATATGGTATATATAAAAAAAGAATGAAAATGAAAATAGGCGGCGAAGAACAAGCTTCATCAAGTGCTTTCATTGATCCTTCTCTCTCCGTCAGATTTCTCAACTTTAGTGCATTCTTGGCTCCATCTTTTTTCTGCTTTGGCCTTCATCACAGAGGCTGCTCAAAACTCTGCTGTCCAAAGGGTGAGTAAGGACACTCTGATTCAGGTAACAAATAATTCAGTCTTTTTCAAACCATTTACATCAGTTCATCCTCTTCTCCAAAGCACAATGTCCTGTCACAAAGTCATTTACACTTTTCTAGTCTTCGAGTTGCAGATTTAACACTGCACCATCACAGCTGCCATCAGAAATCTCATTCCATTAATCTGTTTTGGCTTTAAATAATTTCAAAGTTAAGCAAAGAATTGTGTGACGTGTCTGGATGATATAAAAACAATGATTAAGTATTATACCAATGCAGAACTGTCAGTTTAGAATCAGTGTATAAGTAATCTCATTTGTTTATAATTTCAAAAGATGCGGCCTCTAAATAGCAAGTACCTACACAGTCCGACCAGTTGGACGCAAAAATGGTGCCACAATTTAGAAGCACAGACAAAACTGTGCTCAAACAAGCAATTGAATCATGTTTATATTTAAGGCTTACAAAATGCCATTAGATAATTTGGAAGAAATTCACATTAAAAACATATTTACATTAATAAATTTAGATCACTCAAAACCATAGGAAAGTGACTCTAAAGTATTTACACTTGTTACTTTTGCAACTTGCATGATTATAGGACGATATTTGTTACTCATTATTTACTTTTTCCCAAACAATTGCTGTTGAAGGTGCCATGATACTGACGATTACTGTAGTTCTCACAGTGCTCATTCTCAAATTATAAAATAATTTCAGAGGTATGGCGTGTTGAGATTGAGCTGTGTCTTTAAGGCAAAACAATGTGGGACATGTAATTAGCCTGTCTGATCAATCTAAGCCTTATTTAGTAAAACGCTTTTTAGGTAAAGTAACTGTGTACCTGAATACATGAATACATGTACATAGAACTGTGTAATGGGAAGACGGAGCCTATGAGTTCATATGCTCCACCTGAATGGCTGAGGTGGACACGGTGAGGCAGAGGTCCTTGTGCACCACGGGCAGGTCGGCCACAGTCACTGGTTTGTACTGGATCTCACTGGCTGCTACAGTCTTGTACTGGTGCAGGTCAAAGGGACACGGCACCACCGCCTCAGTGGGCTGTGGCTGGTAGCTGCCTGGGGGTCCTGGGTTTGGATTCTGGGCGGCGCTGTTTTGACTCTGGAGCTGCGTCGCTCGTCCCGCAGCAGACAGTCCCCCTCTGCCCCGGCCCCGCCCGCGGCCCCGCCCTCCTGTCACCCCCGGTGAGAGCCCCTGCGCCTGCTGAGCCGCTACAGTAGCTGCCACAGTCAGAGGATCGGGGTTGTGCTTCCTCATGTGTTTCATTAGATACGTCTCCTGGAGAGAGGACAAGACGGCTCAATGAGAGACAATAGTGAAAGTGTAAAGGCTCATTTATGCTCTATATTCTAGACACAGACACAGGCCAGTCATGATAATTACTCCTGATGGGTTTTAGATGACCTCACACCAGTCTATAGGCCAATCTTAATTAATACAGATGGGGGAAACCTAGAATTAATATTGTTAAAATGCAAAATGACCACCAATACCCGCATAGGTCAGAACTTACAGAGGTATAGGAGCGGTTACAGAGACCACAGGAGAATAGCTTCGCGTGCTTCACTGTGTGTGTGGACAGGTGCACCTCCAGGCTTGCAGCATCTGTATATCCACGATTACAGTTGTGGCACTTGTATGGTTTATCTTTATTGTGCTGCCGGCGGTGAGACTGTGGAAAAAAAAAGCAAGAACAAAAAAACTGAGTTGTATCCTGATTTCAGAGGTTTCAGATTAACCAATCAGAGAGACAGACATTCAGTTTATGTGAAAACAAACATGGCTCCTGCATGTAAAAAAAACAAAACTAAGACTAAGAAGCAGTGAACTATTATTTATGACAAGTAAAACAAGTTATATATTTTATACTGAATGTTACAGGAATTTTGGAGAAGAGATGTTTTCCGCATGTAAGAGACACATGATATAAATTAGCAGCTGTGGTTGGATCATCTCAAGCTTGCACAAAGTACTTTCCCCCTCTATTGTCTGATTCCAGACCCTGGATTTTAACAGAATGTAGAAGGGAATGGTTGGCCAGGGAACCAGAACAGGGTCATGTGTGATCAGCCAGAAGAGATTTCTGATATGGACATTTCCCAGATAAATCATTGTGAAAATTAAGGATGGCTTATGTGTTACTGAAGCCAGTTTCCTGGTTTAAATATGTGGTTACTTTCCTTTTCTTTAATTCAAATGCAGCATGTTGCTTTGTAAGAGCACAGCAAGCCAAATGTGAGAGCAGATCCAGCTATGTTCTGGGACTGAAGCATTTGTGAATAGGGGGGTCACTGCAGAAAGTTTTATCATTTTGTATCTGGCAATTGTTTGGGGTTTGGATGGAGCCAATAACTGAAACAGGTTTGATAAAAATGTATTACCTGGAGGTTGGAGAGCTGCGTGAAGGCCTTCTCACAGCCTGGATGGTTACACTTATAAGGTCTATCACCCGTGTGGATACTAAAAGGGAGGAAAAAAAGTTTTGTTATTTCTCTTTTCTCTGTTGCTTTCCGTCTCTCAGTCATTGCTCATTATCATCCATAGCAAAAGTAAAATTCAATTCTGTAAACTGAGCTAAAGTTAAAAGGTGCATTGTATAAATGTCATTGCTCTGCCAGGAATGTTCCACAGTACAACATTAAACAGCTCTAGTTTACATTTATTCATTCACAGGTGGTTTTATAGCTCAAAAAAAGCTTAAAAAGAAATATATTAAAAAAAAAAAAAAAAAAAAGAAAGAAATCAGATGTTTTGACTGTGAGCAGCTGTCTCTCCACAGATCTGACCTGTCACTTAGTCTGGTTTGCTCTCCACAAAGATAGAAAGGTTTAATACCATACTGTGAAACATATCAGACAAAGCAATAACATCTCCATGGAAAAACTTTTGTCCAGTTGGCAGAATTGAATCATTCTCTGTTACTAATATCCAGCCAAAAATGGGGCTGAATGATATTGGAAAAATATAAAACAAGCTTCTGAATGAGACTGCAAATTGCAATATATTTAACAACCCAAGATTCAGTACACAGTAATACCAAAAAACTAATACAAAAAAAAAAAAATCACATAATCAGAGCGCATTTGAGCACTACAGGATTGGCAGGTTTTACAGCTATAACAGGAACTGGAGACAAGATAGTCTGATGCAAATGTGTTTGCAAATATTCAAATTGTGATTCAGATTGGATAGAGAATAATCTTTCAGCTCAACAGAACAGCTTTACTTTGACCTACAGTGTTACACTGTCACAAACGATACTGAAAGGCTGCAACTAATCAATAAAAAAAATTAAAATAAAATAAAATCATAATAATCGGGACTATGCAGACTCAAACAAAATGCCAAAATAAAGACAAAAACAGTGGTATTATTAAAATCAAATGTCAAGGAATAATAATTTACTGGTTTTCATCAATAACATGCTTTATTTGTAAATATTCTCTCTCCAGAAGCCTTCAGTCACCACATTTCAACCTGCGTGGAGCTCAACAGAGACAGCATGCTCAGGTTCCAGTTTAAGTGCATTTTCCATTAATTTTTCCCATAGACTTAAAAAAAAAGAAAATATTAAAAGTTCGAAGAAGAGATAATGGAGGCTAATCAGCTACAGGCTAACTAATATTTATAATGCAGCTGTTTTAATTCAAGCGGCACATTTAAAACATAAGATATGGCTAAATGTTTTAATAACTTTGAGGTTTATTAAGTTTTATAAACAGGTTTCAATTAAAATGATCGTTAACAAGTAGCTGATCATCCCTGCGCAAGCGTTCAAACTTTTAAAGGTAATTAATAAGAGCAGAAAGTCTATGAGAAAAATGAATGGGAAATATAGTTCGGGAACAAGAGGGAGGTCACCTGAGCAGCCAGAACCACACGCTTTGACAAAACTTTACAAAGACGAGTGGATCTGGAGTCGTGTCCTGAGAAAAATTAACAAAGGACTGACAAACATCAAACTGGTACCTATCTCTGGCAAAAGAAGTTATATTTTGTTCTGCATGTTAAGAGAATTTCAAGAGGAGATGTCTTCCGCATTTGAGGGACATGTTAAACAAATTAGCAGCTGTGGTTGGACCGACTCAAACGTTTTTCACTCTCTATGGTCCAGTTCAAACCGAATGTAGAAGGGACTGGCTGGTCAGGCAAAGGGTAATGAAACGTCACTGTTGAGCTCCATTTGTTGTATAAAAAGTCTCGATGTACAACAGAACTAATTAAGTCGACTAAACAGAACAAAGAAGTGTTTGACTGGTGAACGACAGTAATAATAATAATAATAATAATACAGTTGCAGCCCTGACACAGCCCCTCCCCTGGTCCCTGGTCCGGCCGCAGTACCGTGTGTGCTGCTGGAGGTGACTGAGCTGTCTGAAAGTGTTCTGGCAGAAGGCGCAGCTGTAGGGCTTGGCTCCGGTGTGAATGCGGAGGTGCTGAGACAGGTAGCTGGAGTTGGCAAACGACTTGGAGCAGTGCGGACACTTGTGGGGCTTGGACTCAGTGTGGTTTCTAATGAGGGACACCAGAATGGAGAAGGAGAAACACAGAAACAGCCAGAGGTTTTAAGGCTACAGCATGACCAAACTTTACGACTTAAATCATGCATTTGTCCGATCGGTGATCAAATATACAAATATATGACCACATAGACTTTGACAGTGTGCTCTTTGTGCTGTATCTGAGTTATGAAAACACAGAACAGAAGCAAGCACAGTCACGCTTTCCTCTTTCTCTCTCCCAGTCTCTCTCTCTCCATTTGGTGTGCTCTGTTTGAGTGTCTATGGGTTTACAGCTGTTTTGTAAAGGTTAATGTAATGTATGGTAAATGGCACACGTGTGAAGTGCTTTCTCACATTCGAAATGTAAAGCAAGCAGCAGCCAAAACATGCACGGAAAAACTGAACTGAAAAGAGTGACATTAAGCAACACAAAGAGTGGAACTAAACGTGTCCTATTCACGCTCAGTGGATGTACGTGAGCCCTGTGACCCCCAGAAGTGACCTCAGAAGTGACCTCAGCATCGCAGCAAAGAAATGCTTCAAGACACAGTGAAAAGCGGTTAGGGATGGGCGATGTGTCTGCGCTGAAGTGGAATATTGGGAGATCGTTTTATGTATTTGTATTGCCAAAATTCCCTGATTTAACGGCTCAATATTTGTTCTAACGGAATAAAGATAAAAACTTGGCCCAGTTATCTAATAAAGCGCAACAGATTTTTATTATATTAAGTCCAAAAATACATTTTGCTTTTTTTTTTACTTTACAAATTTGTGTCAAGTTCATTTTAGTTTGTGAACTTTAGCAGTAAGCATGGCACGATGTTCAAATATGATGCAACGATTATCATGGACAAAATAATTGTGATTAACGATTATATCAAGATAATTATTAAAGGTGCACTGTGTAATTTTTCTGGTGTTGGGTCTTGTCTCCATGGAGATGCGATTGCTTTCCCAGGAATGTTCCATGGTACAACATCTAGCATTTATTCATTACAGGTCTTTCTATTGCTCAAAAACACAATAATTCCTTCTGTGAATAAGGGCGACTCTCCACAGATCTTAATTAAAATCTAAATCTAAATTAAAAGCTGCTGACAGTTTAAAAATGTTGTGAAAATAATTTAAATGTTATGAATAGGCTCCATATTAAAACTGTATCTTATTATAAATGAAAATAATTATTCTCTATCCTTTCTTGTGAGAAACTAAACTACATTATTGTTAGTTCCCATCCATCCCTATTTACTTTTCCTTTTACTTTTATTTCCTGTTTTCTTCAATTTCATAGATTGTAGAGCAAGTTGTATATTTGGTATAGCCAGGCTCAATTTCATTTCTCTACAGCGCCTAGGTCAGGAATCGGAATCCATGAGATGGTTTGCAAAAACCCCGGAAGTGCGAGTTCGGGCACCAGCCAATCATCGAAGAGACATATATTCTGTCTTGGCAACGATTCCCGAGATCGAGGATTTAAAGCCGGAACAAAGAGAATGTTTGGTGAATTTTATCAAGGGGAAAAACGTTATTGCCCTTCTTCCTACAGGATTTAGGAAAAGTTTAATATACCAGTTAGCCCGGTTAGCAGCGCATTACATACATCACGACCAAATAGCAGGGATTGGTTAAATTTGAAAAAAAGTAGCCGCCTACCGTCAAGCGAACGAATTCTAACGCTGCGAGTTCAGACAGTTTCGAAGAAGTGAAACGGTCTGATGAATCAGACTGTATTTGGTATTGGTATTAGTAGAAAATAAATAAAATCCATATGTATCGGCCCACCCCTAAAAAGTAATGGCAGTACACAGAAATGGCAAAAGCAGCAACAGCAAAAGAAAAGAAAAGACAAGCATAAAGCAAAAGAAAGGGTGACTCTTAAACAATGCAAGAAACTATATGTTCGTCCCATATAGGTCCCCACCACACCTATATTTTGTTCTAACCACAGCAACCTCACACGCAAAGCCCACAAACACCCACGTCAAACCATCAAACCATCACACACTCACAGAGACAGAGGACCACACTAGACCAGGGCAGTACCGTGTGTGTTGCTGGAGGTGACTGAGCTGCCTGAAGGTCTTCTGGCAGTAGGTACAGCTGTAGGGTTTGGCCCCGCTGTGGATTCTGATGTGTTGGGACAGGTAGCTGGAGTTGGCGAAGGACTTGGAGCAGTGTGGACATTTGTGGGGTTTGGCCTCCGTGTGCGACTTGGCGTGAATCTGCATATCCGATTTACTGAAGAAAGTGACTGCACACATCCTACATCTGCAAAACAAACGTGTAACCAGGAGAGGCCATGAAAACACCGAAAATACAGTATTAAATGAAGCTGGTAGGGATGGGACAAGATCTCGTACCACATGATCTTACGAAACAAAGATCTTGAGTTTTTTCTCCCCTCAACTTACCTTTGGATTGGGAAAAAAAAAAAAAGGGTTAAAAGCTGGTGAGTTACACAATTTGAGAAGCAGCAGTTCGAAAAAGCAGTACTACAATGACTGCTAAAGTATTACATAAAATAAATAAAAAATATCTATCCAAAATTGTGAAATGGATTGCTCTACCTATTTATTACAAATTTCATAAAAATCTTGTCTTGTCTCATTCTCATGGACCTAGTCTCGTGTTGTCTCGTCTTGTGAAAATTGCGTCTCGTCCCACCCCTATTGTGATCTAATATTAGCTCTGATGTAGGTCAAGACCATTCTTATTGTTCAGGAGAATCAAATTTCATTTTCTTACAAAAAACTACAGAAGTAACATTACAGAATACAATTTTCAACACACAGTGGTTTCTAAGCTTACTACTACTCATACAAAAAAAAAAAATTATTAAGAGAAAAATATGTTTTGCATAAACATACATTTCCCGATTGAAAAAAAATAACAAAACTAGATTTAATTTTGGACAAAGTGACCAAATATTGTAGTAAGAATACTGTTACTTCAAAGTAACACAACAACTTTGAATAAATACAAAGAGTTTCTGGGCCAATCACAACTAATAAATCTTCTTCTGCCAAACCAGGATATCGACTGAACCGATATTCGGAAGCTGATATCTGTCCAGCAAATTTGTCAGTATCGGTGCTGATAGCAGATTATTGGATCAGTGCATCCCTAATTATACGGTAACTGAGCATATTATATCTACATATTTACATATTAATCAACACAGACACTAAATATTTTCTTACTTGTAGGTTTTTGGGCCGTCTTTGTTGGTGTGCTCATCTTCATCATTGGACAAATCGTACGGATCAGCTGGGTGATGCTGTAAACAGACACAACACACTGGACTTTATTACAATGGATTTTTGTCATTTTGCATTAAAGGAGACCAAAGTGCTTCATATTAAAATCAACACAAAATAAACACATGCAAAACATTAAACAATGAAATAAAACAAAGTGTGTACAACATTTTGCACAATTCTCTATGTTGGGTTTAGACATTAATCTTAGACAAACTTATTGATCCACAAGGGAAATTATTTAGACATGCATCACAATATATTTTAATAACAAATTGTAATAATAAATTTAAAATATGTAGCAAAAATAGTAAGAGCTTAATACCTTTAGAGTAAAAAAAGGATAGAAATTAAACTGGTACCTGTCCCCCAGCGGCGAGGTGGGCCAGTATCAGGGCGTCACTCCCCGCGGGCAGGATCCCCCCCACTCGGCCCATCATGGCTTTGCTCTTCCGGCCGCGCTTTGACGGAGTCGGCATGACGACAGCAGGGGGCAGTGCAATGTCGTCCTTACGATCTACAAACAAGAATGAATGCAATTAGCCTGGCATGGTCTGGACATCTGGAGAGCTTTCCTTTTGTAATTTAAACTGTCAGTCTGTGTAGGGTTTCTGAATTGCTACACTAAAGGTGCATTGTGTAACTTTTCTGATGGAGGGACGGTCAAATGCTTTTCTCTGTGGAAATGTTATCACTTTGTCTGGAATGTTTCACAGTATGGCATTAAACCTTTCTATCTTTAAGGAGACCAAACCAGACCAAGTTACAGGTCAGATCTGTGGAGAGGCGGCCCCATTCACAGTCAGAATGCCTGTTTTTCTAGGTATTTTTGATCTATTAAACCATTTCTTGTATTTGTGAATGTCGCAATTCTTCTTTACATTTATAGATTTATTTATTTATTCTGCTAATAAAGACACTAACTTATCTCCATATTATTAGGCTGTCTGAATCCCAAAAGCTCAAAATGCTCCATCCCACCTTGTGATGTCATGTTGGAGTAGTTCTCAAATACAGCTTCCTTTTATCCTTTGTTTAGTGAAGATTGGCAATTTCAGGACTTAAATCATCCAAATGATTCTAGGGAAGGTGCATGGAGTTTAAAAATGCAGTGGAGTACTTTCTGAATTACCAAAATTAAACTAAACACAACTACAGGTGTGTTTTTGATGAGGAAACAAGAGTATAAGTAGATCAGAAAATAGCATAATATGGGCCCTTTAAATCAAGCAGAAGCAGATGTTTGCTGAAGACTGTTACCTGAGTTGGAGGCGTGGAGAGCAGACACTATCATGGTGGTGGCAGTTGAATGTCCGGTCACAAAAGACTGAGAGGAGGCCGTCGGGACCAGAGTTCCTTGAGGAGTCGTTATGACCAGACCCGCTGAAAAAAATAAGAAAAATATTATGTATGTTATTGTATTTGCCATCACAAGAGCAGAAAAAAAAAACACTTCTACTCTGCATTTAGTGCAAAGTTTATAAAAATTCCAACATCATTTGCTTCATGCTTAAACCAACCCTAGAACTGTAATTTTTGTAGAACTGTAACAATTTAGTTGGGAGCTTATTTGGTTGGAGGGTCCGCCACCATCTCTATGGAGATTTTATTGCTTTGCCTGGAGTGGCCCACAGTATTTATCTTACAGCTCACTTCAGTGGAGGTGTTCCTTCTCATTGCAGAATGTATGCATTTTTTTTTTTTTTTGGAGCAATGTATACACCCATAATTGTATACATGCCTGTTAGACAAGTGCAATACCAAACTGTGGAAAATAACATGTACATAGTTACAGAGTAAACAGACAATTTAAAAACTATAAAACATATTTTAAATGTGAGTTTAAACTTTAATAACTACTGCTTCATTCATCGCGAATCATTTGATCTCAACACTTGGCTCGCTCATGCAGTACCTGCCCAGCCCACTAGGGAACCCCAAACTTTAGAATGAACATAATGAGTCCTTTTATTACAATAGAAGTGCTTTTGGTGTCTTGAAAGACGCTACATCCAATACATTATAATTATTATTATGATTAAAATGATAATAAGAGTGATTTTGCTCTCTTACCTGCAGTCATGATACCCGTGGAGGGAACAGGCACAACGGTGACGTTTTGGGAGGTGTGGGACTGGTGGAGATGTGTCCCGACTGAACTTAAAGCTGGGCCCCCGGCACTGCTGCCCCCTCCCTCCTGTTTGGGGACCACTCGCACCCCTGTGACGGTGTCCCCTGAGCTGGGGATGGCCAGCACCGCGGTGGGATAATGCGGGGAGGAAGACGAGGACGAGTGGGGGAACGAGGGAGCAGAGGGCTTCTCCGCTCCCAGCTGCTCCTTGGTTTTGTTCAGGAACATGGCGCTCTCGATCTATCAGGAGCAGGTGAAACCAAGAGGTGGAAAAATAACAGAGCCGGAGAAGGGTGGACGAGAGGCGAGCAGTTTAGGATGAGAAATAGAAGAATATAAATGAAAAAGAGAGAATAACAGAATAATGAGATGCAAAAGTAAAAAGTACCAGAGGGTTTAAAGAGGTGAAAGAGGACAGGGAGTGTGTGATCACATGATCAATTCAACAATTCTCTGTTCACAAACTTCTGTGATTTAGCCTTTTGCACAGAATAGTCTATGTGGCAGTAATGTTACAGTCAATATCTTTTTCACAAGTATAAAGTCATAAAGTGTTTACATTATTTAATTTTAACAATTTTAACAACAAATTTAACTAAATAATGTGTATTGCAAGACAATTCCAACAATAAGGTTGTCTCTACCTGTCCTTGTACAGTGGGGACGGGAGACCAAAAGTATGATGAGTTGAAATGGGAATCGTCCATTATTTCTGTAATTAAAAAGCAACACACTTAGAAAACACCTGTCCTCCTTCTCGACCTCCAGTATCACTGTCAGCTTTGATGTTGAAACAAACTCAAAATGAGCATGTTTCAATAATTTGTTTCCTTTGCCCATCCTCTTTTGATAATTTAATCAATGTCCATTTTAGAATGAAACATACTATGGACCATTAAATTACACTTACCACTTTTAATAAAGCTAGGTTAACATTAATGATTAAAAATAAAGAGAGGATTTGAAAGGACCAAAGATCTTGTGACACTGACAGGAAAGTCAGGTCAGATCTAACAAACAGGCAGCTCTTTGCATTTTTTAGTCTTTAATGTTCTCCACATAGACTTGAGAAATAAGTGTCAATACGGCGTGATCACGCATTTCTACTTTTCTTTCTGAAACAGGTAAATCTCTGGCTCACACCTGCAGTGACTTGTGCATGCATTATGATGTCACATGGACACACTGTACTCTGCACAAAGAGGCGCTGAAGATGCGCTGACGGGTCACAGGTTTGACACAGCTCACACAGAACACTGTCACCTGTGTCACAGTCTGTGCACAGACAGCCATTTGTGAAGAGTTGTCTAAAACTACCGCACTGCTAGCAAGGAGCTACACGCTGCAGGGATGGATTACACTGTGCAAATACTCATAAAATGCAAATGCATGAGTTATTTTGAGAATGCCTCCGTGCGCGGACTGCCAGTGCCCCAAAGAAATGTGGACACCAAGGCTAGCATTAGCTGGTTACCGCTGCAAGACAAGGGAGCTAGCTAACTTGCCTCCATTAATTTTCTCCTTTTGTTCGTGGGCTTGCTCTAGCTACATGAAGGCCTGCTTAGTCAAATGCTTAACCAGGTGGCCGCGGAGGAGATGCAGACATCCCTGCTCTCTAAGCTCTGATTCCTCGCTTCCTACTCATCTCGCGGAGAGAAAATAAAGAGAAAAAAGTGGCGGATAAAAAAAACAAGGCAGAAAAAAACGTCGACGCCGTTGCCTGTGCAGGAGACGCAGCTTCATGCAGACTTCCGGCGGCTGGACGAGGCAGACAACACTGAAATAACAGTAAACCAACACTTCACTAATAACGCCACTGTGAATTACCGGCAGAAGTGATCCCCGTGTGCCCCCCGGAGCTTCCTCGGGTCGGGACAGTTGGGAAACTTTGTCCAAATCCGCCCCTCGGATCAGACCCCTCAGATATTCCCTTTTTTCTTCGTTTTTTTTTTCTTTTCCCTCCAGCGCCACTCGACTGTGTAAAGCAAAACAGACGGGAAACGGCTAACTTCCGGTCTGAAGCTTTCAAAATGAATTACAGACGCCACTTGTAAATTAAACATCGAATTAAAAATAAACTTTAAAAAATTCAAATATGTAATACTGTCATATACTTACTAGATATATGTAAACACTTATTCATTTCAGCTGTAAAATATTTAGAAATCTACTTCAGCCTTTGTTTTGAAATAACTTCCGGTGTTTGACTTGGTACTTTCTGCGAACTGTACACAGATGTCAACAACATCATAGCTTGGTGCATCAATGTCTATTATGTATTTATAGAGTAATTCTATGCATGTTTTAAGAAGTGTAAATTATTAGTGGTTAAAGAAAATAAAGATATAAGCTCAATATTTTGTGGAAACGGAGACCAAATAACAAGAGGGGGAGATTATAGATTTAAAATAATAATAATAAAAACTTGTGTGTGAGTAGGCCTGCAGTTTTATTACACAACTTTATTGGCAATTGCTAATTATTGTCTAATTCAGAGCTTGTTTAATCACAAGAGGGCGTGCTAGGTTTTTATATAGTTGGTTTTATTATGTGTTGTCTCTAGGGCTAGTGGATAATTAAGTTTACAGATAAATCAAGTTATATTCTCTTTTACTGTAGGCCTATATAGACATGTAAATCTAAATTGTCAGATTAATAAGTCACCGAGAGCCAGTCATAGTGTGTGTTTTTTTTATTTCTTGACAGTCACCTGCAGCACAATCACACAATAAACAGGACAAATAAAAAATGTGTAAATTTCCTGTGAATGTATGATAAATTTGGCATATTGTTATAGTTTAGATATAAATCTGATCTTTTAACAATTCTTCCTTATTATGCGACATATATTAAATTATTTCACGATTCGTACCTGCCATAAAGACAATTTAACATAATAAAAATCAAATATCATCTTGGTTCTTGAATTTCACAATAAAGCTCCATACAGAATATATTACCTTCAAAAATATCTGGATCCTACATTTGCAGCCTTTGTGACATCAAAATATATACAAATTTATTTAACAGAGAATAAATAACTTCAGAAAAATATAGAGTAATTTTGGATCTTCTCATTTGTATCATGCAGAAAAGTCAGTCAGCAGTAAGGTGGATTTGTTTTTTTTAATAAAAATAAAAATAAAAATAAAGTACATATACAATTTATAATGCTGAAAACTAAAAATGTGATAATTGTTTTATGCCGAGGTAGAGGTTTACCGTAATAAAAGGCTGACAGCTGTATTTAGTCATAGTGCTTAAAGGTACGCTATGTAACTTTTCTGGTGGAAGGTTTTGCCACCTGCTTGTCTCCATGGTGATCCTACTGCTTCGCTCTGAAAGTGCCAGAGTGTAGCATTAAAACAACACGATTACACCCCAAGAGCAAGTTACAGGTCAGATCTGTGGAGAGGTGACCCGGCCAATCTGTAGTTGAATTATCACAAGATGACTTACTTTACTGCCACACTGTGGAACATTTCAGGCAAAGCAATAACATCTCCACAGAGACAAGTAGAGATTTGAATTTACTTTCTAGCTAGAGAGAATAGTTAACTGCACGCTATTTTAAAACTACCAATACTACAAAAAAGATAGCATACTCTTTCTACAGCATATGCCGTAAGATCCCACACTTAATTTGTTGTTTAGATGCTTAAAGGTCCAATAACACGCAAAATTTGACCCTTGTGAGTTTTAAGCCATGTTATAATGTTATTTCCTCATCAAAAACAGACCTGGAGTTGTGTTTTGTTTCATTCACACGTTTGTTTAACTCTTTATTATTACATCAGGGGTCATCAAACTAAGACTCCAGCCCACCACGCCCCTTTGACCACCCTCACAGCCCCTCCCGCTCCCTACAACTTGAAATGGCCCTATGAGGCAATCAAAAGTTGTCATGGCCTATTTTTTTTATTACTTTTTGGCAAATAATAACATGTCTGCATCTTGTATTTGGTTGATTTTTTCAATTAAAACATGACATTTATATGAAGTTTTTATACTTAAATAATTATATAACGTATTTACATTTGCCGCCAAATTTTCGTCACCTAACAAGCTCCAGATCAAATGGTGACAGTCAGTGCATGTGCAGAGTTTTGTAGTGCAGTTAAGGACAGCAGGACTGTAATGAAAAAAGTCTGGTCACCCCTGATCTGTATCTACCAAGCTCAAAATGCTTTGTTCCACCTTGTGATGTCATGAAACGGTAATTTTCATGTTAACAGCTACCTTTTAACTTTTAGGTCTGAAATCATCCAAGTGATTCTAGTTAAGATGTATGATGTTTCAAAACACATTGGAGTAAGTCCTGCGTTACCACATGACATCACAAGGTGGAACAAAGTGTTTTCTATTTGAGAGAAGAACTCAAGCTAATATGCAGGGTGGGTTAAACATGTGTGAAAAAAACAACTCCAGCTATGGTTTTGATGAGGAAACATTATCCACGAGATAAAAAATAGCATAACACATTAAAATATTTTGAAGTGACACACAAAACTATGTAAATTTATGTGAACATTATGCATTACAAACCTATTATGAAAATGATGAGTGCTTGTCTCAAAATGGCCAATAATACTTTCACAATATTTAACAAGACAATAAGGCAATGCAGATTACAGTTTGGTGAGTAAATAGGAAGAGATGTATAGTATCATAGAGCTATTTTGCTAATATTTCTGTTTAAACTTTTCAATGAATATAAAGCACTATAAAGCTGAAGCCTCTTGCATACAGTTAGTGCTACAGGCATTAGTAAATGGAGCTTGAACCTTCCACACTTAAGATGCACTTAGGTTAGTCAGCAAGGCAGTGGATACAGACAGTAATGAGACATCAGTGTACAGACAGAGACAAGACAACTGGATTTAACAGTGAAAAAACACACAAAAAAATAATAAAAATGCACAAAAGTGAGAACAACTGGTGCAGAAACAAATACAAAGGTTTTAAAAGAACACACAACTATTAGGGCTGCACAATAAATATTGCAAAACTAATGATATTATGAAATTGAGTAATGCAATATCCACTTTCAAATTAAAATTTTCGACATAGCACTTTTTTTCTTTTTTAGCGTTAAATGGCCTAAACCTGACTATTTCTTTAAATTCCTTTCAGTAAATTATAAAAACACTTATCTGAGAATTTAAAAATAAGACTGAAGTGAATTTTATTAGGCATTTTGTTGGATGAGAACCAAGAGAAAGCAACTGAGTGGGACAGACAATTTTATCCAATCAGCGACGTTGTTAGATAAAAACTACATGGAAACAACTTTCTATGACGGCTGGAACGAAGTCTATCCATTCTAAAACACGTTTTTCTGTCATGGTTCAAAATTGACACTTTAATTGTACATTTAACTGTATTGTTTTGAATTTACTGACTCTACAGTTTCAAAATGTATACTGCAATCTCACAATAACACTTTTTTTTTTCAATACTGTGCAGCCCTAACCACTAATATTTCACAACTGATCTAAACGTGAAAGGATTATGGTTTCGTAAAAGGACAATGTAGTATTCCTCCTACAAATGAGTGAGTGAACGATTAAAGAAGATATATGTGATTGAAACCTGAGAAACCTCACAGCTACATATGTTTAAGACAAGTATTGTAGAGGAATCATTAACACAGTCGAAAGGAGAATTTGAGAGCAGATGAGACAGTGGGATAGTGGAAGTGGTTATCGTCTTTAACCAGTGCGAGATGCCACCTACGAAACGAGAAAGAGGAATTAGTTAGTAAAAATTATAACATTAAATAATAACATTTACAAATTAAAATAAAAGACATTAGGAAAATGAACCATAACAAAACCATATTTACAGAGCATGTTTTAATAGTAGAAGCAGGGCAGTACAAAGGGGTCTGTTGTCCCGGGCCCCTAAAACCATTTAGGGGCCCAAAATTTTGACCCTCTTCCTATTTATTTAAATTAGAGGGGGGCCCATTTGAGTCTTCTTGCCCCGGGCCCCCAAATTTCTGTCAATGGGCCTGAATAGTAGTAGTAGAACTTATAATAATGTAGAATTGCATGAAAAAGCCTGTAAGACACATACATAATAAAAAAAACTAAAAAACTAAACAAAAACTAAACAACAAAATACTACAGGGTAATAATAATGGGTGACGTGGGCTTGTGGGCGGAGCATTGTACAGAATCTTACAGCTAACCGTAATGAGGGTTTGAATAGAGCCCGGGAGAGATTGCTAAATAACTCAAACATGCATGGATGACATCTAAAACCTATTCAGGGATGTTTTTAATTAAGGAACGACAATAAAACATGGTAGAAAGCTCAAAATTTTGCATAATAAATGAAAAAAGTCAAGCCATGTTTCTCAAAAGTAATCTTCAAGAGTCACAACACATAAAAATAGCAGTATAATATTGTATAGAATTTTCTTTTTGTCACAGTTTTTTTGTTTTTTTTAAACATTCTTTGTTTTCTAGCAACATTTTAATTTTTTTTTAAGACTCAAACCGCATTAAGCATATTATGAGTAGTACCAACATTTTATACTCACTGTAGAATCTTGTCCTTGCCCTTCCATTTTATCCAGTACAGTTGTTTGATTTACTAAGCGGCCATGCTCCCTTTGCTCTCTGTGCTAAGTTACTCCCCCTTCAGAGCACTATCACAACACAATCAGCGTGCATCCCAGTAATTAAAATACTGCACATTGTATCAGGTTTGTCAAGTTGTTGTGTACAGTTTTGTATCATGTTTTTGTATATTTATGGAGAATTGTCGTGTGGGAGCATGGACGGCGTAGGCTTGTGGGCGGAGCAATGCACAGAATCTTACAGCTAACCATAAAGAGGGTTTGAATAAGGCCCAGGACAGATCACTAAATTACTCACACATGCATGGATGACATTAAATACCCCTTCAGGCATGTTTTTTTGAAGAGGCAACATGTTATGACATTGTAGAGAGCTCAAAATATCGATTTTGCACAACACCCCCTCTTTATTTAACCTGTGAGATGGTGACTCCGGTGAGTTTCTCCACGGCGTCCGGGAGTCGTGTCATGATCTCCAGCACCTCTCCGGACAGTTTGGCTGCGCCCACGTCCCCGTTTCCACTGGACACCATGGTAACTTTATGGGCCTCACACAGGGGCTTACTGATCTCCTCTGCGATCTAAAGTGAGACAAACCAATACATTTATATTTATTAACCTCTGAAAACCTGAAGATGATTTATCTTTTTTAATCTTTTATCTTTATTTTTTTATGTTTTTTCAGGTATTGCCATTCCAAAATATGGGTCGTTTATTTTGCATCTTTGAGCTACATTAGAAAAATAACGCCTTGAATTAAGACTAGACTCGCACGGATCAATCACAAATTTCCAATTGCATTTATCTTTTGTTCGTATTAAAAACAAATTAAAATGTCTTGGAATTTTATTATCATAAACAACACAAAAACATTTAAAACAAAATATAATCACATTTCTTGGCTTGGATTGGCTGTGGACCTGCAGTGATTATAAAGACCAAGGATGATCAGAGCACAACTTTACCTTGGATTAAAATAGTTTCAAGGCAACCAAAGTGCCTTTCAATGCATTATTAATTAATTCACACTCTGTGGTGTTGTTGTTGATGATGTAGCCACAGCTGCCCTGGGGTAGACTGAAGAAAGCAAGGGTGCCAATTTGCACAATCAACCACATTTATACTAGGGAAAATAGGTTTAGTGTCTTGCCTAATGACACAACAACAGTACACATTAAAACCATTGTGGCACCTGGTCTATTCCCAGTGGTCTCCCATCCAAGTTCTAATCAGGACCAACCATGTTTAGCTTTAGAGATCAGACAAGACTGGTCTTTAACAAGTTGATATTGTCCAAGTAGTTTTCTTTGTAGATAGTGATTTGTTTAGTCTACATAAATGTACAAATGGGGTTTGAATAATGTTTTTTTTTAACGTTTTTATTTATTGGCATTTTTGCTTATTTTATTTTACTCATTTTATTGTATTAACGAGGATTGGTGGAGTTAAATAGAGCTTTAATTTATGAATATTCCCTTTATATTTTTTATCTGTACTGTGCTGCACTATGGAAACAGTTTTGTTTATGAAATCTGCTGTATAAATAAAGGATTGGAGTGAATACTGGACTAATTTGGCCTTAAAAATACTGTAGATTCTGTATTTATATTATCAAAAGTATATTTGTCTCACCAGAGGCAGTTTCTCCAGCAGCATGTCCACCATGGCTCCGTCCTTGTACTGTTTAAAGGCTTCCGCTTTCTTCTGCATCTGCTCAGCCTCAGCGCGACCTTTAGCCTCTACAGCAAATGCCTCTGCCTCCCCTTTAATCTGAAGAAAAACAAATTCACTCTTCAGCAAAATCCTTCATCTGTGCAGCAGGAAAGTATCAAGACTAGTCAACATAAAGAGCTGAAATTTGGGTTTATTTAAAAAAGATACTAAAAATATGTTTTTAGTTAAAGGTACACTATGTAACGTGGAGAGTACACTACTTGCTTGTCTCCATGGATGTTATTTCTTTGCTTGGAATGTTCCACAGTAGGGCATTAAACAGATCTGCTTTGCATTTGTTCAATTACAACTCAAAAATATCCTTAAAAACCATGTGTAGGCTTGCTTCACCATAGATCTGACCGTTAAATTGGCTTGATTGTGATCACAAAATTTATTTCCATACGATAATACTACACCATATAATACTATAATTCAGATAAAACAGTAATATCTCCATGGAGACAAGCAGGTGGTGGACCCTTCATCAGAAAGTGTACCTTTACGATTAGATTTGACCTAAGACTCACCCTGATTGACTCAGCTTCAGCCTCAGCTTCCATGATCAACTTCAGACTGGACAGATACAGAGAAAAAAACTAAAAATCAGACAATATAAAACATGTCAATCAAACTCCAAATATCATGTACAAAAGATGTGCAGTGTGGTTTTTAATACCATATAAAGAGATATAAATGTAAAGAGTAGAGCTGAATGATTTGGGAAAAATATTTAATTGCAATTTTTCAGCATAGTATAAAACTAAATTATGATATAACATGTAAACCTTCAGTAAAAGTCACATGTTATGATTGGAATGGCTTTTTAGCAACGATTCTGAACGTTGTGTGTATTGCTTTTTGTTTTCAGAAAATACAGGAACAAAGTAGGTACAGAGCAGTGGGGGTTATACGGAGGGTAGGTGAAAACTGGAATTTTTAGAGCTATGGTGCCTCAAATGTTGGACAATATAGATCAGTCAAACACTGACAAAATACAACTTTGAGTGAGTTAAGAATGATGCAAAACTATTATAATATGTCAAAAATGTCTTGTTAATATTAATATTACATTGTGGGTTGAGGACTGGACAGAATCGTACTGCTAAGAAGGGTTTGAAAAGTGCCTGGGAGAGCTTGCTAAATTACTCAAACATGCATGGATGACATCTAAAATCTCTTCAGGCATGTTTTTGATGAGGAAACAGCGTTATAACATGGTAGAAAGCTCCAAACAGTCAAGTTACCATAATAGTCCACCCTCTCTTTAATAAAAAGTTTGTCTAATGTTCTGTTCTTCTAAACAATTAAGCCCAAACTCCTCTCACCGCTGTGCTTCGGCCAGTTTTTCCAGACGGTATCTTTCGGCCTCTGCAGGTTTCATCACTTTGGCCTCCAGCTCTTTCTCTTTCCTTGTGATTTCCTGCTCCTGGAGAGTGATCTGCTGACTCCTCTCCACCACCTGCACCTGCATCTTCTCCTCCTCTATGCGCTGCTTCGTCTTTGCCACCTGAGGAAAAAAGAATGTGATTAAATAGGTTATGTCAAGATTATTACAGATTATTCACACAACAGCTGACATTTAAGATTAAGAGTTGTTTAGATAAGTAAAAACTTTATTGATCTCATGGTGGAGAAAATGAACATGAGTGCACTTCTAGATCCAGTGACTCTATTTCCACTTGACTTTACAGTGAATATTCATAATATGGAACTTGACCCCAAATTGGCCCCTATAACTCAACAGAAAAAATAAAAAATAAATAGTGCAGGTATATCGTGAAAGCCTGAATGCAATACAAATCAAAATCTGTTCTGTCAGGAAAACTTGAAAAGTGGAAAAAGTGACCAAGGAAAACATTACAACTTTCATCTTGGAAAATAATACTATGTGATAATATAACATGTATTTGCACACAATGAAACACTTTATCCAAATTATAGAAAACATTTTAATAATAAAAAATCTACACCTTTCCTCCAACTAAAAAAAATGAACTTGTAGGGAAAGAGAATGTATATATGCAAGTATAGTTACCTGACTCACCCTCCACCCCCTTTTAATTTATTTTATTATCATTTGTCTATTTTCTGTTTGTTTAGTTTTTTTTCTTTTTTTATATTTATTTTATTTTATTTATTTTTATATTTTTTTACCTTTCTTTATTGTATATATTGACTCTATTTATTATTTAATTATTTGTCTATTAAGTGTTATCAATACAGCTTATTACAAACTACTATGCTGGAAAAACTAAAATAAAAGGATTTCTAAAAAATAAAAAAAATAAAAAAAAGAAGAAGAAATCTACACCTTTCCAACATTATTTTACCTGCAGTTGGTACGCCATCTCCGACTCTGCCTTTTTAGTGTTGACTTCGATATCGTAGGCGGCCTTCTTGAGCTCGTAGTCCCTCTGAGCTTTGGCCATTTCAATCTCATTTTTATACTGAGCTGAGATCTTGGCTTGCATGGCATGAGCTTCCTAAAATGTTAGAGAATTTAATTTAATTTATATGAAACAATATACACGCAATAGGTCATATTATATCAATTCTGCCTTTGTCTCACCCTGATCACAGCATCCCTCTTGTTTTGAGCCTCTCCAATTCGAGCGTCTTTCTGGACCTGAGCTGTGCGTCCTTTACCAAGAGAGTGCAGATAATCCTGTACAGAACAAGGACAAATGAAAAACAAAGACAATTTATATTAAAATCATCTCTAAATAATAAGATTTGCCATAAAAAGCACATCTAGTTGTACCTGGTCATCGTGTACGTCTTTGAGCGTGTAGCTGACGACGCTGATGCCCATGTTCACCAGATCCGAGGAGGCAACTTTGAAAACCTGCTCAGAGAACTTCTTACGGTCTTTGTAGATCTCCTGTAAATCATGAACGCCTTTACTATCAACTACTACTTTTTCATTGAATAATACTGTAGTTCCTTGTCAAACCCTGATCTCGTCTGATCTCAGAAACTAAACAGGGTCTGTAGTAATAACAGTAGTAGTAGTAGTAGTAGTAGTAGTAGAAGTAGCAGTAGTAGTAGTTGTAGTAGTAACAGTAATAGTAGTAATAGTATTAGTAGTTGTAGTAGTAGCAGTCGCAGTCATAGTTGCAGCAGTAGTAGTAATAGTAGTAGTAGTAGTAGTAGTAGCAGTCGCAGTCATAGTTGCAGCAGTAGTAGTAATAATAGTACTAATACTAGTACTAGCAGTAATAGTAGCAGTAAGAGTAATAGTAGTATTAGTAGCAGTAGTAGTAATAGTAGTAATAGTAGTAGTAGTAGTAGTAGTTAGTAAAACTAGTCGTAGTGGTAGTAGTAATAGTGGCAGGAGCAGACATAGTTGAAGTAGCAATAGCAGCAGCAGTAGTAGTAGTAATAGTAGTAGCAGTAGTAGTAGTAACAGTAGCAGTAGTAATTGTTGTAGTAGTAGTAGTAATAGTAGTAGTAGTAACAGTAGTAGCAGTAGTAATAGTAGTAGTAGTAATAGTAGTAGTAACAGTAGTAGTAGCAGTAGTAGTAGTAGTAATAGCAGTAGTAGCAGAAGTAATAATAACGGTAGTAGTAAGCAGAAGTAATAATAGCAGTAGTAATAGTAGAAGTAATAATAGCAGTAGTAGTAGTAGTAGAGTAATAATAGCAGTAGCAGTAGTAGTAGTAATAGCAGTAGTAGCAGAAGTAATAATAATGGTAGTAGTAGTAGAAGTAATAATAGCAGTAGTAATAGTAGAAATAATAACAGCAGTAGTAGTAGTAGCCCTAATAACAGCAGTAGTAGTAGTAGCCCTAATAGTAGTAGTAATAGCAGTAGTAGTCTGACCTCCACAGTGAGATGGGCGATGATGGCGCGCTGATGCCCCTCAAGCGTTTCCAGGGCGATGTGAGCGATCTCTGGCTCAGACTTCCCCATGAACATCTGACAGGCCGCAGCCAACATCTCCTTATTCTGACCCTGGATCTTCATCTGCAAAGACAGGAAAGAGAAACACGAATCTATGGCGAGAAAGATGAAAAAGTTACGTGAAAAGTACTGTAAACTCAACGTAATGTTCTTTCAAGTCACTAATATAAATTGTAGTTTGGACAATGACAACATTCATTTGTGGGACATGGAATCACACCGGCAACCTGTGGGTCATTGGATCTGACCAGTGATGTTTTATTTTGACAGTGGGATTTGAACTGCCAACCTTCAGATCAGTGGACAAACACCAGCTGAGCTACTGTCTCCCCCTAACATTATTTTGAAATACATACAGGACATAATACAGTTTGCAAACATGTCCCTGTTTCTCTCTTTATTATCTCTCTCTTTCTTCTTTCTCTTCTTTCTTTATTTTTTTCTCTTTTGTCTCTCTCTTTCTTCTTTCTCTTCTTTCTTTATTTTTTTCTCTTTTGTCTCTCTCTTTCTTTCTCTTCTTTATTTTTTTCTCTTTTGTCTCTCTCTTGTTCTTTTGCTTTCTTTCTCTCAAAGGTCATTCCTGTTGCAGCTATAATGTTATGTCTCAATGTACCTCTATGACCTTGGTTTTATGTCACTGTTCTGTACCACTGTTTTTGCTTAATTAAAGGTGCACTGTGTAACTTTTTGGTCTGGTTATGGGTCTGTCACTTGCTTATTTCTATGTACATGTCATTGCTCTGCCTGGAATGTTCCACAGTATGACATTAAACAGGTCTATTTTGCATTTATTAAATTACAGTTGGTGTTATAGCTCAAAAACACTTAGAAAAATAGGCATTCTGACTGTCAGCGGAGACTTGTAACTGGGTCTGGTTTGGTCTCCATGAAGTTACAACCATTTAATATCATTCTGTGAAACGTTCCAGACAAAGCAATAACATCACCATGGAGAAAAGCATTTGATGGACCCTTCCCCAGAAAAGTTACACAATTCACCTTTAACCAAAAAAAAGAAAACAAGGAAAAAAAAAAAAAACGAAGAAAACATGTCCCCGTTTGCCCATCCTTCACTGACCTGTGCGATGCCAGTCACAGAGATAGGGACTCCATGTCGAGTGTAGACCTTATCACTTTTCACATTCAGAGTCAGAGTGTTCAGAGAAATCCTAAAGAGACACAAGACACAGGAACAGACTATTATTGATTTGGATAAATGCATTAAGGGAAGGCAGCAGGCAATGTTCACGGTGAGATGAGAATGGATTTGGAGACTAAAGAAAACCATTTTACAAAAGATTAACTAAAAATAACAAAGAATACATTTTTACATTACATTTTACATTTTATTATGACAGGCCTACAGTGAACTGAATCCTTATTAATATATAGCATCAATCAAAATGTAATTAGCAAATTTTACGCATCACAATTGGACTCTTGTGACCTTTAAGCCATGCTGTTACCTCCTCAAACACAGACCTAGGGTTGTGTTTTGTTTCATTCACACATGTTTGAGTAACACTTTATTATTAGTTTGTCATGTAGTGGTAGTTTTCAAGTTAACAGCTACTTTTTACCTTTCGTTTAGTAGAAATGAGCAATTCCAGGGCTAAAATCACCCAAATGATTCTAGTGAAGGTGTATTGAGTTCAAAAGCAGTGAAGCGCTTCATGTATTACCACATCAGAAAGAAGAGAGCGTTCTACGTTTCAGAGAAGGGCTCAACTAAACACAACTCCAAGTATGTTTTTGAACAAAATTATAATACAGATCATAAAATAGTGTAATATGGGCCCTTGAACAAATGGTGGAGCCCCGGTTGATGCAGAAAACTCGGCAGCATCTCACAGTTACATACAGATCCAATAAACTCAAGATAATCTCATAATGTCCTTAAATCACCTCTGGATCTGCTGGATGCACGGGAACACAAAAACTCTTCCTCCAGCGATCATCAGAGGAGGAGAACGACAGAAACCTGCAAAAAGAAACACACAAAATTATATAGGTTTATGTATCATATCTTGTTACATTAAAGCTTTAAAACTGAGCTAGTAGTTTAAGGGTGCACTGTGTAACTTTTTGATGTCACCTGTTTGTCTACATGGAGTCGTTATCGCTCGGCCTTGAATGGCATTACTCCGGTCTATCTCCATGGAGACAAGCGGGTGACATCATGGCTGTTTCTATGACATTTTTCTGCAATAAAAACACTGATAATTTGATAAATGCCAGATAGAGATTTTTAAGTCATACTGTGGAATATTAAAGACAATGCACACAGAAAAAAATACATAAGCATAAAAGTTACATAGTGAATCTATAATTAGGGCTGCAGCTCGTGTCAGAATACTAAAACTTCAAACTCGATTTTGATAGACTTTATACTCAAATTTACACAATACAATGTCATTTTCTTTATTTTATATTAGTGTGTGACTTTATATCTATCTAGGTTCCATAGTGGTCCATGAGCGTATACTAGTCTATGTGGTCTTATACTTGTTCTGACACAGCTCAAGATCATACTAAAGTTATTCAGGAAAGGTTCATTTCCGTCCTGTGAATGTGATTTTTTTTTTTTTGTATTTACTAGTTTTAGTCTCAATTAGAATCAGATTTTTATATTTTTGACAACTCGAGCTGCAACTAACAGTTATTTTAGCAGGATTATTTCTATTTTCTATTATTTAATATAAGTCTTTTAATATTTTTGTTGTGTGTTTTAGGATTTGTATAGTCCCTGACAGCAATTATGATGATCAAAATACTAATTACATAATTAAGAGTAGGCTATTTTTATTGTCAACTACGATAAGTCAATTAATTGATTTAGCTGATGAATTGAGTATTTTATTTTAAATACAGTTATTGTTGTTATTATGTGGAAAGTGTATTAAAGATTACGTTACAGTGGATTTATTTTTAAACAAGTTTCATTTAGGTTATATATTATAAAGCAGCATATTACCTGACACCACCATCGCCTCATTGGGACCACAGGTGTAAAACATCTTCCTGGCTGAAAATAATAAGAAAATGAAAACAACATGTTAATTATGGAGTAAAAACTGGATATCTTTGGCGCCCCGTTTCTGGCAACAACATGGACCACTTTAATTACCACAGGGAGGGGCAGATGATACAGGCAGCAGCAATGGCTCAAATCTAATTTAATAAAAACGAAGCAGCGATGGAGAGATGCAGAATGCGTCCATAAGGATACAAGGAAAGCAATGTAGTTTATACAAGCAAAACAAACGCTAACAGAGAATCATCATTTGCTTGTTGCTAGTAGGTTGTCATCCATATTCAAGCTATTTTAATACACGATGGACATTAGGCAGTTTATTGTCTAATAAAGCCACAACATGTTCAAATACTCACCGCCGCCGATGGAGAAAAGACAAAGATGAGAAAAAGCTGGAATTTCTTGGAGTAATTTTGGTATTTTGGGGGGAATGTGGGTTTTCAGTCCAATGTTACCCCAGATGATGACCACCGTCTGACGCTCACAGTAAATACACAGCGCATCATCTGCGCATGCCCAGTGTCACCCATCACAGAGCAGCGACATCTCATGGACAAACAAAGAAGTGCATTTTAAAATTCATTTATTTATTTTTTGGCATTTTGTTTTTTTTATTTTTGAACGTCACCAAGGGGCTATTTATACATGGTGTAAGTTATTTGTAATATAGATGTAGTTCTTTTTTTTTATTAGTGATGCTGAAGACAGAAAAACAAAGCAACAGAACAGAACAGAATCAATAATAAGCACTACAATACAACACAACATAAAATATAACACAATGTAAATTACAAGTAAAGTATTGTTGGACTGACACATGCTTGGAGGGTTGTGTATGTGTGAGTTTGATACCTTGTACTTGGCAATGAGTTTATGAAAGAAAGTCTGGAGGAAAGAACTTTAATTAGTTTTTAAACGCGTTATAGGTTCTCTCACCATCATTTTACTCAGTGTTGTATTTTGATTGATTGATTCATGCATGCGAGTAGTCTTAAATGCAGAAAATTCCTCTTTTCACTTATCCTCTATCTCTGTCCACATCTGTACTTATAGTGGCAATTATTAGAACAAAAAAACTGAGTGAGCGATAGAGGGTTTTAAAAGTTTTGCAATTTTAAACTGGGAGTCAAAAGTTCCATTTCAATAATAACGCTATTCAGTTCAATATTATACAAGTTAAAATAGACAAAAAGTAAAATAATGAAATGAGGATGAGTACCTGAAAAAGAAGTAAAGTTTCTTTAAAGGTAAATTGTGTAACTTTTCTGGTAGAGGGTTCATCAAACACATGGAGATATTATTGCTTTGTCTGGAATGTTTCACAGTATAGCATTAGGCAAGGCAAGGCAAGGCAAGTTTATTTGTATAGCACAATTCGTACACAAAGTAATTCAAAGTGCTTTACAGAATAAGAAATACATTAAAATCATAATAAAAACAAATCAAAACATAAATAATCATGAAGATTAAAATTAAAAAAGAGAGACATAAATTGGAGAGAAGAGTGCGGAATGAAAACCTTTCAGTTGTATGCACAGTTAAACAGAAATGTTTTGAGCCTGGATTTAAACAGCATCACAGAAGAGGCCTGTCTCACATGTTCAGACTGTTCCAGGTTTTAGCTGCATGAACCTGAAACGCTGACTCCCCTTGTTTAGTCGTGACTCTGGGCACCAGCAGGAGGCCGGTCCCTGAGCTCCTCAGAGTGCGAGATGGTTCATATAACACTAACATGTCACAGATGGACTTTGGTGCTCGGCCATGGAGAGACTTGTACACAAGCAGAGCTGCTTTAAAGTCTATTCTCTGAGGCACAGGAGCCAGTGCAGAGACCTGAGCACAGGACTTATGTGCTCGTACTTCCTAGTTCGAGTAAGGACCTGAGCTGCAGCGTTCTGGATGTTCTGCAGCGTCTCACAGCTCATTTGGAGAGACCAGTGAGCAGAACATTACAGTATCTAACCTACTGGAGACAAATGCATGGATAAGTTTCTCCAAGTCTGATTTAGACAGTAAACCTTTGATTTTTGCTATGTTTTTTAGATGGTAAAAGGCTGCAGATGTTATTGATTTGATGTGACTGTTAAAGTTCAAGTCTGAGTCCATTATTACCCCGAGATTTCTTGCCTGATTTGAAGGTTTTAGAGAGAGAGACCTTAAACCTTTCTATCTTCACAGAGACCAAACCAGACCAAGTTACAGGTCAGATCTGTGGAGAGGCAACCCCACTCACAGTCAGAATGCTTGTTTTTCTAGGTATTTTTGAGCTATTAAACCACTTGTAATTGAATAAATATAAAGTATAGCAGTTAATGCCATACCGTAGAACCTTCCAAGCAGAGCAGGGACATATCCATAGAAACAAGCAGGTGACGGACCCCCGACTAAAAAGTTACATAGTGCACCTGTAAATTGGCTATTAAAGTATCACTGTCACAATCATTGCCAAAGAAGAGTATACATTATAAAAATAAATAAATACATAAATAAATATAAAAATCACCACATCATGTAACATTCTGCTCTGTTCACCCTGTTAAATTCATCACTTCATTTGATATGGGCAAAAATAATATATTCATAATAACACACACTCACCTGAACAAAATGTCTCCATATTTGAAAGAAAAATCTATCTCAACATCGACATTACTCACAAACAGAATAAAATAAAGTCTCCTTTTGTCTCATGCAGCAGCAGAGGTTCAGAGTGTCACAAAACAGAGAGTTACAACAACATAGTAACTGTTTAGTTTCTACTGAAAACTGAAAATCATCCATTAACCAGCAATTGTAAATGTAAGTGGCCATTTTATGTATTTAGTTTATTCTTTCATGTTTTTGTGCTAGTCCTAATTCAAGATAACTTAAATATTTGCAAAATAAGAGAGACATAAAAGGATTTGCTTAAAGTATAGCCGAAGCCCTCTTTAGAATATTCCCCCTAGTGTTTGCCTCTGAGACAGACCTGGAATTTAGGCCAAACTATTGCAAAGGTAAACTGTGAACTGGTGTTTACGCAAGTGACTCATTATCAGACCCATAACTCACCAGCTCCTCTGCTATCTTTGCTCCAGATCTGAGTCTGTCCTCCTCAACAACCCCAGTAATGAAACAAATTAAGATTAATGCAAGTTTATATTTATGTTATAACAACTGAACGCAGCCTTATTTTATTATTAAGATATTTAAAAGTCCCATACTAGACATTTTTAAATCTGTTATAATGTTTTTTCCTCATCAGAAACAGACCTGGAGTTGTGTTTTGTTTCATTCACACGTTTAACACACAAATCCTGCATGTTTAGGCTGAGTTCTTCTCTCAAACTGAAAACGCTCAGTTCCACCTTGTGATGTCAGGTGGTGATACAGGAAGTGCTCCACCGTGTTTTCAAACTCAATACACCTTCACTAGAATCATTTGGATAGTTTCAGCCCCAGAATTACCAATCTGTACTGAACAAAAGCCAAAAAGGAGCTGTTCACTTGAAAATTTCCCCTTCATGTCATCACAAGAGCCTTTTGAGCTTTGTAGACGTAGACAGACTAAAAATAAAGTGTTACTCAAACATGTGTGAATGAAACAAAACACAACTCCAGGTATGTTTTGATGAAGTAACAGCATTTTAACATGTCTTAAAGCTCACAAGAGTCTTTTTTACTTAATGTAGGTCCTTTAATTTCTGTACCACTTTCTGTTTGTTCTGCCATGACGTAGCTCAAAATAAAGACTATTATTGTACAGGTCTTGTGAAGTATTATTGAGGCTACAGCAAGACTGGAGGTACTTCTAATTATAGTAGGTTTATTACAGTCCAACTAGGCCAACTCCTGATCTAAAATACTGATTGCCAAGCTATTAAAGGTGCATTGTGTAACTTTTCTGGTGGAGGCTCAAATGTTTTTCTTTTTTCCGCGGAGATGTTATTAATTTGTCTGGAATGTTTCACAGTATGGCTTTAAACCTATCCAACCTTTAAACCATCTAAGGCTACATTTGTATGATGACAGTCTGAACAGAAGACGCGAAAGTGGCGTCGCTTCTTCACTTTTTATTCCACCTTTAAATGAGCATTTTCAGGAGAAAATCTGCGTTCATATGGTGACGCAAAAGTGTGTGGAATTCATTTGAGTTTGCATGCAAGGTTTCTGTATGTGACGTAAACGTGTACGTGACGTGAGCAGATCTGACCAGAGTTTTGCGTCTTGGGCAGTGTAGACGGAAACACCACAGTGGAGTGTATTCAAGTCTTCCATTCTGGAGGGCGGTTTCAGATTTTTGTGTTTTTAAGCCCCAAAAATGCTGTCACTGTCTAAACCAGGGGTGTCAAACTCAAATTCACAGAGGGCCAAAATTAAAAACTGGGACTAAGTCACTGGCCAAACTAAATATTTACTGAAAATTTTCAACACCATCTGCATGAATCCGTGTATCATTCGTTCATTCGTTTTTCAATATAAAACCAAAAATAAGAAAACGAAAAAACAACAGTTTTCTTCGCTATTTGTCTCCAAAACCAAAATGAAAAAACGGATAATGATTCGTTTTTTCAGCTTTCGATTTTGTGTTTAAATGAAGAATGGAAAAAACGGATAACGGCGGATAACGTTTCCCGTTTACGTGACTTCCGTGACTGCGATGCCGGACTTTTGCAAAACATACGGACTGAATCAGGACGGATCCAGGTCCGAGACCAGACCGAGACCAGAGCAGGACTGAGACCGGGACAGAGCTGCTCTGGTCCTCCGCGCTCAAGAACCGCGGCTGGTTCCGAGGTGGTGCAAAGTATCAAACTGACGCATTCACACCAACGAAAATGAATCGAACTAAGAGCTTTTGGTTCAAATGGACCAGGTCCGGGACCAGACCGGGACCAAAGCGCTACTGAGACTGGGACCAGACCGGGACCAGAGCGGGCCTGAGACCGAGACAAGACCAGGACCAGACCGGGACCAGACCGGAGGCTCAGAGCCCACGGCAGGGCCGGAGCTCGAAGCTGAGGCTCAGACCCCGTGGAGGCTCGGAGTCAAAGCTCGGAGTTCGCCCTGGTCTCGGTCTGGTCTCGGACCTGGATCAGTCCTGATTCAGTCCGTATGCGGTGCAAAAGTTCGGCATCGCAGTCACGGAAGTCACGTACGGGAAACGGTCATTATCCGTTTTTTCCCATTCTTCATTTAAACACAAAATCGAAAACTGAAAAAACAAATCGTTATCCGTTTTTTCATTTTGGTTTTGGAGACAAATAACGAAGAAAACTGTTGTTTTTTCATTTTCTTATTTTTGGTTTTATATTGAAAAACGAATGAACGAATGATACACGGATTTGCATGTTTTCTCTTCTTTCCAGATATGTAATGTTAGATTTTTTCTATTTAAAAAAATGTTTAATAATAGTTTTGCTTAAACACTGAACCCAGAACATGCATAATATAAAATACAAACAAAATTTTAAGTAAATAATGTCTCTAGTCTATCTGTAGCCAGCGGGCCGGCTCCATTAACTATTTGATATGATCTCACGGGCCTAAAATAATTATATCACGGGCTAAATTTAGCCCCCGGGCCTGAGTTTGACTTGTCTGGTCTAAACAAAAGGCACTTTTGATAAATATGATTTTGCCCTTATTTTATTTTACTGGTTTTATTATTTTAAGATAGTATGATTAAATCTGAGCATTTATTTGATCATTTTATTATTGCTGTTATTATTATATACTTGTGCAGCACTTTGGAAACTGTTTATGAAATGTGCAAATGAAAATATTTTATTCGTTTTTACCCGCAAGAGTTCTCGTGTAAACAGGCCCTAAATGGAGGCCAAACCAGACCAAGTTACAGGTCAGATCTGTGGAGAAGCAACCCGGCTCACAGTCAGAATGCCTGTTTTTCTAGGTATTTTTGAGCTATAAAACCACTTAAAAAAAAAAAAAAAATAATAATAATAATAAATAAATACATAAATAAATAAATAAACACACACACACACACACACACCTGTAATTGAATAAATGTAAGGTAGAGCTGTTTAATGTCATACTGTGGGACATTCCACGCAGAGCAATGACATCTCCATAGAAACAAGAAAGTGATGGACCCCAAATCAAAAGTCTGTCAGTTTAAGTTTGTGTTTTCTGGTTGAATCCTGCAGAAATACAAAACTTCCAACGGGGAACTAATGATGACAAATCCTGGCACTCCCTCTGCTCTTCCGGTCCTTGTCTCGGAGTGGAGGAAACCCTTTACATGTTATCCAATCAGAGCAGAGAGTGAAGCCGCGGGAGCCAATCACAGCAGCGGACGGGATGACTGACAGCCCGTGTGGTCCCGCCTCCCCCGGACTCTGCTCTGTCTGGTCCTCTCCGGCGTCAGTGCGTGCGGATCAGCTGCAGCGGCGCATCTCCTCTCGCTCCTCTTTTTGTGCAAGAAAAACTGACTTTTATCTCACCATGAGGGAAATCGTGCATATCCAGGCGGGCCAGTGCGGGAACCAGATTGGTGCCAAGGTAAAAACACGCTTTTACGACTTATTATCGCTTTATTAGCACTCGTGGAAGCAGTAGTACTCAATTTGGCGATACTTAAGTAAAAGTACAGATACCAGGGCAAAAAATACTAAAGTTAAAGTAAAAATATCACATGGAAAAAAAAGCTTGAGTAAAGTATTCAAGTACACATTTAAAACTGTACTTAAAGAGTAAAACGTACACATATTTCACACATATACAGTGTCATTTATCGTATTATTTTATTTAATAGTTTATTATTGTTATGTATCATTGTTACTGCAAAAATATTGTAATTTTATGGTTAATATTTATAATAATTATGCATCTCTAATAGACAATTTCAGCATTGTTATTGGGGAAAATCTACTTCTTTCTATTTTCTTTATTTGTCTTGCTTATAAGTTGTCAAGTAGCAGGTCAGTGGGTTCATGGTATTTCATGCTTAAAGATGCACTATGTAACTTTTAGGGTTCTGCCGCCTGCTTGTTTCTATGGATATGTCATTGCTCTGTCTGGAATGTCCCAGAGTATGACTTTAAACAGCTCTACCTTACATTTATTCAATTACAGGTGGTTTTATAGCTTGAAAAACCTAGAGAAATGGGCATTCTGACTGTACGCGGGGTCGCCTCTCCACAGATCTGACCTGTAACTTGGTCTAGTTTGGTCTCCATGAAGATAGAAAGGTTTAATGCCATACTGTGAAACATTCCAGACACCAAACCAGAAAATGTGCACAATGCTTTTTTAAATGTTTGATAAAATTGTCTTTCTTTGATTGTAAAATGTTGTTAACAGGTGTTTTTTTTTCTTCTTCTGCTAAACATAAATAGTGACTGAAAAGCACAAGTTTAATTCAAAAGTTTTTCTTATTGAAATCCGGTGATTTAAATGTGTCTGTTGCCAAAAGTGCCGGTCAGACTTGAGTCAGTGGTGTGTAATAATGAGCCAGCTGCTGTCTCCTCGGCCTCGGTCTGAGTCGGGCCTTTGTCCCACAGAAAGAAACAAAACACAAAAGTTTGAAAAAGAAAGAGTGTCTTTAGAGAACTGATGCAGAGGAGAGGAACGCAGAGAGTGGGAGGTGGGGTAAAGAGGGAGGGAGAGGGTGGGAGAGAGAAGGAGGAGGGGTGGAGTGGGAGAGAGAGAGGGATGAGAAGGGAGAGAGACAGAAAGGGAGGGAGGAAAGAGAGGGACGGGGGGGTAGAGGAGGGAAAAAGACAAAGAGAGAGAGGGACTGAGGAGGGAGAGACACAAAGAAAGATGGAGGAGGGACAGAGACAGAGCGAGAGAGAGAGAGAGAGAGGGACAGAAGAGGGAGAGAGAGGGAGGAGAGAGACAGAGAGAGAGAGAGAAGTGGATGGAGGAGGGATAGAGACAGAGAGAGAGAGGGACGGAGGAGGGAAAGATACAAAAAGAGAGAGGGACGGAGAAGAGAGAGAGCCAGAGAGAGGGGGGAGTAGAGAAGAGAGAGAGACAGAGAGAGAGAGACAGAAAGAGAGGGATGGAGGCGGGAAAGAGACAAAGAGAGAGTGAGAGGATGGAGGAGGGAGAGAGACAGAGGGACGGAGGAGAGAGAGAGAGAGAGAGAGACAGCAAGAGAAAGAGACAGACGAAGGAGTGGGAAAGAGAGTGAGAGGGAGAAGGGAGAGAAACAGAAGGGGAGGGAGGATGGAGACAGAGAGAGAGGGAGAGGGTCGGAGAAGGGAGAGAGACAACGAGAGAGAGAGAGACAGACGAAGGAGTGAGAAAGAGAGAGAGGTAGGAGGGAGACAGACAGAGAGAGAGAGAGGGCCAGAGGAGGGAAAGAGTCAAAGAGAGAGTGAGAGGATGGAGGAGGGGGAGAGAAAAACGGAGGAGGAAGAGAGACAAAGACAGAGAGAGGGACAGAGAAGGGAGAGAGACGGAGAGAGGAGGAGGGAGGAGGGAGAATGAGAGAGCGTAAGAGAGAGAGAGAGAGAGAGATGGAGTGGGAGTGATAACAAAGTGCTCCTCTGTCTGTCGGGCTTTTAAAAGAACAGATGAGGTCATTTAAATCTCTGCATTTTCACACACAGTTTATTAAACACTAACCAGGCTCCAGCACTGACAGAGAACAGAAAAAACTCACAAAAGTCAATACGGACACTTGTACAACATCGATTTAACACTTCTCCTCTGGTTAAAATTTCCCCAAATGTTAAGAAATAAAAATCTAGAAGAGATTATTCTGTATATTGATAATTTAAGGTACATTTTGTAACTTTTCTGGCGCAGGGTAAACAACAACGCTTAGAGATTATGGTTTGATGATATAATTGCACATTTATATACAGATTCTAAAGGGCTGATCTCATTTTTTGCACTATCAAAGAGATTATTTATTTTGTCTTACTGAGGTCTGCCAAATATATCACTATCGAGACATGCTGACATAAATAATAATACTGAAACAACTTTATTCCACTGACACAAAGCAGGATAATCCCAGTAAAACAATTTTTAAATACACAGTAACATTAAAACAAATAAATAACAAAATTAACTTATATTTAGCCACAGAAATTACGTATTCTATCCACTAAAGCTCAAATTAATACAGAGAAATGGCAAAACTCTCCCCAAACAAATTGTACACACGATAAATGTTGTATTCATCTTGACTTTACATTCAAATCGAGTATAAAAATAAAGTCATATGAGCGAAATTGTGATGTTTTTGCCCATACAGTGAACAATTGTAGGTCTGTGTGAGTCTGGGCCCTATGGGAATGATGCACAGTGTGTGAGTTATGGCTGTCTTTTAAATCACTTTCAGTCTCTTTTTTTTGTTTCTTTCTTGTTTGAGTTTAAAGTCTGTCTCATGAGGTGAAATCATGAGTTAAACCTGAGTCATGATCTGCTCCTTTTTCATGTCCATTCATCTTTTTAAGGCGCTAAGGCACAAAGAAAGGCTTCAAAATACTCTGTGATTCATTTTAGACTCCATAAAGAACCAGAACAAGAACTCTATATCATAATTGAGGACAATTTTCAGCCAATTTGTAATATTTAGATACACAGTACCAGGGGTGGGACCAAGTTGTTATTTTGTAAGTCTCAAGTAAGTCTCAAGTCTTTGACCTCAAGTCCGAGTCAAGTTCCAAATCAAATAGAGGCAAGTCCAAGTTGAGTCTCGGGTCACTGGCCCATAAGTTCAAGTCAAGTCCAAGTCGTCTGCTTTGCGCTTCAAGTCATTTCAAGTGTTTAAACCAAAAGTACCAAATACAGGTTTCGTTTTTGCACATTTTATGAATTTTAAACTAAATTATCCTTAAAAATTAATGGTATATTTATATATGAGTATTTATAAAAGTGTTGTAGAAATGCAGTTTTTTTCCTTTTTAAATATTTTGTAAGAGTGAATCAAGAGTGAGTCAGAATAGAAAGAATGTTCTCTGTAGTTTTACTGTGTTGTACTGTATATTACTGTAGTACATTTGAGGATTCCACATCGCAGTACTTCAGCTGCATCCAAAGTAACAAACAGGAGCGGGAGGGACATGTTCCAGTTTGTTCCACTAAAAATTTGTCACCGCATTTATCAACTGTAAAGAGAAAAATATTCTTAAAAGTATATATATTTTTAAGAGAAGCATCAAGTCTTCTCAAGTCACAAGGCTCAAGTCCGAGTCAAGTCCGAAGTCACTGACCTTCAAGTCCAAGTTGAATCCCAAGTCTTAGTTTGTTTTATAAAGTGAAGTCTCAAGTCCTAAAAATAGTGCCTCAAGTCTGACTCGAGTCCAAGTCATGACTTACAAGCTCCCACCTCTGCACAGAACAAAAGAAATCAGTTGGTTTCCATTAGGGCAGCAGTAATTTAGTTTGTGAAGTGCTCGTCCTCTCATCTGAAGGTTGGTGGTTCGGTTCCCTCTCTTGACGTAAACATCTTTGGTAGAAGGTCAAATCCACTGATCCACAGGTTGGCAGCTCCCACAGATGAATGCTGCTGTTGTGTCCTTAGGCAAGACACTTTACACACCTTGTCCCCAGTGTCTGTGTACTCTGGTGTATGAATTTGTGTGTAAATAAGTGAGTGGTTCCTTGACGTGAAGCGCTTTTGAGTGCCTTGAAGATGAAAAAGTGCTAATTAAATGTGACCTTTTTAGTATTTAATAAAGAAAAACAAAAAATAGGATTGTTACCATAGCGATTATTAACACATTATTACATCTATTGAGTGGGAAAAGTCCTTAAAATGTTGCAAATGACTGAAAGAGGGGAAAAAAAAATACACTTATAAACCCAGAACTGAAGACAAATGAATTAGATCTATTGTATTGAGTTAGTAATGCAACTTTAGATGAAAACAGGTACATATAATATAATATAATAATCTATTTCTGTAATTGTTTGAGAAATCAACAAATTAATCTTGTTAGAATATGTAAATCTAATACAAAAATTTGAACAGTACAACTCCTGGCCTCTGATTACTGCACTGAATACAACTGCAATGTCCTACTTTTTGATTAAGACAACATTTTAGATTTCTTCTTAGATTTTCTTATCAGTTTTCTTCTTAAATCAGGACCAAGCATCTGTCTTAACATGGCTGATCGCTTAAACACACACACAAACACACACGCGCACAGACACACACTCACGGTGCCCGGTGCAGATTAGGGTCAGGGGCTCAGCTGGTGGTGCAGAGACTTGGCATCGCGTCGTGTCAGGAATGAGGCCGACTCAAGGAGCTGTGCAGAAATCTGATCTACTGTAGAGACTTAGTATAAAGTATGGGTGAAACTGACCAAAAATAATATCTCAAGTGAGTGTTTTTTTCAGACAGTGTTGTAGGAATTCTTCAAAAATGTGTGTGGACTGTAAAATAAACCACAAAATTAAAGAAATATTACACTTAACCCCTGAAAGATTACACTGCAAATTAAAAATTTAATCAGCTTTTTGTTTTAAATTGAGGATGTTGTTAAACCAGGACTAAACCAGGACTGAGACCGGGACCAGACCAGGACCGAGGCCAGGAGTGAGACCAGTTTAGTCCTGGTTTAGTCCTGGTTTAGTCTTGGTTACATCCGGCATCTCAGTTTAAGTCACGTAAATTGGAAATGGCTGTTATGCTTTTTTTCCATCATTCATTTAAACACAAACTCAAAACCTGAAAAAAATAAAATAAAATCGTTATCCGTTTTTTCATTTTGGCTTTGGAGACAAATAATGAAGAAAATAGTTGTTTTTTTCATTTTCTTATTTTTGGTTTTATATTGAAAAACAAATAAATGAATGATACACGGATTCGCCAAGTCTATTTTTCGGTATATTTTACTAAATTATTTTGTTACACAGCTACAGTTTTGTTGCTTGTTCAGAGTAAAAAAAAACATTTATGCGACACAATTCACATTTTCACTGTTTTGAAGATTAAGATAAATGTTTGTGTTTCAGATTAACTGATTTAGCCATTATTTTTTATTGAACTGTATTGAATCGATTTGAAATATATCTTGTCAAACTGTAAAAGCACTGTATCGGGATATGTATCATATCGTGGCCTATGTATCGAGGTATCGGCAGCTTCATAATGATACCCAGCCCTAACGATAAGTACAGGGATGTAACAATAAGAGAAAATATCGTCATCAGTCTCGTAATAATATCATGGGCCTTCACGATATATCAAATTACAAACCTCTTCGCTTAAATCTATAATTATTGTGTCTTCCTCATGATAAATAGGTTTAATCTATACTGTGGAACATTCTTTCCGTGGAGACAAGCAGTTTGTGGTCCCTCCACTTGAAATGTTACTCTGTGCACCTTTAGGTTATCAAGTTCATGCACTTCAGGTTCAAAGTACTCGAGATACCCTCCGTCACCAGCTGCAGTTCAGTTTCAGTGATCTGTGGCCTTATAATCAGTGAAAAACACGGTTAACCACAGGGTAAAAGTGTGGCATAAATCTGTCTCTCTGTAATAAACCCAAAAGTCCCAGTTGCTGCTTTTAGTGCCTCTCATGACTTCAGGTAATCAGATGTTTCTTGGCCTGTGGTAAAGTACAGCGCCTCCATCACAAGGTTTCTCTTTCAGTGTGAAACAGGCCCGAAGTTACGCGGTTAAGAGCACAGAGACGTCTTTATGCAGAGAGCCAAAGCTGTGAAAGTACAAACATGCGCTCTAATGTAATGCACCACTGTGTGAATCATCCAGGGATTTATACGCTGTACTTTTACATCTTTGATATGTCCACAACGGCATTTCTCATTTCACAAGTTAGTCAGCCTTTAATAAATAACAGCTGTCCGACTGATACTTGTGTGTTCTGCATGTATCTCTATTTTAGAATGTTCAGCAGTTACCATGGAGACGCAATGAATGCACGTACTGTCAGAAAAAAGTTTTAAGATTGAGCCTGTGTTCAATTGGAGTGTTCATAGTCCTGTTTTAGATGAGAGAGACTAATTAAACTCTTGTACATAGCTGAGATATTTTTATTACTTATTTTCTACTTAATTTTTCCTTGTACATATTAGGGCTGTAACGATATCCAAGTCTCACGATACGATATTGCCACGGTATGAACCTCACTGTACGATATTTATGCAATATCATGGGAAAGCTCACGATTAAGGATGTAACAAAACCCAAATCTCTCGGTACGATGTTTTCACGATAAACATCTCACGATATATTTATTGTAATTTTTTGTGGAGGCTTACAAAACTGTGAATATGCTACTTTTTCCTCTTAAATGCCTTGACAAGACTTAATCCAAAGACTTAAAAGTGCTTAGAACTGTTATTTCTTCTTGTAGTCTACACTGAAATCGAGCAAGGGATCATGGGCTATGTAGTTCCCTCTGTCTTTTTCAAAGCTATTGCTGCATCATAACTCTTAATTTAAGCAAAGAGACTTGTAATTCGATATATTGTGATGGTCCACGGTATTATTGTGAGAACTTTGACGATACGATATCACGATACTTTGGTTATTGTTACATCCCTAGTACATATACATTTACTGTATATAATTATGCCTTATTTGACACCAGTCTCTTGCTCTTTTTTGCTTCTTATTTAGAATTTATTATTACCATTTATATTTTTTCTCTGTGTTATTCTATTATATTGTGATGTATGAGCTACTGTGTCCAAGTGATTTCATTAAAGTTTGTCTAAGTCTAAGTCTGAGTCTGAAAACCTGTTGGCTGTGTAGAACTATAATAAGATTAAATTATAGATCCATGGTTGACTGATGCCCATTCTGGTCATTTTGTGTTAAAAAATAAATTCTGATTAAAGTAAAAAAAAGAATAACACATTTAAGTTTTATACACAAAAAGTCAACTCTCTTTCTTTTGTTTTTGTCCAGTTCTGGGAGGTGATCAGCGACGAGCACGGCATCGACCCGACTGGGACGTACCATGGAGACAGTGACCTGCAGCTGGACAGGATCAGTGTGTACTACAACGAGGCCACGGGTGAGGAAATACCACAGACACTTAAAGGTCTCATATTACACAAAATGGACTCTTGTGAACTTTAAGCCATGTTATAATGTTGTTACCTCATCAAAAACAGACCTGGAGTTGTGTTTTGTTTCATTCACAGTAATTATTTATTTACATCTCCAAAATGAAGAAATTTTCAAGTTAATAGCTACTTTTTACCTATTAACTTGAAACAGGTAAAAAGTTTCAAGTTAACAGGTTAGTTCTAGTGAAGGTGTATGAAGTTTAAGTTTCCATTTTAGAGAAGAACTCAGCCTAAATATGCAAAGTTTCTGCATTAAATATGTGTGAAAACTTAACTCCAGGCCTGTTTTTGAAGAGGAAACAACATTTTAACCTAGATTTGAACAAAATAGCGTAATATAGGTCCTTTAAAAATGTGACTAAAACGCTGATCACATTTAAATAAATAAACTTACTGATAATCCAGACTGTATACTTGATGCTGTAAATCCAGTTTTTCATGGACAGACAAATACTAGTCCTAAAACATAATATTCCTCTTTGCCAAATAAAAGAAAATGACATGGAAACTAATAATAATTCATGTTTTATTTATTTTTTAATAACCAGACTATTATTCCAAATCCACTTGTTTGTTTTGATGGAAGATTTGTATTTGGTAACAAGATACAACAATCAATGGAAATGTTGAACTGCCTGACGTCATAAATGTCCAATGCAGTGGTTCTGTCATCACCATCTAGTGGACAGTTATAGGTACTACACACATTTACCAAAATAACATAAATACAAAAGGCTGTTTTACTCAAGCTATGACTTTTATATTGTTACTGGTTAAAATAAAGAAGACTAGAACTTGTATTGTATCTGAAATTATGGTTAAAATGAGTCTCACATTTATGCTAAAGTTTTAACATCAAAGAAACTACATTCTTTGGATTTTTGTATGTGTATTTAATCTTTATTGTACAGTGAATTTAACCTCATTTCCTTTCTGTAGGTGGAAAATATGTACCCAGAGCCATTCTAGTGGATCTGGAGCCTGGGACGATGGACTCTGTGCGCTCTGGGCCGTTTGGACAAATCTTCAGACCCGACAACTTTGTCTTTGGTGAGAGCACAGCAACTTTTAAATACTTCAAGTTTCGAGTGAATGAATAATGCATGGAACTTCTTAAAAAGACCTACTGAGGACATTTATCTATTCAGGAGATGCACATTTTTCATCGCTCTGAAGCCCATGGAGATTTATGTATAACCAATACCCGATAATATGTTTTTAATGTTGCAATAACCTGGCCCACGGCAGATTGATGTGTATGTCACTCTGAATTGAGTTCTACAAATTATCAATCGTAAAATCATTCGGGAAATTTGCTTTTGGCTTCTGTACAAATCTCAATACTGCTCTGTGATTGGTCCGCCCACTCAATTAACTAAACAGTGGTCCATTGATCATTCCAGCTGACCTTTCCTTAAATTAACTCTTTATTGCTCTGGTGACCGTCTTAATTGTTCATCATTCTTTAACCCATGGGTAATTTTGTCCTCTGAGACATCATTAAATTAAACTCTTGACTTTATTCATCAGGACAAAGCGGCGCAGGGAACAACTGGGCCAAAGGTCACTACACGGAGGGGGCGGAGCTTGTGGACTCGGTGTTGGACGTGGTTCGTAAAGAGGCGGAGAGCTGTGAGTGTCTGCAGGGCTTCCAGCTCACCCACTCTCTGGGCGGGGGCACCGGGTCGGGCATGGGCACCCTCCTCATTAGCAAGATCAGAGAGGAGTACCCCGACCGCATCATGAACACCTTCAGCGTGGTGCCCTCTCCAAAGGTGAGACACTAATAGATTTATTTATCCACTGAACATTTGTAATCACCTGTATTACCCATGTTAAAATGTCATTACCTCCACAAAAAGATGCCCAATGTTGTGATTATAGATTAAAAAATAGCGTAATATGGGCTTTAAATAATCACTATAATTATTCCAAAGCCAGTTATCTGTTTTGACCGACTCCAGTCAAATGAAGCTCACTGAGGCTGGACGTTATAGAGGCAAAATTGTAGCAGAATTGTATATTAGGAACAGGAATTTATTTATTAACAAAATAGTGAAAAAAAACACCAGGATCATGTAGACTGGGTTAATACGAACATTTTAAGACCAAAATGACGAGGCTCACTGCAGCTGTTACAGAGAGAAAAGCGACAGTTTTCCAAGTAAAGTCAACTGGAGCCAGTGTCGATGGAGCCGGAAGCGTGCCCATGTTCACTTTCTATCATGAACATGGCGCTTAGTGGGTTAAAGTGCAAAAATAAAATCTAGCTACTTGAATCTTACTTGAATTAAGAAAATTTGGACTAGAATTAAGTAAATTTCAATTGATAAGTAAATGAAACAAAACTTTATGTACCTGAAATAATAAAATACATCTTGTTATATAGGCTTAGAGATTGTGCAGTTATTAATAGAATAGAAGATGCCTGTAAAGAGTGACTTAAAGGTCCTGTTGGTGCATCATGGTCATGGTCATACTTGGTCTCAGATTTATTTATGTTGGTGGTGGTGTTTGTACGGTGCTTTTGTTGTTTTGTTGTCCTGTCTTTGTGATAAAGCATGTGATCCCCTGTCCCAAGGCAAATTTCTCCCATGGGAAACAATAAAGGATCATCTTATCTTATACATAAGATAAGTTAAAATAAGAAACAAAACCTTATGTTACTCGAATTAAAACACACTTATTCCAATGATAGATCATTTTACTTGTCAAATTTAATCTACTCAAATCAAGTAAAATGCTCTTAATTTAAGTTGTTTTAACTTACCTACATATTACTTTTTGTAGTTCATTTATATAGTCACAAGATGCACAAATCAATGGGACCATAAACTGCTTAATGTCTTAGTGGTTCTGTCGACACCATCTAGTGGACACCTACAGGTACTACATTAAAAAGATTTATTCATTGCCTGCACATTTGTAATCACATAATCACCGTTATATCAGCGTGATTAATTAAGAGAGGGACAGGCAGGTAGCGACTTAATGAATATTGTTGATTTTGTTGTGTGTTCGGGAAAGTGGAGTGGATTAATGGGTCTTGTTACTAAGAGAAATTATTATCTTCAGCTTCCGTTTAAACTGCATCAGCATAATTATTGGTTTATTTGACAGGGACTCTTTGTATTTGTAAACCTCAAGTAAATGTTCCAGAGTAAGCCAAGCGGTGCATTTTTATCTTCATTCCCTGGATATAATGAGTTATTTAGTATAATTTGTGTCCAAAAGCATTTTCCACAAATTCTGAATCTGAGCATTAGTGACAAGGTTCATTATCTTGCTATTTGTCCAACCACACCATGAACGCTAGCAATACATGGCAGTTAAAGGTGCATTGTGTAACTTTTCTGTTGGAGGGTCCATCAAGTGCTTGTCTCCGTGGCTGGAATTTTTCACAGTATGGCATTAAACCTTTTTATCTTCATGGAGACCAAACCAGATCAAGCTACAGGTCAGATCTGTGGTCATATCCCGACTGTGTCTGTCTTTTGAGCAATACTACACCTGTAGTTGAATAAATATAAAGAAAAACAGTTAATGCCATACTGTGGAACCTTCCAGGCTCAACCAAAAAGTTACATAAGGCAAGGCAAGTTTATTTGTATAGCACAATTCCTACACAAAGTAATTCAAAGTGCTTTACAGAATAAGAAATACATTAAAATCACAATACAAACAAATCAAAACATAAATAATCATCATAAAATTAAAAAGCAAGAGAGAGAGATTAAATTAGAGATAAGAGTGCAGAGTGAAAAATGAAAGCCTTTCAGTCATATACACAGCTAAACAGAACCGTTTTGAGCCTGGATTTAAACAGAGTCAAAGCAGAGGCCTGTCTCACATCTTCAGAAAGACTGTTCCAGGTTTTAGCAGCATGAATTTGAAACGCTGACTCTCAGTCCAGTTCAGTCCTAACTCTGGGCACCAGCAGGAGGCCGGTCCTTGAGCTCCACAGAGTGCGAGATGGTTCATCTGGCACTAACATGTCAGAGATGTACTTTGGTGCTCGGTCATGGAGAGACTTGTACACTAGAACCCCGTGGACCCGATGCAAAACAGTGCAGCATGACACATTTTGAAAGCTCATTGCAGGCGTGGGTGGGAGCGGGCGGGTGGGATGATAAACTGCAGTCCCGCAAATTAAATATGAGTGTAAAGTAAAATATACAAATGATTAATGTTTGCCTATCATACATCATTTGTGCTGGATCTTTAATTTGGCATTAATAAAAACATTTTAAGCAGACTAAATTTGCAGATGTCGTCTAAGTAAGTTTGCGCACATTTTAGACATTTCCTTTCTGTTTCTCCATGTTTGATAGATCTTACATCCCCATCTTGCGGGATTTGTGGGCGGGAGTGGGACAAAATATCTCAAATGTGGGCGGGAGTGGAACTAAAAATTACAAATCTTTGCCGGACTGAAAATTCTATCCTGCACAGACCTCTATTGTTCACAATCAGAGACACTTTAAAGTTTATTCTCTGAGCCACAGGAGCCAGTGCAGAGACCTGAGCACAGGACTTGTGTGCTTGTACTTCCTAGTTCGAGTCAGGAACCCGAGGATATAGTGCACTTTTAATCGTGATTCAAGTTTACAGGTTGATTTCCCAGATTATAAGATGTTTTTTGAGTTATAGTTTTGTTTCTTTTAGCTGATTTAATTTCATAATTGTGTAATCCCGACTCAGATCTGGAAGTTACTGTGCAGAAGGAGAAGGACAAATTTCTCAACAGGACAAAAATTTTAATAATTGTAACTCACTTTCTAATATCGCTGTACAGACATTTTATTTTATGGTTATTTCCATGTGGGTGGCTTGGCTCTATAAATGTCCTCTGTTATTGAAATGGAATTAAACAGGGTAATAAAGATTCAGTACAATTCTCTTGTGCACACTGAGAAGACTGATTGGTTTTCCAAAAGCAAGAAACTCAATGGGACCGAATAAAAACTGCTTTGTAAGGGCAATCTAGAGGTGGGAAATTTATCAGGAATTTACATCTATTTGAATTTTCCTACAAGTAAAACACTTTGGGCAGCTATTGTTTTAATTTGTCTTAAAAAATGTGAAAACAGAACAAGTTCATTTTAAATTGGTTTGCAGTGTTTCCAAGTTATTCATCACTTACCGTATGCATTCAGAGCGTCCTAGTTATTCACCGTGACAAGTTTATAAGAGCTTTCTACAGCTTTCAGAGACCAAAGTGGAGTTCTGCTTTCTTTTAACACTAACAACAACTAGCATGCTAATGGCACACTTCATGACATGCTATAATTAGATGCAGGAACGACACAGCAATCTCATTTTGACCCTAAAGAGCGACGTATAGTTCTGCGTCGACTCAACGCACACTGCTGCCGTCACCTTGTTGTCGTTTTTGATTTATGGATCTACGTCGAGGTCTATGCGCCGCAAAGTAATTCACCGCTACAACACTAGGGGGGGATGAAAGAGGAGGAGGATTTAAAAAAGGTGTTCGTGTTTCCAAAATGAAGCGGGAAAGCGGAGTACCTGGAAATGTATCTAGAGCGGATCAATCACAGCCCTTATTGTCTGTGTCGCTTCCCCCTGCTGTCTGCTCCATTTTGACTCGTAGTTAGAACATTTCGGAGGTGCATGCCCGTCGACACAGATGCTCTGCGTAGGGGTTTCATGTCAATGCAGATGATTTGATGCTGGACCGTAAACTGGCCTTTTCTCTGCTTTTACGATATATCTGTATCTATGTCATAATGTTGTTTCCTCATTAAACACAAACCTGGAGTTGTGTTTTGTTTCATTCACACGTTTAACACACAAACCCTGCATATTTAGACTTTAGTTTAGTTCTTTTCTCAAACAGAAAACACTCTGCTCCACCTTGTGATGTCACGCAGCAATACGGGAAGTGTTTCAATGTATTTGTAAACTCCATACACCTTCACTAGAAACATTTGGATATTTTCAGCCTTGGAATTGCAAATCTCTACTAAACAGAAGGTAAAGGGCAGCTGTTAACTTGAAAACTACCACATCTTGACATCACAAGGTGGAACAGAGCATTTTGAGCTTGTAGACAGACTAATAATTCAGGATTACAACATTATAAGACAATTTAAAGCTCACAAGAGTCAATTTAGCGTAATATAGGACCTTTTAAATATGCAGTAATTGTAAAACTGACCTGTATTTTTTTGTTTTTTCCTTCCAGGTTTCAGACACGGTGGTTGAACCGTACAATGCCACGCTCTCAGTGCACCAGCTTGTCGAAAACACTGACGAAACCTACTGCATCGACAACGAAGCTCTTTACGATATCTGCTTCCGTACTCTCAAACTCACCACCCCAACGTACGGCGACCTCAACCACCTCGTCTCCGCCACCATGAGCGGCGTCACCACCTGTCTTCGTTTTCCCGGGCAACTCAACGCCGATCTGAGAAAACTCGCCGTCAACATGGTCCCATTTCCACGTCTGCACTTCTTCATGCCCGGCTTTGCCCCCCTGACCAGTAGGGGGAGCCAGCAGTACCGCGCGCTCACCGTGCCAGAGCTAACCCAGCAAGTTTTCGACGCTAAAAACATGATGGCCGCTTGCGATCCTCGGCACGGGCGCTACCTCACCGTCGCCGCCGTTTTCCGTGGGCGCATGTCGATGAAAGAAGTCGACGAGCAAATGTTAAACGTTCAAAACAAAAACAGCAGCTACTTCGTGGAGTGGATCCCGAACAATGTCAAAACGGCTGTTTGCGATATCCCCCCGCGCGGTCTCAAAATGGCGGTCACGTTCATCGGAAACAGCACGGCGATCCAGGAGCTGTTCAAGCGTATTTCGGAGCAGTTCACCGCCATGTTCCGCCGTAAAGCTTTTCTTCACTGGTACACGGGCGAAGGGATGGATGAGATGGAGTTTACGGAAGCAGAGAGCAACATGAATGATCTGGTGTCCGAATATCAGCAATACCAGGACGCCACCGCGGAGGAGGAGGGCGAGTTTGAGGAAGAAGTAGAAGAAGACGCGTAAGGAGACAAAAGCGAAGAGTAAAAAACGACGCAAAAATGTAATGTCTTATATCTGCATTGGTTAAAAGAACTTTAATTCTGACTTTTTTAATTGATTTTGACTGCTTAATTTACTTTATTGAAACTTTTATGGTGGACGGTTCATCTTTTGTTTTGTTGTCTCCATGGAGATGCACAATTTTCCACAGTATTAAACTTAAACCTGCATTTATTTGATAATATTTGACTGATAAAACAATAAATTGGCTTCTAAAACATAAAAAAAAAATTGATCTGACTTGTTTGAACTTGTTTCTTAGGTAGAAAAAGTTTTATGGAAACAAGCAGATGAGTGACCCACCACTAGAAAAGTTACGTAGTGCACCTTTAAAACAAGCCTAGTTTATTCGTAGAGCTTTACAGAACAAGAAAGGTGCATTAAAATCATACGACAACCAACTTTTTTTTTTTTTTGAATGAATTTCTGACCAATTTAAGTGTTTTATTTTCATATTTCTAGCCAAGATTTATATTCTGAATTGAAGTTATTTTAACGTATGCAGATATTTTTTACAGTGCAGAAAAAAAAAAAAAAACTTCAAGTAATCAAAAAGTTTACCAAAATGTGGAGGGTTTAAATGTTTGGACAGTAAAACGTGACCAAAATAATGTTCCATGGTTTACAATTACGCCATGTGTCCCAAAACAAACACTTCATGGCAGGAGAGAGGATGTAATCTTATTTAACTTTGCATTAAACTGATAATTGCACTTACAGATGTCAACACTGAATAAATGTGAATGGCCATTTCCAGTATTTCCATAGCAACAGGTAAAGCAAAAACACTGAACAGTAATAAGCACATTCATTGCAATCTTGTCATTTTTATTTTAATTTTGACATCATTTACAATTCTCGCAGTCTTTCCGATTTGGCTATAGCTTTTATTTGTGTTTTTTATGCTTTAATAATGCTTAAAGTGCATATGACTAGACTACTAATTTCTCTAAAACATAGGTAACATCATTATTTTTAGGATTTTACTAATGAAAATGCTTAGTTTTTTTGGACATGAGAAGCAAAACAAGGGTCCAAATGTGTCTAAATTATACAATAGTTATAATTTGACAAATAAAAATAAATGATAACAACTTTATTTTGTTAAATCGATGTGTAATCTCTCAGAAAAATGCCTTCTTTGTGTGTAAATTGTCTCCGTATGTCACAACTTTTTGCAGTTTTCTTCACAAACTTAACTGATGTAAAATTATAATAGGTTACATATTATAATTGCATCCCACAAAATCAAGTAAAAAAAATGAAAAACACATGAATCTGTCAAATGCACTTTAATGTAATTTCACTAAGATCTGTGAAAACCATGTCCGTATTGTTCAATGTAAGTAGCAGGCAATTCTCAGACGCCAGCCAACGTCTTGAGATCTGCTAATGGATTTTACATTGATTTTATTTCATGTTTCTTCATTTAACTCAAGCTACTGCAAAATATCCTGCTTTGATTTGATGTTTTCATATTACAAAAAGTGCACATGTAACACTATAGTAAATGTTTACACCTGGAGCCTCTACAGTATCAAACCCACTGAAGCCACTTTGTTTTAAAATTGTTTTGTTTTTAAAATATCTGGACATTCAAAATCCCAGCGACTGTGAACTGTTAAATGTCTGACAATAAAAGCATTTGCAGCCTAATTTGTTTCCATGTCATTCTTTGTTTCATTTGTGTTACGTCCTTTCTGTCAGTAGCATCATTGATAAAAACAAAGGAGACTTATTGCGATATTTTGTGGAGGCAAACAAAACTTAATCTAAAGAACTAAGATTTAAAGTATGTAAGAAAGTTTTTATTTATATAGCACTTTTCACAGACATTTGCCACAAAGACACTTTACAGTGCATTATTCATTCACTCCATACCCATACTGACTGGAGCGCAGCAGCCATGCCAATCGGTACCATTGGTGCCTCTGACCACTACCACCACTCACACACCACTTTCATACTAGGCAAGGTGGGTGACATGCCTTGCCTAAAGACACAACAACAGTTTTTGTGACTGGCGCCCCCCTGTGGCACCTGATTGTCCCAGTAGTCTCCCATCCAAGTACTCACCAAACTCAGCCTTGCTTAGCTTCTGAGAGCTGATGGGATCAGGCTTTGACAAGCCGGTATGGCCACATTTAAAAGTATAAAACATTATTTCTTCATGGAGTCTGCGCTAAAACAAAGCAAAGGATCATGGTCTATGTAGTTCCCTCCCTTTCCCTCTCTATTGCTGCACAATAATTATTAATTTAGACGAAGAGACTTGTATTTCGATATAATGTGAAAACCCACGAGACTTTTAACATTACATTTATTGTTACATCACTAGTCATTGTTGTGCTCTCATTTTTTGGAAACTGTTTTTTGTGAAATGTGCTATAGAAATAAAGTGGATTGGATTGGATTTTTGAAAAAAGTTGCATACTCAGACCTTCACATCTTCCACCAACAGCTCCCCACTCTCACCAAAGAAAAGAAATCAGTTCTAATTCAAGAAATGGTTACATGTGTGTATACCTTATTGTAGCCTATTAACTATAAACAATAAACATAGACGAGGTCGGTGTAGTTTCTTGCCCAAGGACACAACAACAGCATGTATAGTCAAAGAGCCATTATTACTTTATTTTATGATCTATGTTATAATGTTGTTTCCTCATCAAAAACATACCTGGAGTTGTGTTTTGTTTTATTCATTCTTGTTTAACACTAGGGATGTAACAATATCCAAATCTCACAGTACGATTTTATCATGATATGTCTCTCACGGTACTATAATTATTACGATTACTGCCATATTCCAACGATATAAGATTTAAAAGTGCTTAATAAGAGTATTTTTTTATTATGTAGAAAAGTAAGTAAAGGTCATGGCCTATGCAGTTCCCTCTTTTTTAATACTTTTAAGTGAAAAACCTTGCAATTCGATATATTGTGACGAACCACGATATAGTGAGAGTTCTAAAGATACAATAGTTCCTCTCTCAAACTGAAAACACTGCTCCACCTTGTGATGTCATGTGGTAATACAGGAAGTGCTCCACTGTGTTTTTAAACTCCATAAACCTTACAGAATCATTTGGATGATTTCAGCCCTTGAATTGACAATCTCTACTTAACAATTGTAAAAGGTAGCTGTTAATTTGAAAACAACTAAACTATATATAATAAACAACAGTGCAAATTTAATGGAATCCCACACAATACAAACTGTAGATTTTGTTTTTCAAGGTGGAAGTGGTCACTAGACATTAACAGATACCACAGTTCAAGAAGCATCACCTGTTTATCTCTTGTTATTGCTTTGTGGAATGTCCAACAGTATGGCATTAAACTATCTATCCATTAAAGACACCACCATGCCAAGTTTTCTATCAGATTGAAGGAGAGGTGACCCCGCTCACAGTCAGGAAAGCTTCATGTTTAATTGGATGTTTTCTATATTATAGCACCTCAAACTGAAAAAGGTAAGACGTACAGGTTTTGGACAGTGTCAAGCAAAGCAATAACCAGAAATAACCAGATGACTGACCCTCCCCCAGAAAAATCACATAGTTAGGTGACCAGAATTTCAAAATAAAAAACTGGGACATACCTGTTTTTTGGTGGTTGGTAATAATAAAATTGTGAAACGAGTGCGTAATTAAGGAAAATTGTTCTGCACTTGGCTCATTCACGACGATCATGTGAGTCAGTATAGTCACATTTTCTTCATGTTTTGGTCATTTTTAAGCAGCTTTTCTGTATTTTACCGAAACAAATTACAATTTCTGTGTCTCTTTACTGTTGGCAGGGATCAGATTGGTCAAAAATAGGGGACACCTGGAACATTTCTTGTACAAAACTGGGACAAATCAGTGGTTTTGGATAAATCTGCTGGGACAGGGGACACAGGGCTCAAAACTGGGACTGTCCCGGGTCAATAGGGACATCTGGACACTCTACACAAAGTGCCCTTTATAGTCTCCAAAAGTCAAGTGATTTAAAATGAATGAAGCAGCTTTAGTTTTTGCCTACCGATTGTTTTTGTAAGGCATGTCCCCAAACCAAAGCGTGCTCGGTCACCTGAGGTTAAACTGCAGAATAGCCGGATCTAAATGGCACTGGGCCACGCTTTCCGGAAATTACCGAAGATTCACGAGCACTTCCGATCCCACACGCTCCACAAATCGTCAGCATCCGAAAGTCTCCCGCTGCTCCCGGTCTGTCCCCTGCTACAGCGTGCTATTGTCGGGCTTGAGGAGGCGAGGAAATGCCAAGAAAAATTACATAAAATTGGGGGAAAAAGCCGATTTCTCTGCAAAGCATCAACTCGCCGCTCCCAGACTGCTGATTTCGGGGTTCGAGGATTGGCGAAGGTAATTACATTGATCACAGTTTTCATTCATTGTGTGAGCTAATGCTGCTTTTGCTCCCGTTTTTCAAGTTTATCGCTAACACTGGGACGTAGCGGGTTAAATTTTGCAGGTTGCATCGCTCTTTGGACAGTTTCTTGTCCAGTGCGCGTATCTTAAGACGCAGGGGTGCTTTGGGGCGTTGGATACACATCAGACATCTTCATATCTTAACATGATTTGGACATATTGCGTGTGCGTAAAGCTGTGCATGGAAAAAAAAGCGACGTTAACCCTTTTCTTGCTTTGTCTTCTCCGCCTATTGACTCCTTCAGTGTCCATTGAGCTTTCTAAGAGGGGGTGCCTATTTTAGTTTTTTTTTTTTTTCCCCTTTTTTTTTGCTTTTCCCGTCCACTCTGCAGCACTGGGATTTTCCTGTGATCTGGAAAACCCTTCTTTGGAGACAGAGAAGGAGAGAGGGATGAAAAATTAGAAAATACGCATTGCCTTGGGCCACTTGCAATCCTCATGGTGAAGTCGCTGACTAAGTATTTGGCACAGCGTAGGCTATTACAGTGTGTGAAACAGGAGGCCTATTACAATTGATGTAACTAGGCTCCCATATGATCCTGTGTGTTTCAACAGATCCCTCTATAGTAGCTTTATTTTCCTCACTTCTACCCATTTCTGTTCTAATATGTGACATTTTGAGGAGTTTTTCCCATTTAAGACGCACAATATTTAGTTTTAATTGCTAATCACTATGGCAGCAGTGCTAATCTCTCACCACTCATCGTGCTTTGACCTACTGCCATGTATTGAAAAGGCATCAATCATGTTTTTAATGAGAGAAGACACCTAAATCTCAGCTTGCTTTGTGCCCTGTTCCCTTTCTCTTTCTCTCTTCTGTGGTCCATT